AACCGCTACTTCCTATACTACTGACGACCATATCTTCAATTATGGTTGCATACACATATCTCTTGGTCTAATGTTACGAAATGCAGAAGATTCTGTAAAGGAAGGTGACGGTGAGCGTCTCTTGTGAGCATGGAAATTTTTTACATACATATTCCGTTTGAAAGGACACAACAAATATGCCCTTGCAGGACTTAGATTGATAGCATCAGTTGAGGGTCTTCTAACCCCCCATCAGGCTCACAGGCTAACATGGAACAGATTTGCAGGGACAAAAAAAGGGAAAGGCAAGAGAATTTCAAGGGATCTTCGAGTAGAACAGCTAAACAAAATTTCAAAAGAGGAAATAAGAGCCTTAGGTTTCCCAAACATCAATGATGAAAGTGTCCAGAATGCCACAAGAGCTACAGCTGCCATTGAGGAAATGGTCACAAATTCCAAGGCTGACCTTGAAATTGAAGCAAGATCTGGGCATCACTGCAATAAAGAAGCCTTGAAAGCATTTAGCAGTATTTTTTATCAAGTACATAACAAGGCTAAAGTTTTCAGCTTTGAGCCAGACAGGCACTATCATGCATTTCCAGATTTATCACGTGAAATATATCACAACCTATCACCACAACAGCTGTACAAGTGGATTCAAATGCACAGAAACCGTTGGCATAAACAACATCGGCATCTGTACAGTAACTAAATTACCAAATCAATGGAGGTAATCATATAAATTTCAGCTGTTTATGAACTTGGCTCGGCAATATTATGAATATTGTATTGTATTGATATATGTATACACTGTAATATACTGTATACTGTTTAATTAGAAACAGTATAATGGTGTTAGTATTGTGGTAGTTCAGTAAGCAATCATGGGACCAAGGCTGGATTTTGGTGGAAATGCTGAGGGAGGTAGAAAACTGTTTAGGGAAGGTGCAGCAATCCTAGCTCTTGAAATTTTAGGGGTTAGAATGTACCCCTGTCCCCATAAAGTAAACTACATGACATATGCACGTATTTGAATTATAACTGTACATACAACTCATCCAATTTTTCCATTAAATACATTACTACAAAGTTTATTTCGAAAAACGTTCTTTAATACAAACACGTCGAATTTTAACTTCTGTTACCATTCCTAAGGGGAGGTGCGCACCTCCCCCCCCCCCACCTCCCCTCAAAATCCGTCCTCTTCCTGCAAGTTAAAACTTTGGGCAGTAGGGATCAGTGGTGTCAAGTAACGAAGTAAATGTACTTCATTACTGTGCTTGAGTATTTTTGAGAAGTCAGCATGTAACAAAGTAAACTTTTTCTGGAGTACTTTTACTCGCAACGAAGTCGTTTTCAGAAGTAACGTTTTCGTTATTTTCATTTTGTGGCGAAGTATCTCCTAATTTTTCTGGTAGTTGCATCCCTACCAACAAAAGCTTGCTCAAAATACTTAAAGTAATAACCATATTATGACAGTTGTCTATATTATCTACCTCATAAGATATGTTTTCAAAAGCAAATAATGCAACCTTTACACTTGTACAACAAGATCTGTCATTTTCAGAAATTACTGAATAGTTCATGCTGCACACTGGTTAATATAGATATAATTATAATGTTTTTAGTTGTCAGATTCTTCACTATCATAACTATCTGCTACTTCAGAAAAGTAAAAGTCATCTCTTACCCAGTTAAAGTGCTGTTCTTCTGAAGATGCCTCATCAATGTCCTGGAATATATCATTGACAACATTTAAAATTTCACATGCCACTGTGTTGTCTAAAATGGGAAAATTCCCTGTTACATATTCAACACTGAACAGGTGTTCCAAATCATTCCCCAATTCATTGATGACACTGTCTTGAAGCATATTTTTCGGAAATGTTGTGCCAAATACTGCAGCATTTCCACCCTGTTGAATATCTTTTAATACATCAACAAATGTTTGTCTTTCTTCACTAGAGACACATCGTGTTAATGACTGTTCTTTTCTGTTATCACATGGATGAGCACTGGCATTTGTATTCTCAGTACCTCTATGCACATCTACAGGACACAATCCACATACACACTCTGAAGAACAGATATCACAACAGTTATGCATCAGCAATAGCAATGATTTTTTCTTCTTTTCTTTAAAGTATTTCAGGACTTCTAAACGCCGGCATTGCACACGATTTTTGATAAAAGCTCTCATTTTTTCGTTGCAGTGACGGAGGTGGTAATTTTTATAATACAATATTGCCAAAACATTACAGCCATTCCTTCCTCCTCTTCCGACAGCCTGAACATAGGACTCTAGATCCTGTGGGGCACCATAGTGGATAACTCTTTGAATATCTGGAATGTTGATCCCCATTCCCAATGCACTTGTTGTAATAACAATACGTAGGTTTCTATCAACTACAATATCAGACAGTACCTGCTTCTTTATTCTCTCTGGAGTTTTAGCATGGTACATAGCATAATATGTTGTACAACTATCAGGTAGTATATCTGAGAAGGTGTCATATATCTCCCCACATTCTTTGAATGAGGTACAAAATATTATTGTCTTAGGACATCCTTCCAAATTCTTTTTTAAATCTTCAATAATCCAGCCAAATGTTGTATCAAGTCCTTTCTCGTCTGCCTTTTCCACAACATACTTTATATTTTCTTTATCAGGAGAAAGATAAATAACTTTTGTGTTCACCATATGCAGCATCTGGATGATTTTTTTTCTTGTTTTTGCACTTGCTGTTGCTGTTAAACACATGATTGGTGCATTCACTAATGCATTGATATTACCAACACGTCCATAAGATACTCGAAAGCGAGCCTTGTTATTGTTGGTAGTTCCCCTAATTAATAAAACATATTTACTTTCAAGGATTTGACACTGTGCACTGAACATGTCAGGTGCACAACAGCAACATTAGTGTGCACAAAGTAGTGCACAAATGCTAAATTCTCTCTGAGTCACAAAGTTGTTTAATATTTTTGTCTACAATATACATACATGTTTTGCCTAAATCTGTTGCTCAGAATGTAGAAAATAGCCTTCTGGGGTTCAAATTTTCCCCAAGGACATGCCCCCCCCCCCCGCCAATGTGTATTTGGTCATTGGTGCAGTCATTTAATGACTAATAGTCAATAAAAATCCACACTGGCTGTGACATGTTTATATATTTTATATAAATAATACAGAAAAAATCTGAACATGTTTATACTCACCAGTTGACAACACAATGGGACTCGTCAATTACCACTGCGATTATACGGTCCTGTAAGTGGCAAATTGTAATGTAGTGCCTCTCCAATGTGTCAGGACTTGTGAATAGTACGTCGAATTTGTTGAACTCGTTTATATATTCCCTATCACGACATTCTAATTTCACAGCTCTCAATCCCAACTTTTCACACGAAGTTATCTGTTCATTTACCAACGCTTGCAGAGGAGCCACAACCAAAACCATTGGATTTGTTGGAAGCTTACGTCGATAGTTCGTTGTTCGTCCTTGTATCAATAATTCATTCGCGAGAGGAACGATTAGTTGGTATATCAAAGATTTCCCAATTCCTGTTGGTAGGGAAACAAATGTATCTCTACCGAATATAAAACTTTCTATCGCATCCTTCTGTTCTTTTTTCAACATTATACTCTCCGAAAGGAAAATATTTATCATAACCTGCTCCAAACATTTTTTAACATATTCAGACATTTTGAAATCGAGAAAAAAATATACGTGACAATGTGGGCTCAAGTATCTGTCAGCGCCCACACGCATAAACAAAGCCGTGCGCATCAAAACCTGTAAAACATGAATAAAACTGGTTTGTCTCGCCCAAGATCTTGGGCGACGGCGGCTTCAAAGATAGTACACAATTTCGGCAGAGTATCCTTTCTCTCCGCCGTGAAAAGGATACTCTGCTAGCAGGGTAGCCTGATTGCAGGTTACTCATCACATTGCATTAATAAACTTATCTCACAACCAGAGGTTTGTAAACATATTGTCTTCGACGAAATGAAAACTCTTAAATTTCAACACTTTATTACACTATTAAAGAATTAAACCTACATTAACTCGCCATATTTTGCGTATACTTCTCGGCCAAGACAACTTGTTTTACGACTTAAAATCTAAAATCCATGTGTTCATATCACACGATGACCATATATGGCATGCAGTCAGACAAGTATTTAGTAATTATTAAATCTATTCTTAGGACTGTTAGAGGTTCAATAACATCCCCCTTCCGAATATAAAATATTCGTCAATTTAATTTGAAACAAATATCAAAAGTTTCTTTTGTTCTGTTCATTTTATTCTAAGTTCTTTCGTTTTATTCTGCTTCACCAGCAAACTCTAGTGGGCATAAACAATGAATTGGTCGTTTGTAAATTGACTTTCCAACTTTAACTTCAACGACACGTACTAGTCCGTCTTTCGCTGGATATACTTGTGTGACTCGTCCCAGAGGCCAATCTCTGCGCTTCGCATTTGGATCAACTACTAATACCACGTCTCCAACTTTCAAGTTTCTTTGCAGGTGGAACCATTTACTACACACGTTCAGACTTGGAAGAAATTCTTTTCTCCACCTTTTCCAAAACTGGCTAATCAATTGCTGCACACGGCGCCATCGTTTTACTGGTTTTTATTGCTCCTCTGTGTCAAAAGCTTCCGCCGCAAACTGTCCACCAAGCTGACCAATGATGAAGTGATTCGGTGTCAACGGTGTCATATGTGGATCAGAGCTCACATACATGATAGGTCGAGAGTTAAGAAGTCCCTCAGCTGCACACATTGCGGTATGCAACTCTTCATCGTTTATGTCAGCTTCACCAAGAATTGCTCTTAACGCTTTCTTTGCACTCTTTACCATCGATTCAAATGCACCACCAAAATGGGGAGCTGATGGCGGATTAAAGTCCCATTGAATGGCTTGATTAGTTGAAGTTGCATTGATAATTCTCTCTTTGTCTAACTGTTTTACTAACTGTCGTAACTCCTTTTCCGCGGCTACGAAATTTGTTCCATTGTCAGATATCACATAGTTCGGGGTCCCCCTCCTTGATATCATCTGGGTAAATACATTAAGGAATGCTTCAGTATCTAAAGAGTACGTCATTTCAAGATGCACTGCCCGAGTGGCTAAGCAGGTAAAAAGACACATATACCTCTTAGCTTTTGGCTTACGCCGTCCTTGTTTCGTATAAAATGGTCCACAATAGTCAGTTCCAATATGATCAAACGCTCGCAGGGGTAACTGCAGTCTTGATTTAGGAAGTGGAGCCATTACTTGTCCTGTTGGCTTTGCTTTTGATCTCCGACATTTAGGACAGTTTTCAACAACAGTTCGTACTGCTCGTCTGCCTTTTATGATCCAAAAACGCGAATGGGTCTCGGTTAGAAGATGTTCCACAGCTGAGTTATGACCAATTTTCTCGTGTCGATTTTCGATGATAAGCCGTGTCACTGGATGGTCTTTAGGTAAGATTATAGGATGTTTGACATCATGTGGAAGGTCATCGGCAAAACGAAGACGTCCACTGATTCGCAATAAACCATCCTCGTCTCGTTGAGGGCAAAATCTGATCAAACAATTCTCCTTCTCACCATTTGGAAATGCTTCGGCTTGCTTCCTTCATATCCAGAATGTTTCTGTGTCAGAAATCTCTGCTCGATGAAGTACGTTGTTCTTTTTACGCTGTTTGTTGGGTAACTGACAGTTTTTTAGAAAACGCTTTACCTAAGCTGTAATACGCAGTAGTCATTGACGTTAGTGCTAGAGTTGGTTTCTTCTGTTGCAAATGTGAACTTACTTTTCCTTTGTTCGCGTTCTTCATCTCTGATTGTGGGATTCTTTGGTAACTTCTCCGGCCACGTAGATTCATCTTTCTTTAGAATCTCTGGTCCTTCCATCCATCCACACCTTGCTTTGGGTCAATTGTGTTGCGGATAAACCTCTTGTCGGTAAGTCGGCAGGGTTGATCTCCCCCGGTATGTAGCGCCACTGGTCTGGATTTGTGCTTCGTTGAATCTCGCCAATCCGGTTGGCAACGAATGGTTTAAAGTTCCTACTTTGATTTCTAACCCAGTAAAGTACACTGGTGGAATCTACCCAGAAGGTAATGCTTTCGACTGTTAAAACTTTTACCAGATTTTTTGCGAAGCGAGTCGCAACCACTGCTCCCATTAGTTCGAGTCGTGGAATTGTCATTGCTTTTGCCGGTGCAACGCAACATTTAGAGGTGATAAGATGCGAGGTCGTTGGATGGTTAACATATTTGCACACTAAGTAAGCAACTGCAGTGTATGCAGCTTTGGATGCATCTGAAAAACATATGTAGTTGAATGCTTGTTGGAAGGGCGTTACGTAGACAGCGTGGAATTGTGATGTTGGGCAATTCGTGGAACTCAGAAATCCACGTTTTCCATTTCGAATCCAATTCTGCTGGCAGAACATCGTCCCAGTCCAGACCTGCTGCCCAAATTTCTTGCATTAATAATTTCGCTCGTATAGTAAATGGAGATAAGAATTGGAGTGGGATGAAAAGGGATGTAATGCAACTTAAAACGCTTCTCTTTGTAGACATAGAATTGGTGGGTGGCTGAACTTGAAAGGTAAACATGTCCGTTTCCGCATTCCATGTTACTCCTAATGTTTTCTGCGTCGATAAATCTTTTCCTTCGTTAATCTCCACACCTGACACACGATCTTCAATTGGAACGTCCGCGATGATCGACGATTTGTTTGAAAGCCACTTTCGTAATTTGAAACCCGCGTCTGATAAGACTTCCGAAAGACCATGTCGTAACGAACAAGCTTCCTCGATTGTCTCGAACGAGTCGAGGACATCATCAACATACATCGAATTGTCTATAGTCTCTGCGACCTTTGACTTCTCTTCGCTAAGAGTTTGTCCATGCATCTGTAAAACATACTGAGCGCAGAATGGCGATGCCGCGTTTCCAAAAGGAAGACGTTGGAATTCGTAAATCTCAGGCTGACTCTGTTGGTCAAAATTCCTCCAAAGGAATCTGTGGTATGGACGGTCCTGACTTCGAAGACCGATTTGAAGAAACATCTGGGAAATGTCCGCAGATAGTGCTACAGGGGCACATCGAAAACTACAGAGTACATCAACTAGTTCTCGTTGCAACTTAGACCCAGGAAGGACTGCATCATTTAACCATGATGTTTTGCCGCAGCGTCAAACACTATCCAAACTTTCGAGGTAGTCTTGTCGTCGCGAATGACAGGGAAGTGTGGCAGGTTGATCTTCTTCTGCTGTACGGGGTACCTTTTTCACGTAACCCTTTTCAACGTATTCTTCTATGATACTGTTGTAAGATGAGCCAATGTCTGATCCTTTTTTGAGTAATGATCTTTCCAAACTCTGCAATCGTGAAAGTGCCTGGTCGTAATTACTTTTGAATATGGGTTTGTTTACTTTCCAAGGTATTCCAATTTCATACCGGTTGTCTTGCCTATGCAGTGTCTCTTCTGCAAACTTGGTCACTCTCGCTTCCTCTGGCGTTAATACTGGAGTGTCCTCGTGTTTAATTCCCATTGACTCCAGCTCCCAAAATTGTCGCAAAATATTGTTCGTTGATTCTTCGTGATTTGTTCCAGTCAAGCTGGATCGATAGGTGCATGCGAGATGTATATGCAAGTTATTGTGGATTCCACTTGTTGATGTCGGCCCAAAACAAACCCATCCGAGACTTGTACGCCGAGCAATTGGGTTGTTGGCTTGTGGTCCATGTATCTCTTGAAGAACATGGTGGAACAAAGGATGATCACTGCCGATTAAGAGGTCAATCTGGCGTCGATTTGCCACTCATTCAAACGGAACTTTTTGAAGGTGTGGCCAATTTTCTTTAAGGTCAGACCACTCTATTGCTGGGGTAGTTCCAGTGATATCATCCAAGATGTTAGCTTCGACCATCGCTGAGAAATTTCCTTTGACATTAGATACATTTAAATTGACCCTACGAGACATCTTTTGCACTTTGGTGCCTCCCGTTACAGTTAGATGTTGTGTTCGTCCTTGCAGCTTTAGTTCTTCCACCTCATGTTCTGATATATAAGAGCCAGTTGAGCAAGGATCAAGCCTAATGTTCACCTTTACTTTCTTCTTTTGGTTGGGATTGGAAATGAAACCAGGTAGCACCATCAAGGACACTTTATCAATTTGATTGGTTGTAAAGGTAGAACTAGTAGCGTTCTCATTTTCGTTTGGTTGTTCAGCTCCATTCGGGGGATTACTGTTATTACTTTCGCTATCCGTAGGATTTCTGTTAGACTGGTGTAAATACCTACTATGAGTGACACTCTTGCAACCATCAATACCGCAGGGCACAGTTCTAGAACATCTTCTACTGTGATGACCTGACGCCAGACAACGAAAACAACGTCCGCTTTTCGCTATCAATTCTTTCCGTTTAGTCACTGGTAACCTTTTAAAAGCTTCGCAAACCCACGGGGTATGATCCTCGCTCTCTTACCCACGGTGGATTATCCTCGCTCTCTTACCTGTATTGAACCCACGGTTGCTTCTCCTGTTGTCAGTTCTTGTGCCTCCTCCCTTACTGTCTCCACCAGCTTCTTCCTTCGCTTCGTCCTTCGCTTCGTCCATTATGTGAACTTTCATTTCAACCCAGTCAACTACGTTTTCGAAACAATCTTCTCTATCATGTTCGAACAGCCAATATTTATACGATTGAACATCATCTTCCGTCAAGTTTTCCTTAGCTGTTAAATTGAGATGTTGGCTCTTTAGTTCCACATTATCTTGTATTGCTACCAAAATCTTATCCAAAATGGAAAGGAATTCTTCCAGGGCTTCAAGATTTCGATGCCGCACCTTCGGCCCTCCACGAAGGGTTGTCAGAAGTGTTATGGCAAGCCTTCGCTCCCCACCAAATTCCTTCTCTAGTTTTTCAAGGGCTCGTTTGTATGCATTATCAGAATATCCAAGATCCTTTACCATTTTGAGGGCTTTTCCAGTCAGGCAGCTTTGTAAACGCAACATTTTCTCTTTAACTAAGATATTGTACTGTCCACAACCGACATAAATGCTGCTTTCCACGATTCATATTCCGTTTTATTATCCCCAGAGAAAGTAGGCTGTTCTACACCTTTCAATTTAACTGACTGTATTCTTGAAGGAAGTGTTATCACAGGATAATCTCTTGTCATTTCCGGTTCCAGGTTGTTAATTGTTCCTGGCACTTGATTGTCATTAGCATTCGGACTATTCTTGGGCATTTCTTGGCATGTTACAAAATCATCAAGCGCTTGTTTTGCACGTTTGTTGTTTAAAATGGCGATACGACGTGCGTCCCAATTGTACTTCAGCAATTCTCTTCTCGAGGTCAATCTCTAATTGTCGTTGTTCTTCCTCGAATTTTTAAGTCTCTCCTGGGCGTCACAAGCATCTTGTTCTCTTTTTCCCAACACAGATGACATTTTTTCCTGCGTAATAATCGACGAATTATCTTTAATTTTGCTCAATTTGATGGAACACACAGAAGGCGCTTCGGACTCTTTTTCCCTGAGCGTATATAATCTATGATTTAAATGATTATCGGTTGCTTGTGTTATGCTATCAACTTGACTGGATATTTCATCGAATTCTTTGTCCAAATTCTCAATTATACTGTCCGTTTCATGTTCGTTTTCTCCCAAAACAACAACTTCGTTTAATTCATAAATTACTTTTTCAAGAATACCAAATTCCAATGTTACCCTATTCGCTGCTCGTCTGATAACCGTCTTGCTGATTAGAGTTCGTCCTTCGTTAAACGTATTTTACTCGATTTCTTTCGATTTTTGAGAGTCTGACATCGATTGCTTGCTGTGCTCATAGTCTCTTCTTGATTTTTATCTTCGACCAGCATGTCTTGTTTTTCCTGCGTATTGTCGACAGACTCGCCTATATTTTTCTCCGCCATACACAAAATATTTACTCTTGTATTAAGCTCAATTCTTCAATATCGTCTATAAATCCGGCTCGACAGGACCATATGTCTTCGACGAAATGAAAACTCTTAAATTTCAACACTTTATTACACTATTAAATTAAACCTACATTAACTCACCGTATTTTGCATATATTTCTTGGCCAAGACAACTTGTTTTACAACTTAAAATCTAAAATCCATGTGTTCATATCACGCGATGACCATATATGGCATGCAGTCAGACAAGTATTTAGTAATTATTAAATCTTAGGACTGTTAGAGGTTCAATAACACATATTAATTTGTAACATTTAAAAATCAGTTCAATAATATTGAGGACTTTTTAACCGACTTCGAGGTCTGTTCGGGAAAGTATTGCTGAACAGTTCGTCGTCAAACGTTGAACGTTTTTGAAGGCAAAAGTCTGTAAACAACTTACAACTATGCAAGATATGACAAATTATACGAGTTAAAATGTTCAAGTAAACAAAACACAATATTAGAAGTCTGAAGTCCAAGCGTTGTAAACTTCTCTGGAAACTTGACAGTTAAGTCGGTTCGTATTCGTCGCTATTTTGGCATTTGCTTTACAGACATTGATAAAAAATTTGCAGAGTAAGTGGTGAAGTTCTGCTTTCGGTAAGTACTCAATTTGTTTTTCACCTTTGTTTACTGTCTCCAGGTAACGGTGGAAAACCTTCATGTCACTTTTCGTTTTCGTTATTGTGCTTTTCGCTTTCCGGTTGTGTATAAATTTTAAAATTTTTTCTTGGCTGTTGTTGTTGTTTTGTTCCGCGTTTTTGCCTTCAAGCCTACCATTTGGGTCATTTGTTTCATCCGAGATTTCATCAGGATAATAAAATTCACTCGGTGAGTGTTCCTCGTCGTCACTATATGGCATTAAATAAAGTTTACTAGCTTTTTGGACTGCAGTGTTTTTACAATTTCACGAGCGGGCAAGATGAATTTCTTGAGCGGGCAAGATGAATTTCTTGAGCGGGCAAGATATCTTTTTCCAGACCAGTAATCAACCAATCAGTGTGCGGCATTTATCTCAGCCATATAATAAATTATAATGTTAAATGGTAATGTATGGTAAAAAGCCATTTTCTTACTTTTGTGCACGGACCTAGACTGAAAAATGGTTTGTCTGCACAATTTTCAAAATTTATAGTGCAATTTTCAGCAGACGATCTGTCTCCTTTGCATTTTTGCAAACTTTCCAGTCTGGTTTGACCATTTAATACACCAGATAATGTGAGGTCTGACACTATTAATAAATTAAAATTAAAAAGCTTCAAAATTCAAAACTTTAATTGATTTTAGGAAACGTTATGAAGCATGATGCGTACCACTCATTTATTAAAATGTTGACGTTTTAATACCTTAAGAATTCAGAGTATGTTTTCACACAATTACAAACTTGAACTGATAGAATTCACAGTCAGAATGATCTGGGGATTGGGGCATTTGACCATCAATTTTCTGTTATTATGTGGGGCATTTGAACAGATTTTTGTCTTGGGAGTGGAACACGATCGGCTCTAGAGAAACCTAAGAAAACCATAAATGCCACTAAAGAAGACCGAGATGATTTACATGAAGATAAGCCTATGAATGTTGAAAATATGTTCGAAATGATTATGAGCAAGCTGAGTAAATTGGATATTATTGATGGCTGTATGATATTGATGGAACAAGAACTGAAGGACGTAAAAGAATCATTAGAATATGTATATGCTGAAGTTGAGAAGAAAGAAGAAAGAAAACACAGAGCTATGGAAGTCAGACTTGGAGACGAAAGAAAGATTGGCGAAAGTAGAAGAGTAGAATTCAGCATTAAATAGTCATGTTATTGAGCTACAAGCAAGGTCAATGCACAACAACTTAATGTTTTATAATTTACCACAGCGTGAGGACAAAAATACGAACAACCTCGTAAAAAATTTGGAATATCGGATGCAAAGACTATAAAGATAGACCGTTCACACAGAACACCGGGATCCAGAAGACCAAGAGCCATTGTCGCGAAATTTAATTTTTACCTGGACAAGGAACGTACACTGGCTAACTTGAAGTGATTAAAGGGTACAGGAATTGCAATTTCTGAACAGTTCCCAGAGGAAATTGTTAAATTACGAAAGTGACTATTGCCAAAAATGAAGAAAGTATGTCAGGATGGTATGAGATTAAAATTAGTTAGAGATAAGTTATTTAACAATTAGACAACGATGCCGAGTTGTCTATGAGCGAATAGATTAGACAACAATGCCGAGTTTAACAATTAGACAACGATGCCGAGTTGTCTATGAGCGAATTTTTAAAATATCTGGAACACAAAGAGGCAAACAATTTCCATAATCTAGTATACATAGACAATAATAGTTTAGATTAAAATTTAATCGAAAAACAAACTCGGCCAAAATCTCAACATTTAAATGAAAAACAAGCACACACTAAAGAAGTTGAGAAAATAGGGGTAAACAGCTTAAAGTATTGTTGAATTTCAATGATTCTAAAAAAAGTAGATCCGATACATGTTAAATAAATCTGATACATGTTTTTGTTAGTTTGTTTTGTTAGTCTAAAGTAGATCCGATACATGTTTTTGTTACTGGAGGTAGAGGTGGAGGGAAATCGCACTTAATTAAAGCTATACAGTATATCATACTGTTACAAAAAACATTTAGACATGCTCCAATGAATCCTGAATTACCTTCTGTATTGCTAATGGCTCCAACGGCTGTAGCTGCCATAAATATCAACAGAACAACTGTAAACCTGCTCTAGCAATTGATTACTTTAATGAAAAGAACATTTCTTCATTGAAAGTACTCACTGAATCTTTAAATTATGTGCAACTTGTAAGTAAACCAACATTTGTTTCATCCTGAACTCTTCTCGATCATGTTTACGTAAAACAGTCAATAAGCAATAAAATAGAAGCAAATGTTGTAAGTGTGTATTATTCAGATCATGAAGCTGTTAAGGTAACCATAAGATTTTGACAAGTAGTTTCATTAAAAATTTTGACATGTAGTATTACACCAGTAGTTTCAATACCGGTTCGGTATATAACCCAATAAACTCGCACACTATTTAATTGCAGCAGAAAAACTAAACAAAAAACTGACTAAAAACTAAAATATTAAAAAATCGCTGAAATTAAAATCCAGTCTAGGAGTGACTGGGATGGGGGATTCTGGTAAATCCCCAAAACGACCGATGTGAGGAGTCTCCTGCAGTTCTATGCAAACAAGGTATGTCCAATCATTGTTAAATTGAAGCTAAATGCAACATGTACTCTGACTATACTTAGTATAGTACACTACAGCTCAAGGTCAAATACATAAGGGATGGACCATTAGAAAAGTGATGGGGGGGGGCAAAACCAAAAAAAAAAAAAATTTCCAGAAAAAAATTAGGGGAAAAAAAATCTTCCCAGGCATAGTGCAAAAAAAAAAATTCCCTAGCTTGGAAGATGGGTACAGTACATGCAGGTAGAAATGTAAATACAGACCAACTGTGAAGTGAATAGCACAAGTTTATACTGGAAATAAAAACTCACAAGTAAATATTGGCCAGGACTATATAAAACTTGATTTATACACAAAACACTTAAATCAACATTATATTAATGACCAATATTTACTATCCAATTTACTCCATAATTAAAATGATGGCAGCGGTGCGTTTAACCACAATTCTTTGCCGTCTTAAATTAGATTTACGTAATAGTGTAATGCATAATACTTTTAATAAACATGCCAATATGAACTACCATTAACTATTAATAGCTATCTTCCTACAGAATTTAATCTTTTTAAAACATATTTCTGATATTAAATTATCTAGGATTCTATGTTTTATATATATAAGTGCACGCATATCATTGTGGTTAAATTTACAAGCCAGATTGTCATACTGTCATAGAATAGGTCCATGATTGTTACAACTAGACAGTCAAACAGAAACTACTCAATAAAACTGCAATAATCTACTAATCATATTATTAAACAAAAATAAACTAGTATAGTTTTGTAAATATAAACATAAAATCAACTGTTAGTTTTTATATTAAATTGTATGTACAAAGGCAGGCCAAAATAGAAATGGCAAGTTAATTAAGGGCATTCCTTTTGCCAATCAGATGTCCTCGACATCATTTGAACAATCACTACCACTTTCTATAAAATCACCCCACTTGCTATCACTTTCAGCATCTTTCACTTCTTCTCCCTCTCCCATGTCAGTCACATCTTCCTTGTCATCCTGCTCATTGGCCTCATCTTCCTTGACCTCATCTTCTTTTCTATCTTCTTTTATAACAATCTCCTCAGTAATAGTAATAGTAATAATAATAATAATTTAGAATTTATAATGCACTATTTTACATAAAATGATCAGAAGCACAGTACATGGAATATAAAATACAAAATGGATAAAACTCATATGTTTAAAAAGGTATTAAGTCTTAAGGCTTGTCTTAAAAACACTTGTCTTATAAATATTCCATAACATTGTATCAATAATTACCTGCCTCTGCTGTTTTCTTCGGATGTCCTTCTGGTTCATTTTTCTCTTCCTTAAGCAATGTTGTTCTTTCATACTCACACCATACTGAACTTTGCATTCTTGGAGCATCCTCTCATAGGGTACAATGAATTCTTTGACGAAAGCAAGTGCTGCCTCAAGTTTTGGAAGCAGGTCCAAGAAAAACTTGTTCTGTTCTCGTAGACCTACAGGATAGAAAAATATAGTATCATTTATAGTGACATACCTTAAAATTAGGGAAATAAGCCCAGGGCTTATAGAGCAATAGAGAACAATTAAATAGATAGAGAACAACTTTTGGCCTTTATAGGCAATAGAGAACAACTAAATATAAAGCAATAGAGAACAACTTTTGGCCTTTATAGAGCAATAGAGAACAATTAAATCATATGACTATGAAGGGCTTTATATTTTCTAGAGAGAGGGGCTTATTCTCAGAATTTTGGCATTTGCATAAAGGTGTAAGAATTTGGACAGGATTTTCCAATTTATATATTAATAGATATTTATATATTAATTATTAATATATATATATATATAATATATAATATATAATATATAATATATATTTAATTTAAAAACCATATCAACACTCCAAATTGGATATTCTAATTTTTCTATGATTGAGTGACACTCACACTCTTCGCCAGCAATCATATGCTGTATCAATATGGTTCTTTATTAATACCTCTTTAATAGGATTTAATAACACATTTTGTACTTTACCTGGAATGATTCTGGGTTTTCCTTCAGTGACAGAAGTCTTTTCAGTCTGTCTTATCTCCCTTTCACAAACATTGATATTCTTCTGAGCCAGGCTTATTGCATTTTGGCAGTTCTCTACAAAACTACAGAGATTGTCATAGTTTTTGTTTCCCGGTGATTTGTTTGCATTTTGGAAGGCAACAATATCAGGGTAGCGTTCCATCGTCATCTCGATCAAGCCATAAACACTTTGCATCTTGAGGTGCGGACTCCAGTTGTCAATCGCTGGACTTTTTGTAATTCCACAAATCATTTGAATCCTTTTGGGGCGTTGATTTCTACACCAAGCCTCGCAATCCTTCTGGTTCTTTGAAAACTGGAGACGTTCAGCTGCCATTTCAAGGATGAAAGTATTAGATATAGTCTGTTTAGGGGACACTGGAGATTCGTACCAAAGATTCTTAAATTGACCTTGTAGACTTTTGGTGCTCACGATAATGTTTCCCATACCATCTCTAGTCTGTACAAAGTTTTTCATACCAGGAGGCAAGGAAACTTCTTTCGACTGAGTGGAAGGCCTATACAAAGCCGTATTTAATTCGCGTGACTGAGCAAGACTTCTCAGATGACTATCTTGATATTCACTAAAACACCTCTCCAGTCGTCGGAACTCGAACTTTGTGAGCCCAAGTATAGTTGCATCTCCTTCATTGACATCTTAAAGATGCCATATTTCCGTGATTCCATTCTGTATAAACACAGAATAGTGTTTATCTAAAGAAGCAGCCTTTAACCGTGATAGAAATGTACAATTTGCATCACCCATGGTCACCAAATTTGCATTTATAATATCCGCCATCTTTGAACTCGCAGAAATGCAGAATACTGTCAGCGGTATTGTATAAACGGTTCGTACTTCATTTTATGATAGACCGCTCAAGATGTTGTTTAAAATATGGCGTCCAAGTATAAACGTCCATATCGAGATTTCAGCCGCGATTTTGGTTTCAAACACATATTCATTTATTTCTGCAATAAAACTGCTGGAGAAAGGCAAGCTGAATTACACACTAAAGTTATCGAGGAGAGTTGTGAAGATAAGCGGCAGTGTTTAGTCGCATTTTCAAGTTTACTGGATGAATCGATCGCCTTATCATGTATGAGCTTCCAAGACGCATTCGATGAATATATTGGCAAGATACCTTCACTAGCATGTATAAAGAAAGATAAACATGACATCCGTTGCCAGTTTAAGGACAAAATATTGTCAAAGAATGGTTTGCCCGTTCTCTATTTAGAAAACAATGGAAGCAGTTTCGTCATGCTACAGGACCGCCCACTGGATAAAATAACACTCTGTCAGAGCCTCGACCAGGTCCTTGATGCACCAAGGGAAAGTGGAGCAGATGAAGTTCCAAACGTCTTTAGCAGCATCCCAGATATCATGGAACTCTTGAGTACAGCAAAAGACAGAGCTATTCTTACATTTGTGTTGTCAAGTGTTTTTTCAGCAACTAAACTTTCACTAGCTCTTGGAATGCAACACCAACGAACTCAGAATATAAAACAAAAGGTTGATGAATTGTTGGACCAAATAAATGATATACGTAAAGAAGCAGATGGGGAAGCAGAAAGAAAAATAGAAGCTGTTATATCACAACTACAGCTTGAAATAGAAAGAGATTCGGATCATCTAAATTTGAAAAGGGCAAGACTACACGAGGAAGAAATAGAAGAAAGGAGCTTTGAAATAGAATTGAAAAGAAGACGGCTGGATGGAATGGAAGGGAAATCAAAATCATCTGCAAAGAAAAGGTTGTCCAAGCGACTCATTAAAAATTGGAAAAATAGTCTTATGTCACAAAAAGGGAAAGGTGAGGGAAGGTATAGAATTGATAGAGGTGCAGAACAAGCGATATATGAAGTGCTTCAAGAGCAACTGAAAGCACATAGCCGAAGATGGGGTGAAGAGGGAACAGGGTATCTTGAACATGACAAACGTCTGCATTCGAAGGAAATGAGAAGAATCGCAAATACCTACCTTAGAAAAAGAGGAAAGAAAACAATCAGAAGTAAGGAGACTGTCCATTCATGGGGGAGATGTCGAAATAGGAGATCTCGTCAGGCCAAGCAACATCGAGGTAGAAATTTGTGGGCTCATCTTCGACCTCAGAAAAAATGGAAAGAAGGGCACATCAACATTCATTACAATCGTGCTCACATTAAGAACTATACTAGATTCGCATTTTCCAATGACAACAAAGAAAGGCAACCATATGTGATTAGACGTGCCATTGACGATAAGACATATGTGAGGTGCGGGACATCAGAAGGATTCTCAAGGCCACTTCATACCCCAGTGCAACTATCTAATGAAGAAAGATGAATCAAACTGCCCTCCTCTGACTATCCAGATCCAGTGGGCTATGTTGCTCCAGGCGTAGTGTTGTTAGTAAACGAAATGAAAGAGACAGAACACAAAGGATGTGATAAATTTGTACCAACCAGTGTCACTGTAAGTGTTACTTGTAAGCCTAAGCACATTTACTCCAGCTCTGCGACAAACTGGGCAAATGATTTAATTTCCACGCGCTATAATTTCAGAAGTGAACATGAAGTATGTGATGAGGATAGCTATCCTAAAACTTGTTCATTTCAGGATGTTGAGATATTTCTCACAGGTCTGAGAGACAGTGTGTTTCAGTTTCAATTGATGACTATCAAGGACGACTATGAGAGAGTATCAGAGGGTGGCGATCACTGGGCTAGGGAGAAAATGAGGGTTCAAGTTCTTCTAGAGAGACTTAAAATAATATCAGCATCCCTAGAGCCATACGAAAAGGATGAACTTCTGCAGCAAGTCAGCACTAAGGTGTCAAGCCTTAATGACACACTGAAGAAGATAGGTGAGATACAAATATTTTTACTCACATGTTTCCTCCTTCTCTATTGTACCAGGTGGGCACAATCTCTGATCAACCTATTAAAAGCTACCTGTATGCTGTAGTTCCAAGTATTACCTTTAAAATGTATGTTCATGTTTCATTGTTTGCAGAGTCAGAACTTGAGGCAAAGAAATGGGATCAATGGACTATGGAAGTGGATTATGACGCTGCAAGTGAACTTTGCAAAACAATTCGACACACGCTGGAGACCAAAGCACAGGTATTTTTAATTAATAATATAAATCTCGTGTAGGAATGAAGTCAATGAATAGGTTTTCATGTTTTTAATAGTAGTAGTGAGTATAGCAGCAACTTTATGATAAAGCTCTATTTTATAAATAGTAAAATAAACTTCTATAAATGATTTTGTAGCTATAAACAATGCTGTATGTTGAATCTGTTTCAGACCTCTTGACATCCAGACATCAGATGCGGGACCTGGAGTGTCAAGCCACGAGAAGATTGTTCAAATTAGAATGTCGGAGTATTTCATGCTCAATTGCCTTGATCTGCAGTCAAGATTTCATTATGCTCCTGGAGATTCATCATCTCACATAGCCGAAAAAGTGATGAGGTCCCTTAACGAATGCCTTGGAGATGGAAGGTCAGTCAAAGTACCAACCGCTTCATTACTTGATCAACATGATAAACTTAAGCTAACACAGCTTAATCGAGATGAGTTACAGAGATTGCAAGAAGAAGCTGAGGCAGAGATTGCAAAGAAATGTGCATTAGAAATTAAGAGCCGCTTTGATGGTAAAGGTTGTATGGGCACATCAATTCATGCCACTGTTCCATTCTATGAGAGTTCTAAGAAATTTTTTTTTGATGAGGAGTTCATGTTGAAGTGTGCTAATGCAAATTCCGCAACTATCCTTGAAACATGTGCTGGCAAAGCTTACTTTCTTTTAGTGAGTAAGTTCTTCGCTGACCATTATATTCTCTATGACAATGGGTTTGAAGGTATAAGGGACAGTTGTGTCAATGAAGATGGATTAGCTTGCACTTTTCATGAATGCTTTGAAAACAAGCAAATTCTTCACAATGGCTGGAGTGGTGTGCCAGTTACACGGATTCATCCTCCTATTCCAGATTACTCTTGGCAACAGGAGTTCCACTATCTCACTCCTGGTCAGATTTTTAGGGGTGATATAACTGAGAAGTATGGCCTTCGAAAAGAGCTCATCAGTGAAACAAGGAAAAAGGACGATTTCTGCCCTCGCAAACAATTAGACAATCTTGTAAACTCATGTGGTTCTCCTGATCTCCATTTGGATGCCACTGAAGAAAAGTCAATAGGTGGTGATTTAGTGAAAACTGTTAAAGATAGAAACGATACACTGACTAAGATGATGGCTAAAGTTGATGACTTTACTAGCAAATATGCAGGAGACGATTTACGATATTCGGTCGTAAAGGAGATCAAGAAGAGGTATAATTCCCAGATTAAAGCATTTGTCTCTAAGAAGACAAATGCTAGTGCGCGGGCATGTGAAAAGGCTAAAACCTATGAAGACATCGACTGGGAAAAACTTGTAAGAACAAATGAATTAAATAAACTGTATGTCTCGCAGCTTGATTTATATCTTCTAACAAACCTTGGCCTGTCTAGGAAAAACTGCGATGAGAAAGGGTTCACAAAGGCTAAAAAAATCGAAGAAATAAAAAAACACTTTTATCGCAGCACAGATACAAAATTCTCTTCGAAAACTGCTTGTAAGAAGCCACAAACATCCCAAACAAGTCCGATTATAAATGTGGCTTTTCAATCTCACTCTACCAGTAGTCACAGTGGTGTGATATTGCAAGTGCCACCTTGGGGAGGACAAGTTAACACACCATTCTCGGGAACTTTAACGTTGACAAATACCTGTCCAATCGAGAATTTTTTGACTATTTTCTACGCGTTGATGAAGAATCATCAGACTGCAATGCAGCATATGCTAAATTCACCAGAATTGTATGCGGGGACGTTAGTAGTTATCGCAAATCTATTTGATCGGTCACAGTTCATGGAGGGGAAGTGCGAATGGCTCAAACTGTTTCCTGGTAAGTTCAACCTGACACAGAATGGATCACAACTGAATCTATACGGGAATGAGGAAGAGCTTTTTGTTTCAAGACTCTTCCCAGTTCTTGGAACAACCTATAAAAGCATATGTAATTCCCCACACTGTCCAGTAACAGTGAAGCAGAACTATTCAAGGGCAATCACACTGAGGTATGAAAAACCACTTTCTATATAAAATGTACAAAGTATGACAGACACATTAGACCACAGCTGGAAAGCATATATATTTCAATTGAAAATAAAGTTTATTTAATATTCTGTTTTATATATAGTGCTGTACATGTTCCACCACCTGGATTTTTACAAGAGTCCCTGACACAGTGGATGAAGACAGAGCTACAGACAAGCACTTGTGGCTTGAGGATGAATGTGTTACCCCCTGGTGCCAAACATTATTTAGGGAGCTACATTGTTCAAGATCCAATTACTGGCCAGATGGGGTAGGCAAATTAATACATATCTGATATACATGCAGTGTACATGCTGTGTATTAAGTACAATTTTACTGTGGTTCAAATTTGTCCATTATATTGTGTCAGTGTATTAAATGAGTATTTAACAATAAAGGAGACAATTTGAACCACACATAGACGGTTGGAGTACTTTTATATGTAATCGGTAATTTTATTGACATTGTTTTACTTACTCCTTGCAGACAAGCAATTCAAGCTTATTGTGCGGGGGTGCGCAGTAATTCTGGAAGAGTATTTACTTCAAGAAGTTTACCCCCCTATTTAATGATATCATTGGATATTTTTGCCCAGCAAGGCATATTGTCGACTCTAAGTCATTTGCCAGACACAGTGGACCTGCAGAGTGAAAGGTGCATTTTGTCTGTATGAATTTGCATCCAAAAACTAAAATACAGTTCTACTTTAAAGTTTTAACAAATATTAACATGCTTGAATATTGTTAAAAACAGGTACAGTCTATTTGGTGCTACATATTGGAATGGTGGTCACTACCGAGCAGCTGTAAACATAAACCAAACATGGTTTATATATGATGGGCTATGGGAAAGAAATAGTCGAGGGAAGGGTCTTGAACGCTGTGTTGGACTGCCAAATGTCCCACATGGATACACTCTGTCCCATTGTGTATACATCCAGGATCAGCTGCTTTGAGTTGGGAGATGAGGATGGTTTTACTTGGACTTGGTACAATCAGAAAGAGTATCCTTTGTCTTTTTATAATATATAGCTTTTATAATACAGTTTCGTATAGATTATGAAATGCTATATTAAAGTCATCAATTCGTCTAAAACATTGTATCCTTCAAACCCAGACACTACAGATTTACAATTGTTGTGTTCTTGCTTTGTTCTATTTTATTTATTGGACGAATTTAATAATTGACCTATTATAAAATTCTTCTATTTAAATGGATGTACAGACTAGGATCGATGTATAAACTAGGCCTGTAAATTTCACTAAAAAAAATATATTTTCAGCCATCAAGTGAAAAAAAAATATTACTTCTATAGGTGTACAAAAAAAAAATATATTGCCTCTTAGAAAATCCCCCCCCCCCTCCATCACTTTTCTAATGGTCTGTCCCTAACTAAAAATGTTTTCTTTTAGGACTGAAAGTTTGAAATGAGACAGTTTGGGAAATTATCACCAATTATGTTAAGGTATGTCCCAAAGTAGTTATGATTTATACTTAGTCTTCCTACGATTATGTATAATGAGTAAAAGGATTTATATTCACTCCTTTAAAAGACAATACAGCCCACTTACTCTAATTGAAATGATGAATGATGATACGTTTACAATGGAATGCTGATGCTCATTAATTTATTTCACTACCTTCATTGTGGTGTCTCCACTATTCTGATCACAGGCCGAAATGGACGCTATGAATTGTTTGTGAATTTGTACGCTATTCGATTAATATTGCTATTAAAGTGGGTTTTTTTTTCGATTTCACAAGTTCCTTGAAATACGACTGTTAATTCTTCGAGGACAAGACTAACATATATTGATTGTCCCTCATTATTGGTATACCTTTACAACAAACATCTCCCATCTCTACTGGACCAAGTACTGTGTAAATCAATGAAATTGAACTATCGACGCTTCATAAAAGATAAACATTATAAAAGCTTACAGAAATGCAAGATTTGTTCCGTTCATACTTAAACTGAATATTTAAACTACAAATAGTCCTAATGATTGTTTCAGATTTTGTTCTAATGCGATTTATATACTGTAGAAAAACCTGTAATTCTTTTATTGCATAGTGATACTTCGATACATGTCTGCAAGTATTGCTAACTGAACTGTCAGCTCTTTCTGTACTATTTCTCCTCAATGACGTCTCACTCTAAACTGTATTCAAGTTGATTATGATTGTCTATATCTGTAAACTGTCAAAATGCAAGAACCTTCCCACTTCTGCAATCTGTTGTAATTTTCTGCAAATGTTCTGTTTTCCTGTAGCGTTACCAAATTATGAGCAACTATGGGGACAAAGTTTAGTTTTCAACTTTTCATTTGTAAATCCCCAGTGAGTTAACACTCTGTAGAGCGTCTTGTTATTATTTACATGACACCTTCAAGGCTACCCCTATTGCAAATCAACCGAACAATCTGATGCAGAGAAAAAATCTATTTGTTAACATTTTTGTTTAATATGTCAGCTTCAGATGACACCATTCATTGTACTCAGTCAGAGATTGTACTCAGTCAGAACCACAAAACTATATAATAAGAAAGAAATTGTGAGCATTATCAAAGAATATTCTTGGGTTTAATATTACATCACAGAAGTGATGGGGGGGGGGGGGGTAAACTCTAAAACAAAACACAGTTTGTTTGTTTGTTTTATGTATTAGCCTTGTGTTTGGTGGCAATACATGGAATTTCGTATCATTTTTTCACTCCAGTACAGCATAAACGTCAATACATTTGAGGTTGACCCCCCGTCAGATTCACTGCATAATACCTTAGTGAAACCCAAGAAAACCCGGAAATGTGTTGACACAGCCAGGTGAATGTATGAGTATAGGTCGGTAGGAGATATAAACAGGCCATCAGGCATGATACCTGGCCTTGTACAAAAGTGAGTTGACATGCTATTTGCATTGTAACTGCTGGTGAGTTAATAATATATAGTACAGACAACAATCCCCACACTGTGTTGCTATAGGAATTTTATTAATTAATATAAAGCCCGATTACATGCACAAGTAACAGTCTGTGTTTTGTTTTTAAAACGTGCTGAAAGCACCATTGATATACAGATCTAAAATGAACACTATAAACTCATCGCCTTGGCACATCGCCACACAAACAAATATATAAAATAAGACATTATTGACATGATGAAATCATGTGTTTCAATACCTCTGTATCGAATGGCGAATGCTAAACAGTAGATCAAAATATATCAAATTTCTTCATGTATGTCACCTGAAAGAAATAAAGCCATTCTTACCTGATGTATTTATTCTTTGATATTTGTTTGCAATCCAACATATAAACTCGCATGGTCTTGTATTAAGTTTAAAACTGCTTGCATAATACAAAATAAAGTTTGACTGCCCCCCTCGTTTAAAAAAACTTCCTGAAGCTTAATTATTCCTCCCGGAAATCATCTTTACAGACAAACACAAATCGAGATCTCAACAATACATAGATCGCGCGAAAGACTGGCGAGTGGACTCTGGAGAAACCACCGCGTGTCAAGAATAGGGTGCTGCCTCACTGCACTCGGCAGCAACAGGATATATGCTGGATAGTTATATCCAATCTATAGGTTATATCCAGTCCAGTAGGATAGATAAATATCCAGCCAAATTGATTCATGGTATTATTCAAATATATAAGGCTCAGGTCTCACTTTAGGTTAAAAAACGCAACCTCCTAACACAAACCTTAACCGATCACTTTCCACCCAAATATTATATTTAGTGTCCAATCAAAATGTCCCAGGAGAAATTTAAATTTCACACAACGACAACATCCATCTAATTATAGTTGTAATCACTAACATATATCGACAACAATAGTATAAAAAATTATAAATTTAAAAATCTTTTGTCTTATAGACCAATCAAGATTTACAACTGAAATACAGTCGAATGGCATGGACTTTTGTTAATTAAGGTTTGTGTCAGGCATATTTATTTATAGGCCTGATCGCAGGTTAGATCTCTGAGTGGCCCCACCTACTGTAAATGCACTGTAATGTGAAACTGTGTTAACTTACAATACATTTTGTCCATTTTTGTCCAGAACATGCAATGGATGTTAATTAAAATACAACAATATGTCCTGTTTTCAAAGAAGACATTGTAAAAGCATCAAGCTGGACAACAAAGAGCAGGGAAGGAAGAGCAATGAATTGAACAAGAAATTGAGATTAGTTGACATACATTATAATTTTATATGGTTACTAATTCAAACACCTGATTATATTTAGTATTATTTTTTCATTTATTTAATATATATAGTTTATTATTATGCAAACAGCATATTATATTTATTATATAAATAAAATGTTATTAGATGAACAAATTTCATGTGTGAGGTGGTGATGTGCTGCATGCATGGTATACTAAAGAATTTGTTTCAGAAACTATAGTTTTTCAACTAAAATAGTATAGTTTTTCCAACTATAGTTTTTAGTCAAAACTATAGTTATTAGCCAAAACTATAGTTCCTACAATTATTATAGTTGTTAATTACTATAGTTTCCATAACTATAGTTTTTGTTCCAAAATATTATAGTTTTTAAAACTATAGGTTTTGGCTTGTAAAACTATAGTTTATTTTTGTAAGGTCAGCATGGAAGAACCAGTCAGACCATAGGGCAGCCCAAATATTGTCATAGATTCAATTAAAACTGTGTACAATAAAAACTAGTCTTATTCCCCTATATTACGCACGTACGCTTGCACGTCAACTGTTGTGTTCATTTGTATTGTCTGGTAAGCTGTCAATATCTTATTTCTGAATAGTTTTTGTTTTTTTCTTTGTTGTATGGCCGAAATTATAAGTTGTGCCTGTGGCTGTTTAATTGTATGACTTTACAAAAGCTATTGCATGGTTTATTTTCCCTTTAATTTTGGAAATTGAAATATCGTTTGTATATAAAAAAACATTATTAACTAAAAAAGTATAAGTGTTGACCAACACAAACAAAAGCATGCCGAGCTAGACCTATAATTATGTACAGCATTTAATAAAATTACTCCAAAGTCTCTACGTATATCGGGTTTGCTACAAATTGACAAGCGCAGACATGCATGGTAAAATGTAAATAAAAGTTTTCCACATTCCTCAAATGCATGGTCTAATACAATTTTAAACAAAACTGCACGGTGAAAACGAGCAATAAATCTGTAAGAAAGGAATAGGCGGGATAGCTACAAATTTTGCAAAAAACATGCTGTTCTCGTCTGTTAGAACGGTCGTCAAAAGTCTGTATAATTGTCAAATAACTCTTTATTCTATCCCAATTTAAAAATACAAAACACGCTGTCTTAAAATCAACACTAAAAAAGACACCCGCATTACGCAAGGGCAGCAGTTATATATGTCTCAATACGTTATATTACAGGGAACGATTCGTTCCTTAACATCCCCCTCCCGAATGCAATGCATTCGAAATAAAGTTAACATGAACATAATTTAAGTCTGCGAACGTCTGTTCAATATCAAGTATGCGCATATAACTATAGGATACAATAAGGTTGTCGTGATCGTAACTATTGATAACTGTCTATCATGCACTTGTGTCGTCACTGTCCGACTGTTCTTCGATATGCTCAAGGGGACACAAGCGATGTACAGGTCTAATATACTCTTTGACTGCACTTTCACAGCTCTCACAAGGCCATCTGCACCAGGATAGGTTTCCATTACACAACCAAGAGGCCATTCTCCGCGGTTGTCCTTAGGTTCTGCAATCAGCACCACGTCTCCTTCCTTTAAATTGTGTCTTGGATGAAACCATTTTCTTCTGACGTTGAGACGTGGAATAAATTCTTTTCTCCATCGTTTCGAGAATTGTTGCAGCAGTTGTTGCACGCGATGCCATCATTTTCTTGGGTTGTACACTTCTGTTTGGTCCAGTGCTTCTGGGGCGAATGATCCTCCAATTTTTCCAACAAGGAAATGATTCGGTGTAAGTGGTGAGATATCGTTGGGATCTGAGCTAACGTATGTGATTGGTCTGGAATTCAACAGTCGTTCAGCTCCGCATATGGCTGTGTGTAGTTCCTCGTCTGTGATATCTGCATCTCCCAATATGGCTTTGATTGCTTTCTTCGCACTTTTAATCATTGCCTCAAAGACTCCGCCAAAATGAGGAGCAGATGGAGGATTAAACTTCCAGTCGACGGGATGATGCTTGCTGGTACCTTGAATGATCTTGTCATGGTCGAGGGCTTCAATCAGTTCTCGCATTTCACGTTCTGCACCAACAAAGTTCGTGCCATTGTCTGTGAGAACATAGGTAGGCGTCCCCCTCCTGGAAGACATACGGGTAAACGCGTTGATAAACAAGTCCGTATCTAATGAATACGACATTTCCAGATGGACTGCCCTCGTTGCTAAGCAGGTGAACAGGCACAAGTACTGTTTCGCTCTGATCTTACCACGTCCTTGTTTTGTTAAAAAAGGACCTGCATAATCGATTCCAATTCTGTCGAAGGCTCGCAATCAATACAATCTCGCCTTAGGTAAAGGGGCCATCATTTGACCGGCTGTTTGCATAGAAAACCTTCGTTGGCATTCTGGACAAGACTTGATGTTCCGTTCTACACACCGTCCTTTCACAATCCAAAATCGCACTCACAATTGTGTTAAAGTATGTTCTATACCAGACCCATGGCCAAGTGTCTCATGTGCATCAAGAACTACAAGGCGTGTCAGGTGGTGATTCTTTGGCTGGAGGATAGGATAATTTGTGTCGTATGGGATGTCTTCAGCGAGACGTAAGCGTCCATTAATACGAAGTAGGTCATTATCATCTTTTGTCGGGTTTAATTGGACTAGGGACTTTTCATTTATGCCTTCAGGAAAAGTTTCTGTTCGTGTGTGTTTGATCCAAAACGTCTCAGCATCAGAGATCTCAGGAGAAGAAAGTGTTTTTTCATAGTTTCGTCCAGATTTCCCACGAATCTTACAATTGACGATGAACCGCTTAATCCAACCCGTCACACGATATAGATGTTTGAGAAGTGTGTAGGATCAATGCTAGTAAATTCATAGTTCTTAGTTGCATATCACAGGAAAAAATCCTAAAATCCCAATGTTGGTAAAATTTTGGGAACTTCTTGGTAAATGGCATAATTCCCAAGAGAATCCCAATCTTGGTAAAATCGAGCATTACCAATTTCACTTTATCTTGGGAATTTGGAATTTACCAAAGTTTTCCCAAATAGTAATGAAGTTGGTATTTAATATTTACCAAAAAAATACCAAGAAATTCTGAGATAATCAAAGCCGGGAGATTCATGGTATTTTATTGGTAATGGATTTGCATAATTACCAACAAAAATGCCAAGCTTGGTAAATTTATTGATTTTACCAAGCTTGGTATTTTTGTTGGGAATTATGCAAATCAATTACCAATAAAATACCATGAATGCCCCAGCTTCAGAATTTCTTCTACATGCATGGTATTTTCTTGGTAAATATGAAATACCAACTTGATTATTAATTGGGAAAACACTTTGGTAAATTCCCAACAGTACATCATTCAGCTTGGGAAATTAAAAGTACCAATGTAATATAAACTATACCGCAGGTAATTACGTGGCAAACCATGCAGAGTCCTTACCTTTTACAGTTTGTCATTAATACACTATATGGCAATATATAGTACTGTTGCACAATGATTTAATTAACACAACTTATGATACGAAGCTAGATAGAGAAGTTCAACTAGAATTATTGTTTGTCTTCTTTTCCATAACAATCACACTGTCTCGATGAAGGCAGTAAAAATCTGCATCATCTTTCAAGGTTACTCGTTTTTTTAAAAGTAACTCCTTGCTTAATACACTATATGTGCAGTATATAGAACTGTTACACAACTTATGATTTAATTAACACAACTTATGATGCAAGCTACAGCTAGAGAAGTTCAACTAGAATTATCCTGTGACTTCTTTTCCATAACAATCACACTGTCTCGATGAAGGCAGTAAAAATCTGCATCATCTTTCAAGGTTACTAGTTTTTTTAAAAGCAACTCCTTGCTTAAAACCATCATCAGTTCAGTTTTATCTTTTGATGTTAAGTTCTTAACTTTTAAGTCCCTGCCAAGAGGGAGAAGATGAAGGTCTTTCTTCACTTCTTTTGTGTATCCCTTTTTAAAATAAGCCAAGATGATTGTTTCAGCTGTGGTCAATGGAATCTTTTGTGCACCCTCTACAGAAAAAAAAAATAAATAAATAAATCAAAAGACTGTATGTATATTTCAATATTTTATTGAAATAAATACACTGGTGAAGATTACTTATTAACAAGCTTCAACTTACAAAATATTTTATTTTCATAAGTAAAGAGTAAGTAAAGAGGTAAGTATAATTAAGAAGACTGTTGGAGCTAAGAGTATAAATGCAACACTAGGAAACTCTTCAAGCTGACAAAACATTTGTTTATTGTTTATTAGCATTTATGTGTTGTTTATTAGCTTTATATGTGCTAACCGTGCAGGACAAATTATTATTATTATTTACCTGGCAACTCAGTTTCACTGCCAGAATTATTCTCTTCACTTTCAGACCTTTCCTTTTTTCCCTCTGCTATTAATATTGGGCTTTGCGAACGCTTACTGCATTCTTCATCTTGATCAGTTGAACTTGGATCCTGAAAACAGTTTCAAATAACCAAATGAATGGAATGAAATAACATTAAAAACCACTCTAGAATGCAGACACTTTATATGTATATTTAGCAGTCCATCAGAAATAAACAACAGTGTTTACTGTACAATATGTTAGCTCAACTTACATTATCAAAGGTTTACACGACTAATTATTATTAAAGTTATTTAAGTAATGAATAAAATACAGTGGTATATACCTATTAATTTTCATGAACCTTTTAGATATCACAGTATATAAAGTATACCTCATTATCCTCATAATTATATCCCTCCCTCACCATTCGTCTTCTTTCATCCAATATTGCTCGAATGTGTCTCCTGAGTTCCTCTATTAGTAAAGAATTTGTCTTTTTAATATTATTGTGTATGAGTAAATTTCCATATAAACTCTATCTTTTCCATAAACTGTGCATGCATATTATTAATTAAACAGTAAAATTTGGCATACTTTCTTATCATGCATGCATTACCTTCATCATATCCAATATCAGGATTAACATGCTCTTGGCAACTGACTGTAAGTTCTTGAAAATGCTTCTGTGCATTTGCATTGCCTCTGAAAACAGGAATATTGTTTCCAGGAAACATGGCAACAGTTTTCCTGTGTACTTGCTTTCGCCTACAAAGAAAATGGAAAATTAATAATATAAATATTAAGTATGCAGGTACCTTAACATGCAACTAAAAAGGCATGTTCTAAGCAGAAATGAACAAGTTTTCATTTTTCCCTCTTGAAAACTTTCCAGGATGTGCCTCTAATTTTATAAAAAATATTTTCTTTCCTGGGGCCGGGTATTTGTCAGCATTTTTGGCAGGGGGCTTTAGTACGAATATTCTGCCCTCCCCCTGGGCATTATACATTACCCCCTGGGTGACCAAGGTGCCTGGATAGGCATTGCTGGATTTGATTGATGAATAACTTGTGCAGGATATAGCTAGATTTATATAGCCTTTGCACAATTTCATTGCATTTTTTTTAAAAATGGAAGTATAAAACTAAAATGCTTGTATTGAGTTTGCCTTAGTGGGTTTACTTTTGCTGAAAAGTAAAAATCTCACCGTCGAAGCAAGTCATCTTTCTGCTGTGGTGACAGGAGTTTTTTTAACACACTTCTTTGCAACCTAGGCATTTTTGCCTTTGATTCACCTGAAATTTAAAGTGAGGAAAATATTTTCCCAACAGTACTAGTGTCAAAAAATATGCAGTACTAAAATACGAGTTCAAAATTTCATATATATATAGTTTCTTACCCACTAGTTCGGCAATTTTCCTTTTCAGTAATTTTTTTCACCCACAGTTTGAACGTGACAAGAGTTTAATTCTTCTTCTGACAAGCCTTCTTTTAAACACATACCATCAATTTTTTTATCTAAGTCATAAAATAACGTATAAGCAATAAGGTGTGGACAAGTAAATATAAAACAGTCAGAAGTCTCCAATCTTGCAATCTATAAAAAATGCTGCACTGACCTTTGAATCCCTGTTTGAAGTCTCTTAATCCTTGAGCATCCAACCAATGAAGCACGTCATCTGTATTCCACTCTAAGAAGAAAGTATATGATAATACAATTGATTTGCTATTGTTTCTAAAAGAATCCTGGCTCAGATAGGTTATCAAAAAAACTGAAGAAACGACTGAAGCCTTCGACTTCGCACGTTTGTACTCTTTGTATATACAGTACTGTAGTGACTGTATAACATTTTCTCCCCCTAAATTCGTCGAAATTTTAATACAAACTCGTACCGTCAACACCCTTTTCAGAATTTTCTGAGGTGGAACTATTGGAAATGCTTCTAGCCAGCTTTTTACTTGCTGAATTCGAACAAGAAACTTGGCCAGAACTACTTGTCGACGACACCATGTTTGGTGTTCTTCGAATGCTTGGCGCCAAAACCATAAAAGCTTTATCTTTATTGGTTGATTTTTTTTGGCGCAATTTTACTAGGCGAATTAAAATCGCTGTTGTACTGTTCATGTATTCAATATTATATCACAGTGAAACAAATTACAGATGGGAAACTAGAAATTATTTGCTGATATTTAGTGTTATTGTCATTTTTACTCACCATCGAGAAGCCATCCCTCAAAAAAATCCATTTCATCATCAGAATCAATTATGTCAGTATCATAATCGCCGAGATACTCGTCACTCCGTCCTTGGCTGAGTTGGCTGGACATAAAATCATCGTCCATCTTTATTCTTTATTCTTGAAGAAATCTAGTACGTCACACTTTCCGTGCATATACAAGAGGAAAGACGATTTTGTAAACAGTATACGACACTGTGAGTGGTATACGACCGACGATATACGATTTTCATAACAGCACGTCTTCCGCTGAGCCAGCGATCAATTGCGCCAGTATGGCTAATAATAGCGATTAGTATCCAGAATTATCCAAAATTACCTACATAATTCCAGTCTCGTCCCCGCCATATGGTCCCCAGACTCCCCACTCGTAGAGTTCTGAGTTGAAGAAAGTTTGCAATTGAATTTTGAAACGGTCGAGCGACTGAACAATAAATTTTATATATAGTTTTGACTATATATATATATATATATATATATATGCCAGCAACATCGTCATGCCGTTGCAATTCACGAAACTATTTGCATGCACACTGTTATTGCCACATTTACAACTGCGGTGGCAAAGCTGTTTCTCGTTCTACGTATCAGCACCATCGGAAAGCTGCAGATTCTGCAAATAGAGAATCGCAAACAGGAGCGGGTAACAATGAAGGAGAACGTGGTGCAAACGATAACAATCACCCAGGTATATATTTATTTAAATTAATTATAAGTTTCTACAAATTTACAGTGAATATATATTACAGTGTATATATTAAATTTGTAAATTCATAGGGCTAAAAAAAATGTGGTTTTCCAGTCTCTTCTTATAAAAACTTTGGTAGGGTAGGTTGGTTTTAATTTTTATTTTTAAACTATTTTTTAAATTTTCTTAACAACCGGACGCCATTTTGTTTAGTGAGTGTTTCCACATCCAAAGATAAATTTCCCTCATATTGCCTCAAAGTTCAATCTTCCACAAACTTTTTCCTCTAAGTGGAAACACTTACAAGCATGATCCAATAAAAAAGTTTAGGGTCGGGATTTCGACGTCCAAAAGCTAGGTAGGGTCGGGAAACCGGAAACCCACATTTTTTTTGCCTAGTAAATTTAGCCCGGACGTTCTGTGACCCCCGTCTGTGATCATATCAGACTATGTCAGCGGCATTTAGAAAAGTACTCAAAAACCCCTCAAATAACATCGCCCGAAGTTCAAAGGTTTTACTCAAAATTGCAAAGGAATTTTACAGTTTTATAAGAAAGTGGAAATATTTCCAGATGCATGGGCATCATTCCAATACAGTATTTACCATCAAAGAACAAATATGACTGGTTTATACTATAGTTTATATTGTCTAAAAATACATTCCCATGTACATGCAAATTAATACATCCTTTGAGAAAATTCACAAACTAACCTCTCTGAAATTTGAGGTCCTTGACATGGCTAGAAAAACAATAAATGGCCGATACCATCACAATATTTTATACTAAATAATGTGAGCAGATAATTTTATTTATATATGTGACCACTATATATTTAGACTTTCTGTACTTGTAATTCAGCGGCGTGTTTGTTTGGGGCATTGTGTGCGATCTAACATGCTGCTAGCTAATTGGTTGGATCCCACAATGGCCAATGTTTTGTGTTTCGTTGTCATATATTTTTCTAAGATTGCCTTTATGCAATACCTTTCGGTTGGATTAGAGTCACATTTATTTTTTAGGTGTATTATATTCGATTAAAATAAATGCAAATTAAATTAAATTAACTTTTTGCATAAATCCTTTTGTATAAATAAGTTAAAATAATGTCTTTAATTAATATAAATTCGCGCACAAATTCGAATTGTGTTAATTATTAACGCTAAATGCTAAGCCGCTGGCATGATCTGATATGATTTCGGACGGGTGTCATAGAACGCCTGGGATAAATTGACTACCTGTTAAATTTAATATATAAAGCAGTGCTTCCACTTGAAAGGATTTTTCCCTGCCACAAGGAAATATTAGTCTTTGCAAGGAAATAAATTTCACACGGAAAGTGCAAGGAAAAATACAGATTTTTGATGTGATGTGGTAAAATTTGGAAACACAATTTAACAGGGCAAATTATTGGGGGACAACTAATTAATGGGGGTTAATGGAGACCAAATGGGAGGCAAACATGGGCAAATTTATGTGTATTTTATAACGTTAAATAGGATAAACATCCAAGTTTAACAACAGTTGGGTTATAAGTTTCAGGACAACTTCGTGGTTTTGATGGTGATACATCTTCTGTTGAAAATCCTGACTCTTCTGATGAAAATCCTGAAGAAAATCCCCCAAACTCATCTCAAGAAACGTTTCAAGAATTTCGGGAACAAGGAATGCAGACAGATGAAGAAGAATGGGATCAGAAAATTGTTGACGCTATCTTAAATGCATTACCATTAAAACACCAACAAGGAGATTCTATTAAATCATTTGAGGGCTGGCTTAAATGGGCAAAAGATTATGTCCTGACTGAGCAAAAAATGAAAGACATCTGGCCTACTACCTGGTCTGAGACAGAAGACATTTTGAGAAGGGTTGGATATGAATCACCAAAGCATTATTACATTTGTATGAGCGAAGAACATGCAAGAGAATGGGATATTATGGAGTCTCCATCAGATAAATGTAAGCATTGTGGAGAACCTGGAGATATTGACTATTATTATATGGGTCTATCTTCTAAGATTAAAAGATGGTATGGAAATCCAGATATGTGTAATGCAATGCTCGATCACTGGCGAGAAAAGGAACACTGGTTTAACAATTTTGAAAGAGGACAAACTAAAGGCTGGCCAATCAAGAAGGAACTATGGGACGGTGTTCGATTCTCTCAGTACTCTTGGTTTTTCGATAAGGAACTAGAGTGTTTACTGCCAACCACCTGTCCACATTGCAAAAATTTAAAGATCCAAGGAACATTGTATATATTGCTCACTGGGATGGGTTTAGTCCATTTGGAACATCTGGTGGTCACAGCACAGGAGTGATTGATGTCAAGATAGGAAATTTGTGTAAGAACAAACGAAATCATTCTGACCAAGTTTTTGTGGTGGGATTTGTGCCATGTTTCAAACTGCCAGATGAAACCCCCGAGTATTTGGATCCTTTCCTTAGCCCGTTGATGAATGAAATTGTGGATGGCTTCATTGATGGAATTGAAGTGGAATACTGTGCCGACTTTCCTGACTTTGATATACAAAGTGGACCAGCAGTTATACGTCACCTTATTCTTCTTTGGACAGGAGACCATCCAGGACAATGTGAAGTAGCTAAGGTCAAACGTACAGGGAAAAAAGCTTGTCGTCGTTGTCATATTTGTGGCATACCTCTAGAGCCTGGATCACCCCACTACTACTACGGCAATTGTAGGTATCATGCAAGACACAAGTGGGCAAGCAAAAATATGGAAGAATCACTTCCCCATATGAAGGCTGCAGATGAAGAAGTAGGAGCTGCATGGAGTAGAATTTCAAGAGATAGTGGATTTACTGGTGTTAGCATGCTTACTATTCTGTATGACCTCTATGGATTTGATGTGTTACTTGACACTCCTGTTGATTTGATGCATAACTTACCAATGAATCCGGTCAAAAAGAATTTACGACGCTTCTTTGACACTGGAAATGTCAACAAAAACCTCATTGAAGCAAGGCTAGAAAACTTCCCATGGACTGCAGAAATGCGAGCCTCACGCTATCCAAGTGGAATCACTTCACGCTTAGGGTACTGGAAAGCAGAAGACTATCAAAAGTTTTGCTTTCCTGCCTCAGAAGTTATTCTGAATGACCAGATGGATGCTAAAGAGTTTCAATGTTGGACACTACTAGTACAAATGATACAGATGGTTTTTAACTGCTGTCGTTTGAATGGCTGGCGAGAAGAAGACATTGAATTGTTTAATAATGAAGCCTGGCGTCACAACATTGTGGTGGAGGAAACATTTGGTTTGGCGGCCTGTGTCATCACTGAACACAATTTAATCCATGTCAGTGATGATATATACCTTTTTCATCACCAGATAACTACTGGGTTTTTGACCTAGAAAGAGCTATTAAGCGATATGTTAACCAGTCAACACATCATTGTAATATTGAAAAGACCTACAGTGACAATGAAACAAGGCGAGAAGTTCTCCAGAATCTAGATATTCTAAGGAAAAGCAGGAATGCACCTTCTTTAACACAGGAGGAAGTTGATATGGCCATTTCCGTAAAACAAGTCTCTTCATTGAAAAAAGGTTATGACCTGATTGCTCATGCCTCTAAAAACAATTTGCCAAATTTTCAAGATGGCATATTGATTGGTGGACAGAATAAAAGATTTCATGAAATATCTGAAACTCAGAGGCATGAAATTTATGAAGATGTACATTCTCGTGAAGAAGAATTGGAACATTTCACTATTTCCTCCACCACGACATGCAAGAGCATTCTAAAACCTGGGACAGAACCAAGTGGCCTTCATGTTTTGTACAGGAAAGGAGAAAATGCGATTTACTCCTCGAATGGTGAAGAAACGACAGGCAGAATCAATAACATTCATTCGGTAATAATTGAGGATGATGGTGATAACAAAGGTGTACATTTGTTTGTAGAAGTTCAGGAGTATGAAAATGTTACAGATGATGATGGTGAAACCAAATACCATTCCGGAACTCAAAGTGTGTATCTACAATTGACTTCAACTATCAAAATGGTGAATACCATTTATGTTTTGAGAAAGGTTATATTGTATCCAGAACAGGCCAATCCTCATCAATATGTTTTGATAGACTTTCAGATGCCTTCTCTGCCACAACATAAACAATTCGTAGTGGTTCCTTTTTACCCGGAGAAAAATGACATGATACTTTTTTTAGGTCAACATGATTATCAGTGGATAGCAATAGTTGTTTCTGTCCAAGAAGATGAGAAAACAGTTGGTGTACACTTTTTTAAAGAACACTTTTTTAAAGGTGGCCCGAGGGGAAAAAATATATCAAGGAGAGTTCTACGTTGCATAGCGTACATTGGGATTGTATAATTAAAGAATTGCAAGGACAGTGGATGGCAAATGGAGTTTGGGAATTACAAAGCACTTTGTAAATCCTCAGTTGAACAAATTATGTGTAACGAAATACGTTTTGCAGAGCACCAGGCAGCATTTTTGTACTGCTGAAATACTGAAAGATTTGGACTTGTTTACAGATTGCTGGGATTTTATATGAACATTGTGGTATTTTAGTAATTATTGCGTACACGTTATTACTATATTAATTACTATATTTATTATATTCATTTTGAAATCAATGGTGTTTCCTGCAATCTGATTGGTTCACAGGTGTGCGATTTTAGCACGAATCGCACTCCTAGCAGTGCGATTCGTGCTGAAATCGCACCTTCTTGCAACTAATCACATTAGAGTGCCGACTTCAACCAACCAATCATATTTAACATAGGATTCAAACAGCCAATGAATTTTAAGAAAAATGTGATATGGCAAATGAGCAAAAACAAAAAATTTACACGTCACGATTTAATACTCTTGAGTGCCTATAAGCAATTTTTTGCACATAAAAACAAAAAGAAACATGGATAACTACAGTAAACTATGAAAGAATTGCAAATAATTTTAATTCTTTTGAAATTTCACAAATAGTAACTGGCAAAATCTTAAACGCACAAAACTGCACCAAAACTCTTTCAATCACTTGTAAGACCTACAATATGTTTAAACTTACTTGTGTTGTCTCTTATTCTTTATAAATGTCTTCATTTCTTTAAGATTTTTGGCATTTTTTGCAGTATTTGAACGTATTTATAAACAAAACTTACAAAACTTTAGTGATGGGCGATACCGAGTACTCGGTATTCGATACCAGTGATACCACAAACAGCAGTATCGGTATCGATTACTGACGTGGTATCGTTCGATACTTGCACCCTTTTTTAATTAAATGACTTGTTTAATTTCACTTCTTGGTTGAATAAGACTTTATTACAAAAATAAGTATGAATTTGGAAAAAATGTGGTTAGGTTAATTGACAAAAATTTCAGAAAATTATGGAAAAATTTTGGATTTTAGAGAAAAAAAATTTTGATAAATGGGGAAAATTGCTGATGTCCGGAAAAATTTGGGTATGTCCGAAAAAAATTTTTAACCCCGAAAATGGTACACTGACCGAAAATCTTTTGACGATGGGAGAGGGGGGGGAGGTCGCATACAGTGATGTGAAATGCTTTTCCGCTGACCGGCGGCAGGTATCGATACTTACAATTTAATTACTCACTTCCGGTATCGAAAATTGAAATTTTGGTATCGAAATAGGTATCAGTATTGGCCGATATCGATCCTAAATGTATCGGTATCGAATTAAAAATCCTGGTATCGCCCATCCCTACAAAACTTTTCATCTTGTTTGCTTACTGTTGCTATGCTACGGCACTCAGGGAGGTGCCGGAGGTGTGTCTTTTGCAAACAAAAACATTTCCGGTTTACAAAAAAAATATTTAAGATTTCAAAATGAATATAATAAAGTGGAAATTGAACTTCGTGTTGTGCAATTTTGGACTGAAATCAAACTTGTGATTACAAATCGCACTCCCGCTTCGCGGTTGTGCGATTTTGTAATCACGCGTTTGATTTCAGTCCAAATTGCACTCCACTCAGTTCAATTACCATTATTAATTATATATTAATGTTTCTGTTTCCTTGAAATAAATGCAAAATTTCCCATTTAATTTACGAGTGGCTTTTACCAAGATTTTCCCAGGAAATTTACAATATTTACCAAACATTTAAATACCAAGTTTGGGATTTTAATAGTGTTAAACGTAGCTTATACGCTCGGCATACCAAGATTTTCCCAATCGATTTACAGTATGTACCAAAAATTTCCCAAGTTTGGGATTTTGACAATGATAGATGCAAAACGTATGTAGGCATTACCAAGATTTTCCCAATCAATTTATAATATTTACCAAAAATTTCCCAAGTTTGGGATTTTGATAGGACAGATGCAAAATGTATGTAGGCATTACCAAGATTTTCCCAATCAATTTATAATATTTACCAAAAATTTCCCAAGTTTGGGATTTTGACAATGATAGATGCAAAATGTATGTAGGATTACCAAGATTTTCCCAATCAATTTATAATATTTACCAAAAATTTCCCATTTTTGGGATTTTGACAATGATAGATGATGCAGGCATTACCAAGATTTTCCCAATCAATTTACAATTTTTTCCAGAAATTTCCCAAGTTTGGGATTTTGACAATGACAGATGCAAATGTATGTTGGCATTACCAAGATTTTCCCAATCAATTTATAATATTTACCAAAAATTTCCCAAGTTTGGGATTTTGACAATGATAGATGCAAAATGTATGTAGGCATTACCAAGATTTTCCCAATCAATTTATAATATTTACCAAAAATTTCCCAAGTTTGGGATTTTGACAATGATAGATGCAAAATGTATGTAGGCATTACCAAGATTTTCCCAATCAATTTATAATATTTACCAAAAATTTCCCAAGTTTGGGATTTTGACAATGATAGATGCAAAATGTATGTAGGCATTACCAAGATTTTCCCAATCAATTTATAATATTTACCAAAAATTTCCCAAGTTTGGGATTTTGACAATGATAGATGCAAAATGTATGTTGGCATTACCAAGATTTTCCCAATCAATTTACAATATTTACCAAATATTTCCCAAGTCTGGGATTTTGATAGCGACAGATACAAAATGTATGTTGGCATTACCAAGATTTTCCCAATCAATTTACAAAATTTACCAAAAATTCGCCAAGTTTGGGATTTTGATAGTGACAGATGCAAAATCTATGTAGATTTTGCCAAGATTTTCCCAACTAGAAAACAAATTACCAACGTTAATCCCAAAATAGAATTCCAATATCACGATTTCCCATCTAAGGATTCCATTTACCAACATCTTCCCAAGTATGGGATTTTTTCTTTATTTTTTAGTCTTATTTTAAGCTGCAATTACCAATATTTTCCCAATTACGAGCACTTTTTACCAGGAAAAATACCAATGTTCGAATTTCAATTAACATTTTGTAAATATTTACCAAGATTATACCAATTCTAACTTGGGAAAGCTATTTATAAAAAGGCGTATCAGTACTTTTCCCGAATTAAGTACTTCCTAAATTGGGAATTTGTTGGTTTGTAATTGGTATTTATATAATACCAAGTGTTTACCAACATTGGGATTTTAGGATTTTTTCCTGTGTATGTCGTGGTTGATCGCCTTTCACACTGGTCAGATTTCTGTACGTCTTTACTAGGAGGTGTGGTTGGCCAGGCACTTTCACCGTCTTTTAGGAATGATGGTCCTTCCATCCAAAATTTGTTCTCACTAAGGTCTGCCACTGATAAACCTCTGGTTGGTAAATCTGCTGGATTCTCCATTCCCGGTACGTGCCGCCACTGTTCTGGACTTGTTGTACGCTGAATTTCCCCAATTCGATTAGCTACGAACGGTTTTAAATTCGTGACTCTGGTTACGTACCCAGTAATACACATTTTCTGAGTCTGTCCAATAGATCACTCTGTCCACGGTTAACACGTTTAGGATACTTGCTGCTAGACAGCTTGAAAGAACAGCTCCCATTAGCTCTAGGCGGGGAATTGTCACCACTTTCAAAGGTGACACACAGCTCTTTGACGCAATGAGACGCGAAGTAGAGGGGTTGTTGGTGTACTGGCAAACCAAATAGGCAACAGAGGCATAAGCATCTTTAGATGCGTCGGAAAAGAGGTGTAGGTCAACCGTCTTTGGGTTTGGTAGGCGTAAACATCGTGGGATGGCAACGCATGATAAGCTCTGGAGTTCAGATGCCAGACTGTTTGGTTCTTGCTTCTTGGGCTGGTGGCTGTCTTGGATAGAAGGTTGGTGCCTCTGGTTCTAACTGCTGTCTAGCATTTGTGTTTCCATTCTGTGGGGTGCTTTCATGAAGATAACTGCTATGATTGTTGCTCTGGCATCCGTCAACTCCACATTTTCTTGCTTTACGACAATCTTTGCTGTGATGCCCAGTTGCCAGGCACCGATAACAACGGCTGCTTTTTGAAATTAATTCCTTTCTCTTCTGTACAGGGAGTCTCTTGAAAGCATCACAAAGCCATGGTGGATGGTCTTGTTTGCATGTGTTAACAATACAATGTCTGGTTGAAAATCGTGTGTTGAATCCTCGGAAACGCGGTCGTTCATCATGATTCTTGTTACCCCGTTCCTCATTCTTTTTACCAAATCCCTCAGTCTCCTCTCTCACTTCCCCAATGACTTGCACTCGGAGTTCCACCCAGTCTACCAGCGATTCGAAGCAATCTTCTCGAGCATAGTCTATCAACCAGTATTTATACACTTGAACATCCCGTTCGGTTAGCTTTTATTTTGCTGATAAGTTCAGGCTTTGATCTTGTAAGGATCCACAGTTGTTGATAGTGATTCTAAAATTCTCTCTAGTAGGGCTTGAAATTCTTCCAAGTCTTGTAAATTGTGGGACCGAACCTTAGGCCAATTACGCAAAGTTGTAAGCTGCTTTATTTGTTGTCGCCTCTCTCCCCCATACCTCTTCTCTAACTTCGACTTTGCTCGTTCATATGCAGCGCTTGGATATCCCAAATCTTTCACCAAGGTCAGTGCTTTACCAGCTAAACAGCTTTGTAACCTGAGCATTTTTTCACCAACTGGAATGTTCTGCCCATCAACCATTGCCATAAATGCTGCCTTCCAGGGCTCATAATTGGTTTTATCCTCTCCAGAAAACTTTGGAAGGTCGACTCCTTGCAACTTGATGGGTGATCGGGTTATTGTTTCAACTGGTACTCCCTTTTCTTGCTTTTCACATGCCATGATTATATATACGCATGTTAATTTTAACTGAAACTGTACAGGTACTTACCTATAGTTAGCTGTACAAAGATGTCATTTTTTGTACGTCAAAACTTTTAAATCCCCATGATCGTAGTCGAAAAAATCTGGTTCGGAAGAATATAAATATTGTAGAATCTTAAGTTCGCTATTGTTTTCGGTGAAACACAAAGCTTTCCGCTTGCAATCTCAAACAATGAGAAACACAAGCTAGTTTTAGCCTTTACAAACGTCACTCATGTCCATATTTGCTGCCAAGGTCAACAACAATTCATCCCAGACGATAATCGGCCAATTAAGAACCAAATCTTAACTCTATTTTTGCCGTTAAATTATCCATTAATCCATACGTGTTGCTTAGAGCTTCAACAGTGAAGCTTTGTTCCAATAAAAAACAACGATGACCAACGGTGGTTTAAACCAGAAGTCCTTAAATCTTTTCAAGTTTGTCTCACCGGAAGACAATGAAGAGCATATAACTGCAGATGGTCGACGTTTGATATTCGAGCTCAACATCGTACTGTCGCCAAGTCCTAAGCTGACACTAAGCACTTACAGGCATGCCATACCCATTGAAGATGATGTTGGATCTGATGGGACTCAGTTGTCTCTTCGCACAATAGACAGTGTGATGCATCTTGTGCAATCCACAGTGCCATGCTTAGGCCATGTTATTTCACACAGAGCAAACACCAGCTTTCTTAAAGTACCAGCTTTAAACTCGAGAAATATCAGTGTTTGGTCCAGAGGGCTTGGAAACCACGAGAGGCTAATTTCGTCTTCCTGTCTGCTGCTTTCCTATCGTAGTTCGAGTTCATGCCAAAATTGCGCATATTCATTAAAGCTCTATCAAAATTGAGAGAATAAGCGAAAGGCGAACGTTTCAGAAGCTCCAAATAAAAAGTGTAATCTTCGTTTTTTGGATCGAATTGGTTTAGAAGAGAAGATAACCACTCAAAGGAAAACTATGGTGAACGACATGAAACGAGATGCTCGGGAAAGGCGGATGATTTGATAGAGTTGTCGAAGAAGATCACGTGGATCTTCAACAAATTCTTGAGAGCACTGATAGCGCTCTAATCCCTCCTGGCATGAAACTTCTTTGGGAACAACCGATGAAGCAACTATCTGCCAAATCGTCTAAAGATTTCCGATGGAATCCAAGGTTTGCTTATTTCCATAATTATATAACATTATGTGACAACTTCAATATTTCTTAATTGTGTCGGGCAAATAATATTTTACCAATTGAACTAATAATATATATATATGATGACCATCAAACTTGTCAAGTCTCGGGGAATTGCAAAATAATCTAAGCCTATTATGGCAATTCTCGTGATCGGAAAGTGTTCGGCCAACTTCGTACGCCAAATTCTTGGTAAAGCATTACAGTTTCCTGGTAAAAGACTGCAGGAATCACTTCCGGAGTGTTTGTTTACCCTAGATACGGATTTTGATTGGCTTAGGCAGAAAAACAAATCTTTTAGAGCAATTTTACTGATTATCGCGCACGGGAACGCACAAGCGTTGAAATGTATTGTGTTGTAGTTTTGTGTGAATCGCATTCTGAAGACGTTTTTGGCTTTATTTTGCAAACTGATAGTGCTAGTAATGATGGAATGTCTTCGTATGAAGACAGGTATCTCAACCTGGCATTGGGAGTCGTGTCCGGAGTTTCAAGGCAAGTATTTGTATCATTTCTAGATAATTTCTATTTCAATGTTTTGCTGTTGCCATGGCGTTGTAAATTTATTTGTATTTAGTATAGCTTCACTAGTACGACCCAGTATGTCCTCATATCGCTTTTTTGTGTCGAAATAATCGTTTCATACTGAAATTGACAAATATAAATGGTATTTATTTATATTGTTGACGAAAATTTATGGTGTTTTAGGCATAAAAATCTCTGATTCCTAGCGAAGTAAAATGAGCCTTGAGCACATGTTTGGTTGTTTGTTACATACATAATAGCTAAGTATTCATACTTATATCTTACTAGTTGGCTCTTATTATAATTTTAAGTGGCACCATGTCTATAAAAGTTTTTATTTGCGCTGATGAATATATTGATCCTGTTCCTATCTGCTGTTCCTGTTTCACAGCCTCAGGGAAGTAGAGTTCTGATGAGTCATGAGATCACCCCACTCACCAACCCAGAGGGAAGGTAGGGGGATGAGTAGAGGTAGAGGGAAGCCCAGCCATTAGGACCTAAGGTTTTGAAAGCTCCCTGTCTAGCATCCCCACTAGGCCCCATAGTACATGACGGATATGATGTTCCTGATGCTAGGAATGTTCTCCCAGATTTTGCTCCTCACTGACATGTCCGGGATCCATTTCGATCAACTGTGAGCTTGAGTTCATTCGGCTGAATGAACTGTGAGCTTGAGTTCATTCGACTCTTTTTTACTAAGGGAATGCTTCAGGAGGTATTTTCCTGGCCATACCAATACATATGCCCACATACAAATAACTCAAAAGTTATCCCCATATACTAATAAAGAAGGGTCTTGCAGTCCACCAACCTTGAGAGGTTGATTGCCTTTTAGTATAATATGCAGGTTTGCTAAAGGTCGACAGTGAGATTGAAAATTATTGGAGTGTAAAAACCTTATATCATGGTCTGTGGGCAATAGACATAATTTCTCGGGTTAGGTACAAAGCGCTTATGGCGTTTGTGAATATGGTAGATCCTGTTCTAAAGACTACAGCAATAAACTGCATCAACAACTGTACCAGCCATCACAGAATATTGTTGTTGCAGACAAACACACTGTCAAATCAAGAAATAGGTTGGGGGTTAGGCAGTTCATGAAAGCTAGATGACCAACTATGTGGGGAATAAATCTGTGGGTTGCTGCAGACAATCCTAATGGTTATATTGCGACTTTGAAATTTATACAGGAAGAAGTCCAGATATTCATCGCAACAGATTTGGGTATGATGTTGTGATCTGATATCAGTTTGGTTACAGTCTTAGGTCTTTTGTAGTACAATATAAAGGAAATATTTTCACCACATAATCCAATTATGTGCTTTGGCAAGCATTACTGCTTTAGCAAACATTACTGCCTTGGAAAACATTACTTTTTTATAACTACTAATTATGATGATGCCAGTCCAACAACACTTGGTCATGCTATTTGCAAATATTTTGATGTTCTAGATTGTGAAAACAATCAATTTCTAAACAAATGAGTAGTGATTATTTCAAATTTGAATAGCATGACCAAATTTTGAGGCTGGTTATGCCACTAATAACTAAAGTCAATGGTGTAATGATTATCCAAGAATGTATGTAGTAACTGTAGAAATAAAGACATTTTGCTAATCATGATTTGAGTGTTCTTTTGTGGGTATCACAGACTTATTTTGGTGCCATACTATCTTTGGAGAGTAAGAAATATTGGAAATTTGTATTGATAACATGTTGCAGCAATAAAAAAGGACCTTTGATAAAGGTATTTGTTTCATGTGAGCACAAAATGTAAATTTTACTCCACTACCTAGTTTATATAAAAATTCAATAAAAATATTTCTATTTATGCTACATGCATGAAACTTCGGGTACTTGTAGATCATAACCGTGTCTTTCAGTCATATTCATAAATTTTTTTGACATATTTGAAATTTGAACCGCTAAATACATTTATGCATAATTGCAACATTTTTTTATATCATAATTTATGCAAATTTATGCTAGTAAATCATTAACCAAGCTCCAGATGAAATTGAAATTGGTATCGTTGGAAAGCAGAAGTCCTCCTCTTTCGAACGATGTAATTTCTGTTTCCGTGTGATGTATAGTTTGAGAGATATAAGCGTTTGAAACAACACCAGTCGAAATTGCTACTTTTCCACCGGATGGGAATGAGTTAATTTTTAACCTATAGGCGAGTCATCTATACAAGTTGCAAAGCATCTGTTGCAATTCATATTTGTCAGTGATAGTGGATTCAGGTTTCCCCTCGCCCATTTCCCAACCAATCAATGTCATGCTTCCATTTTATACCTTCAATTTTGGGAGGATGTGATGCGAATGAAGAGAGCTGGTTTTATGTACGTGTTTTGTGTATGCCATAATCATATTACGTCGCAGTCAATTAATCAATCAATTATCAAACAATGTTAAGCAGACAAAAAGTTATTTATGGATGGTTATTTGAAATATTGCATAATAGACCATAATTTATTTTCTAATTTTCATTTTACATATTTGTAGAATTTATTACTCCCTATGTGATGGCAGAGATTCAAACAGGCAATTAATTAAAATCCATTTTCCAAATTGTGATCCCAGTGACTTGCACTTTGTGGGGTATAACATGTTTACGGAGGTTCCAATGGTGTTTATAATGGATTGCAAGGTGAACTCCTCAAAATCAATTACCGTTAACATGCTATATAGAAGTAGTTAATTACGCGAAATATAGAACAGTTAAAATTTTTGTGTAATTTTTTTTGGATACAGCATAATATCAAGAAAGTGAGGAACAATATTGAAAAAAGTTCCTCACTGCTGGAAGCACAAGGTGCTTGACCAAAGGTGGTAAAAATATCTTCTGGGCACATTGGAAGGATGCGTATCTGTGGGATCAGAAGAACAATTCCATGGATGGTTATTTGAAATATTGCATAATAGACCATAATTTATTTTCTAATTTTCATTTTACATATTTTGTAGAATTTATTACTCCCTATGTGATGGCAGAGATTCAAACAGGCAATTAATTAAAATCCATTTTCCAAATTGTGATCCCAGTGACTTGCACTTTGTGGGGTATAACATGTTTACGGAGGTTCCAATGGTGTTTATAATGGATTGCAAGGTGAACTCCTCAAAATCAATTACCGTTAACATGCTATATAGAAGTAGTTAATTACGTGAAATATAGAACAGTTAAAATTTTTGTGTAATTTTTTTTGGATACAGCATAATATCAAGAAAGTGAGGAACAATATTGAAAAAAGTTCCTCACTGCTGGAAGCACAAGGTGCTTGACCAAAGGTGGTAAAAATATCTTCTGGGCACATTGGAAGGATGCGTATCTGTGGGATCAGAAGAACAATTCCTGCCACATTCACAAGAACCTTCGGGAGGATAATTTCCAACTAACTCCATATCAGAGTTGGTTAAGGTTCACAAAGGACAATGTTTATCAATTAGCTATAAATATTGGAAAAACGAGAAACTGTGTGGAAACACGATGCCTGAAAGGCGGAGTGTTTTAACACAATTTCGAGTTTTTCCACGAGTGTTGATATAACTATATATCATCACGGAAAATTTTTATTTTTTTAATAATACAGCACAAAAAAATAAAGGAAAACACTAATTCTAAAAATTTTTACGAGCGGCGGGAAATTTTCTGTGTTGACATTGAGTTATCAACACGGCTCTTAGCCAATCAGCGTTCAGAATTCGCAAATGCTATATTATAAATATATACAGTATCCACTACTGGTGTAAATACCTTGTTTGCATCTGCATCTGGGTCGAACAATTTAAAAAATGCAGGTTTCCAGTGTCGAATTGCTTACAGCTTCAACGATGGAGTCATCAATCATATCATTTTGTAAAGATGACAACCTTTGAATGTTGATTTTATCAACTCGTTCTTGTTCCAATGCCAGAAAGAAATCGGATGCATCATCGTTGATGTGGATCAGACCGCAGTTTCTGTACTGTGGAGACTGGACCACACGAAGGCTTTCAGGATTTGCAGTTGAAAGTTGGGTGGCTTCGTGTGGTAGTGTAACATAGTTTTCTAACAGGTTGATTTTCTTCATCTCTTTGTGAATTTTGAGGCGAACATTCGTTGACTGGGACAATTTATTTTCTATTACATAGCTTCGCGCTCTGTTTAGACATTTACTGATGTCCCATCCTCCAATATATCGCACTTTTCCACGCCCGTCCGGTCCCATGTCTTGAATGTTGAAACATATTGGTGTACATTCTTCTTTTTGGACACGCTTTCCAACCTCGGATCCAAACAGTTGAAACAGTTGGAAGAGAAGCAGAGCACCTATGCTTCTTTGCCCGTCATCAATTTCAATCCATTTCTTAACATTATACACACTAATCAGGTTGCTTCGATATTCCTGGGACAAGAAAAGAAGTTGTAGTTTGGATGTGGTGCAGGTGAAATCTTTATTTGTCATTTGTAGTACTTTCAGATTCTCTGTCAGGTAATTTTCAAACAGTTCGTAAATTCTGCACCAAAATATTACAGCTAATAATTCAAAATCATCTAAATTATCGGCCCCATATTTTGCTGCAGATGTAACAGATTGGCTGTAGGAATCTTCGTTGGCATCGTTGATCAATTTGTCCAAGAAGGCTTTCACGCTGAAGGAGGTTTTGACAGTTCATCTCTGAAGTCGGACATACATAGTAAGACATCTTCCAGGTTGACAACCACACCACTGTTAGATTCATAATAGGAAGAAGCAGCGGAATGAAAATCGTTATCATGAACCAGGTTGTTCATCTCTATCAATTCTGTCTCGCACTCTTTATCACATTCAAATTTTGAAGACTGTAAGTTCTCCAGGAAGTTTCGCCAAGGCATCTAGGTTGTGGATCTCAACTGGTAGTTTCTTGAAATATATATCGATCTTCTCTGGAAGCATATCGGTCAAATCCAAATCTCTTGATAGGCTTTGAAGATATTGCTCTACTTCGTCATCGCATGATCTAAAGCATGTTTTAACTTATCTTCATCATCCCCTTGCCGCAATACTCTCTGCAACTCGAATCGATGTGGGAATACTTTATCCAAAAGCTGCGAGGAAATGATAGATTTTCCAGGATCAAGAAGACTCGGAACAGATCTCAGTTGCCAGAAATCTCCGACAAGGATAACCTGTACTCCTCCGAATGGGAAGTCATTGTTAGAAACCAGATGATGAATGGCATTAACAATATGAAAAATGCGGTGGCTCGTCATGGATACCTCGTCCCATATTAGTACGTTCGTGTCTGCAATCTGCAACAAGATGTTTTTTCTTCCCAAAGAACGGCTAATTAGCGAATTGGCAGGAAGTTTGGCTGTCTGTAATCTATAATGTGAATGTACAGTCTTTGCTAAACCATGATATGCATCGCATGAAATCCCAGTCGAACACACAATTTGACATTTCAAGCCTTTCGCCGTCAGAGAATTTAATGATGCTTTCCACAACCGTTGTTTTCCCAATGCCGGCCTTTCCGAAAATGCACATGTTATGCCCAGTTGAGGCGAACTTAACAACATCACCTTGTTCTTTTGTCAGCTTAATATTATATTATCTTTCCACTAGGCACTACATAAATTAAATGATCGCTAACGTTATTTTTAGAAATTTTGGTCAATTTAGCATTTTGCAGCAAATTCATTTGATTTTGATATTCATGCTAAAGCCTGTAAAGACTGCTTTCCACTGTTGTGTTTTTCATGCACACGTGTATGTGAATCTTTGTAATTTCGACATAATTATAAAACACCTGAGCGAATAGATGCTAAATCATTCAAAGTACCAAATACTATAGATTAATTCCATTGATTGTTCTGTTATTAGTACTTGATTTAGACTTTTCCGTGCGTCTACATACGTGAGAAAAACGCAACAGTGGAAAACAGCCTTAAATGTAAATGTGAATTTGTTGACTTTCTCCGGTGATTAAAGCTTATGCACAACAGGACAAAGTTTACAAATTGTAATAATTATATTTAGTTAAAACTGAATTGAGGAAGATGTTTGTTCAATTGTCAAAAATTGAATACTTAAATTCAATGCGAGCATAAGCGTTCGTAATTGGCCCATGATCATCAAACTTGTTAAACAGGTTTTTTGATACATTCTTCAAGCATACTGCTTGCAACGAGAAGCCCAATGTTCGAAAAGGCAGAAAAGCTTCATACGTACTAAAGTAAGGAACGACCTACAACAACGCTACAATGACCTACAATGATCTACAACCACCTACAACGACGCTACTGTTGTGTATTTGCTTTCTATTAAATAGCTATATTATATTTCGTGTATCACTCAACAAGAAGCACTCATCCCGAACACATGGTGGATGCGCGCGCATCCTAATAACATAGGTAACCCATAACATCTCCTCCCTACTAAAAATTGTTCAGTCAATATCCAGTCTTTGCTGCACATAACATTAACATTAAAGTCATAATTAACAGTCTTTGCTGTATATCTATATACTGTAAATATACGTTCTAACCCCTACATCTGTCCGTAACACTGCTACTTTAGAGATCAAGTCTCACAGGTGGTTTCCTCATTCTCACACTGGGTTGCCATTTGTTCTGCCACCGCAAGCAGGGCAGTGCCTTTATTATTTACCTATCTGTTTATAAAAAACATGATTAACAAATCCCGGATAACAGTTCAGTTCATAATCTAAACCAAAAACTATATACAACTAAAAAAAACCAAAAAACTCTAGTATCCACCAATCTGGGAGGGTGGGTGGGTAACTGCATACGATGTGCAAAAAACTAAAAGATGCCAAAGTCACTTATCACGTGACTTTATACAACTCATGTGACCTAACACAGGGCACCCCAGCATGAGAAACCCGTTTCTCGCTTATTTCGTAAACTCAGACAGCGAGAAACTCAAATTCTCACACTGGGTTGCCATTTGTTCTGCCACCGCAAGTTAAAAGCATAGTGGTTTGACTACCGTTCTTACTATATCGTTCGTACTATATCCTTCATAAGCCTAAGCTCTGTGAAACTCGTAATAGGGTGTTATGTGTCTCTTTAATGTACATGTTCATAGATTTCTCAGATCTCCATCCCCCATGTCGCTGGATCAGACGATCAGGTATACCCCAGGCGGCTGCTTCGGATGTACCACCAGAACGTAAGCTGTGTAAGCCATAAGCAGATGGATTCAAACCAATACTAGATATCTGCATCTTGAATAGTTCCAGAGCTCTGCTGTAACTCAAGGGGGATTTTCTCAGTTGCATTCCATTAGATGTGTGAGAAATCTTTCTGAACAGTTTATCCTGTTGGCTGTGTTTCCCCATTCGTAGAAATTTCTCAAGCAACTTAACTGGACATGATATTTTGCCTGAGCGGGCAACAAGAATCCAAGATCCTTCCCGGTACTGGTCATTCTTCCGCTTGACCAGAAATATTTTCATGTGATCATTTTCCATTGCAATGTCTTGCCTCTCTAACTTAGACAAGTCATCCCATCTCAGAAATGCACTAAATCCCAAAGTGATTAATGTTGCTATCTGCAGCTGTCCCAGATTCCCGTCACCAAACTTAACAATGATAGCTTTCACATGTTTGGCCTCCAGTGGCTGTTTCCTATTCACAGGTTTCAGCCCCACAATTCGCCGACTAGCTTCAATCATCTGCTTAACCAGTGTGTGTTCTGTTGGGGATTTCTTTCCCGCCTTCTTATGTGCCCAAGCAATCGCATATACTGCCGAATGAATAGTGGACATTGTCCTAGCTGTTCGTAAAAGGAATGCCACATACAGAGCTATCTCTTGACCAGTTGCGGGTAGAGAACAGAGATCTTTGCTTTCTGCCCAGGTATGCCAACGTTGGAAGGAATCCTGATATTTACGCACTGTTCGAGGGGCTCGATCACGTAGGAGAATTCCTGGTATGTCACCTGCTAACGAACGCAACTCTGGGTCTTTTAGGCATATACCTTTCCACATTTTTCCTTTTCTCGATTCGGCATTTTTCCTGGATACATGACCTATAATATAGGGAGAGTTGTGTTATGAACTGTTATGTTCTTACCGACTACGCTGAGAAATGCCACTCACAGGCGATCTGACATCTACTGCCCCAACCATGTTCTGAACACCAAAGTGTTTTCGCAGGCCAGCATGCAATACCTCTCACAGGCCATGCTCCATGTGCAATGCTTCTCGCAGGTTAAGTTGCAATACCTCTCACAGGTCATGCTCTATGTTGTAATGCCTCTCACAGGCTAACTCCTCATGCAATGCCTCTCACAGGCTAACTCCTCATGCAATGCCTCTCACAGGCTTACTCCTTATTCAATGCCTCTCACAGGCTAAGAAGTGATCTGTCTCCCAGGCTAATGAGTCTGTGCTGCTCAGTTTTACAAAAAAGGTCGAATGTCGGCATAATCTTTAATCAAGATGGATTGACTGAAACAGATCTTTAGAGCTAATACCCGGTATGATGGTATTCCGAACCCAAATAGGCAACTCTCAGCCACTGCGGGGATAAACATGTCGTCCCTAAGAGGGAGGTCCATCCAGTCAAGGATCCAAGGTTGAGGATAGTGACCATCAGTGGTTAGAAGTGGCCACCAAGGGGCAGAGGACCAAAGGGGAACAATCAAGGTACCATCTTCGCCCCCATACTTCATGTGTTGGAGAACTTTTGGAATAAGATATGGGGGTGGGAAAATCCAGTTAATCTCACCCGACCAACTCACTGTAAATGCGTCCACATGCTCTGTCAATGGATTGAGATATCGACTGCAAAATCTGGGGACTTGTCGTGTGCGAAATGAAGAAAATCTGTCCACTGTGTGTGGTCCCCACAATATGTCCAATGCAGCAAAGTAAGTTGGATTAAGCATATAGTCATCAATGTCTGTTTCACGTGACAGCTGGTCAGCCTCGCTGTTAAATTCTCGTGGAATCCACTCGGCCTGCAAGCGCACACCAAATTGGTGACACAGCTGGTATAGTGCCACTGCTTCATCATGCAGCTCTCGATTTCGGCTACCAATCTGCAGTATTGACTCCACATTCTTGTTATCGGTCCTATGCCGCACATCTTTTCCTTGGATTTCTGGAAGGAAAGATGCTAATAGGAGATGGGTGGCCCGTAATTCCCTCCATGTCGAGCTTTTGAGTTCTTCATCTGGTGACCAATTTCCCTTGGCAATCCTACCACCCAGCTCAACACTGTAGCCTCCCCAGCCGGTATTACTTGCATCAGAGTAGGTGAGGATCTCTGGTTTTGGGTTGGCCAGCCAGATTGGTTGGCCATGACATATTTCAAAGTTGTCCTTCCAGAAGACGATTTCCCTTGTAGCATCCTCATCTAACTTATTATGTTCCCACCAGGTGCTGGCTTGCATGATAAATCTGTATAACCCCCTTGTCCATAGGCGGGCGACTGGTCCCAAGGCTAAACCCATCGACACTATTGTCCCTGTAACTTGGGCTATATCTCGAGCTGTAGATTTAGACGACTGTGCAATGTACTTCAACTTGTGTTGTAAGCACCTAATTCTACGTTCTGGTACTCAGAAATACCCTTTCTTTAAGTCGACTAGAAATCCTAGTATTTCCCCTTGCTGGGATGGCTCCCATACACTTTTATCAGGGTGCCACAAGAATCCGCTGCATTCCACATCGCTTTGGATTTTTCTTGAAATTTTTCTTGAAACTTCCTCTGTCGGCCCCCCACCAATACCATCATCCAAGTATGTAAAAATTCTAATTCCTTGTGCACGCCAATGTTTTACCAAAGCTTTTTGGATTTTGGTGAAAACATAAGGGGCTGTAGCCAAACCAAATGGGAGTACAGTAAAAACAAAGTATCTCTTGGCATGTCCTTCATCCCATGCAAATGCCAAATATTGCTGGTGTTGAGGGAGAATATCAACACCATGGTATCCAGACTTATAGTCGAATTTAAAGAACCAGTCACCTGATTGAAATATATCTCTAAAAGTTCGTAAATCCTCATATTTAAAACGATAGGATTTTAGGAGACTGTTAACAAAACGCAAGTCTAAAATCAGCCGGTTCTTATCTGAGTTAGACACCACCCCAAGGGGCGATATAATACATGCTTCACTTTTTGAGACTTCCCTTATACATCCAATTTTTAATAAGCGTTTCAGCTCACCAGTCTCAAAAGCCTCGTTACGTGCAACTGATTTGTGATTAGTGAACTCAGCTGCGTGTGGTTGTTCCACAAACGGTAGTGCATAACCATTACGAATAATTCCCAAAACCCAATTTGAAGCCCCAATGTTTTCCCAGAATGAAATGTTTGCTTTCAAGCGACCTTTAACGTCAGCGACCAATTGGTCATTGTCAAAACGTTTATTTAAACAAGCCAACTGTAATTCATCGATATTGTTTTTAAAATTGCTAATACTGTTAATATGACTGTCTGTTTCCGGGGATACATCCCTACTAATTGTTTTTAGCTGGGTTTGGACTTCCGATGTTGTTTTTACAAAACCGGGCAAGGTGTCCTGGACGCCCGCAGCGAAAACAATTCCCGTCACGTGCGAAGCTTGTACCGCCTGATTTCTTCAGAATAATACGATTACTCGATTCCGTTCGATTCGCGTCGGTCGAGAAAACGCGTGAAGCCGTAGACGAAGTTTTTGTAAACTTCAGGGACTTTCTTTTCTCCTCTTTCAACGCCTTACCCTCTTTTATAGCGCGCCGTATGCGTTTCTGGTCCTCCGAATCGCTCGCTAAGGGCTTGTCAACATAGCACTCTACCGTTTCCCACCCGAATTTCTCTGCTAATTTTATGTGCTTATTCCTTTCACAAATAAGAGTCTTACCTTCGGTTAAAGCTTGATCGCGTTCCTCATCGTCTGACCCCTCGAGTGCAGTTTCAATCGTATTTAATACCTTACGATTGAACTTGTATTGTGTGCGATTTCGCTTGTATTTAAAATCTGGAACTGGCGAGCGTTCCCGCTTTCGACTAACACGTTTCCGTTGACCTCGCCTTCAAGTGATTTTAGACGGCAATCGGTATCCTTATTTAGGGCCAGCAATTCCTTTGCCCAACTAGGCGCTTCGTCCCGACTTTCCTGTGACCGTGGTCTTTCTTCCGAGCGTCTCTTTGACGTTAAACGGTCCTCGCGATCACGACTATTCGAAGGTGAACGAGACTCATGTTGACTATGAGTATGGCGGGAACTATGCGACTCTCTCTCATGACGATTAGATTCCCCTGGACTGGCGTTGTGTGCTTCCAAGCGTCGAAGGGCAGCAACTCGTTTACTCCCCATCACTACCAATGTACTTCCGATTAATTTTTATGCAAATATATACGAAATAAAGGCACTGCTAAAAAATATAACTGCATACGATGTGCAAAAAACTAAAAGATGCGAAAGTCACTTATCACGTGACTTTATACAACTCATGTGACCTAACACAGGGCACCCCAGTATGAGAAACCTGTTTCTCGCTTATTTCGTAAACTCAGACAGCGAGAAACTCAAAGTCCATTAGAAGTTACTACACAGGATAGTTGCACCACATTGGAACCGGCATCACACGTGAGAAGAATTATACTGCCGAAATTGTGTCAACAAAATGTATGAATTGGTAGTTTTGCAACTGGTTCAATATACCCAAGACAAAGTCGAAACGTTTTATGCCAAGCATTTCCTTGTAAAAATGGTGGTTTTTTATCACAAGACTATTGCTCTCCAGTTACTACACAGGCATTTCAGCAAACTCTCTCAACTACACTTACTGTGCCGGACAGCAAATTTGAAGAATTAATAAACAAGCCAATAATGTCAATGCCCTTGTCATCACATTAGGCTCAACATAATGGAGAAAAGAAAGTGAATTATTCTAGTATTTCAGGCGATTATGTAGAAGTGACTGTGCGCTATCCAAGCAAAGAAGTGAACAAAATCCTCAGTCAATGTTATCTGCCATTGGGTAAGGCTCTTGCGGATGGCTCGCCTTTGCGCATTGCAAAGGCACTCATGAACTGTGAACAGTTACGCAAGTCTGTGATTGAAAAGGTTCTACAAATCTATGTAGTTGAAATCGTCCTTCATTGTTAAAAAAACCCACCAAGGAAGATCTTATCAACTTTGACCTATGCTGTATATGCAAACAATGGAAGGAAAAAGCACCTGTATTTTATTCTTTCTCCTGGCATGTTGTGAAAGTAATCGAAAGATAGCTGCTGCATCATGGTTTGGGAGTGTTGCAATTGCTGGGTCGATCCTCTTAAAACAACGCAATCCTGCAATGAGTGCAACATGTATCATAATGGGTATCCTTCTAAAGACCAGGTCGATTGAGGTGTGTTTATTGAATAATCATGCATTTGACTAATTGACATTGTATATATATATATTACATATTTTTTTATTCTTTGCTTTCAAATGCATTTTGCATCACGGTAAACGATGCACAATTCTCGAGTGACTGCATATGTTTCAATGCGTTTTTATATTTAAAAATCATTTATATGTGGTTTTTGTACATAAAATTTTATTATATTGCCAAATTGTTTATACTGATGTGGTTTGTTGACATGTCAATTTCGTCAGTATGACAAAATTGCTACATTATAACGTTCGCTGATCTATACACAATTATTAACATTTGTCAGCATTACTTGTTTGTCTTATATGCCATGTAAATAATATTTTTTGCCCTTCATAAATCAGGTATTATTTTTCTCCTGGGAAACATATTAACACCTTCAAAAAGCAAAATCGTTAATTAATTTATCAAGCTTCTGTCATTCTAAATGCCTATAAATACTACAAATTTAATTTGTTGATTTCATCGCAACTTTGTAAGGAGAGCTTCAATTGTGTCTAGCTTCCATTCAATGCATATGGGGCCACTTAAATAGGAGGAGGTATGAGATATCCACCCACCGGCCTGCATGATATATAGAGCCATAATACATACATCTCTCTGACACACATACATCGAACCCAGTCCTCATGTGAAAAGATTAAAAGTCAACACTCTGCTGAAAGTCATGGGTTTTCTCTAGGTACTCCGGTTTCCTCCCACAGGAAAAGTTGACAGGATGGGTTAGATAAAAGGGCCCACAGTAATTGGAATATGCTGTTGTTGATGACCCTGCCCTAGTTGGCAAAGCTAAATAAATAAAATAACCTCGCTAAACATTGAGACATCTCTATAATAGCTGTGTTCACTCGGTGTCTTGTTATAGATTTCAGATGGTGTTAAAAATTACATAAAAATATATTGATTCACCCAAGGATTACATGAAGACTTTATTGACAGCATATCTATCTTACAATTACATTAGCAACAAATTTACTGATGTTTGTATCGGATTTTGTACCAGGTAGTTTTTTATCTGTTGATATCCTTCTTTCAATTATGCTCCTGTCTCTTAAATGTTGTTTTATGAGGTAAACTAGCATAATTTCTATTGTCTGTGTTGATAATTAAATGTATTCCTTGATTAATTTTTGTAGGCAACCATGAGTAGATACAACAAGCTGCGGTTTACATGTTCAAACAAACATGTTGGCGAACATCATGATCATGAACTTCAAAAGACCAAAGAAACTATTACATCCGAGAATGCCACGTTGCAAAAGTGTGATGATCAAATTGACAAACATGCAAACCACAACAATTGTAATGCTGGATGCATGGATAGGCTGAAGAAGGTTATTGAGAAAGCCAAGAATGATGCCCAAAAATCTGCACATGCCGGTTTTACAATAGCTTTTGATATCTTAGATGTACCAGTGCATCTGAAAAACATGACAATGTCAGCTCAAAATGATGACTTTCATTGGGTGAACCATCGAATGATTGTCAATAGAGTATCTGGATATCAACCTATTGAGAGGAAACCAAGACCATCCCTGAATGAAGTTCCAAACATCAAATTTATGCCCACTCTTCAAGAACAAGAACGCCAATGTCTTAATTACATAATCCTCACTTGTCGTGGAATATTTTAAAGTTCTAGAACCTTTTAAAGATGTGTGTATATGGCACATTCCACACAAATACACAAAAGAAATGTCAACGAAATCAAAAAAGGTGGGTATAAATGATAAATCAGCTGTAGGTGTACAAGTAATTAGACTAATTACATATCCAAAAGTAGCAAAGTTCCAATTGAAAATGAAATAAATGCACAAACCCTGAAACGGAGTGACATTTGCCTGTTAAACAATCTTTTGCCGATGCAGCTTTTGGACAAGGCTACATGCATAGTCAAATAGATATGCAGTCATCTGCAGGCTATACTTAATTATTAATTGATGTGATAATAATGAAAGGCAATTGTTAATTTTTTTATGGATGTACCAATGGGTCTAATTTTCAAGAATGAAAATGTCAATGAGGAAATTATAGAAGTGTTCAAAAAGTTCCATAGTTACCTGCCCAAAAAAGGAAATGGAAAGGTAGATGGTCAACTATTTACTGGTGACCAGCTTAGTGTTGAACAAGGTGTCAATGTCATCTCCTCCATTGCAAATGGAATGACTCAAGAGGATCGACTGGAAGGTATTCATAGGCAGTTGGGTGATTGGCACACATCTGTAAAGATTTTAAATGCGAGTAAATTCAGTAATTCAGCGCAAATTACTTTAATTTATACTATTTAGCACGATCTAAAAAAACATCAAAAATTGAAAATACAACTAAAAGCACTGCCAGAGTTGGATAACAATCCACTCACCAATAGAATAACAGAATGTATACACAATTATTAAATGTCAAGAACATCCTTAAGTTGACAACCACGCTCTGTACTGCTTACGGAAATCCTCTTATAGTAGAAAGACTGTAAATATAGCTTGTAGGTAAGGTAATATTTGTTTTATTTTCACTAGATACTTTATAGTAGATTCTTCAGTGGGAAATCGGAGGGAGACAGTTGTACCATGTTCTCTGATCATACGTTAATTAACAGGCGGAATGTAACATCTGATGCCAAGAATTCATACAGAGCTAACCAAGACTTTCTAATAACCATTGTAAAGTCATAGTTGGTGCTATGAAAATAATTGGCTTTAAGAGCAAAGATGGTGACCCCGCAAATTTTCCAATGCCAAAAAATGTAGATATGATGACAAAGGCAGAGAAGCTCAATTACCTTCTTGAGATGTCCGCCAAGATTGTTGACAAACTAGTATATACAAATAGTTCTGTCAAAAGAACAAGAAAGAGCAGAAATACAGAGAAAACAGAATCTCACAGCAGACAGACGCTTCCCATGCCGTTTTCCCGGTTGCGAACACTCATTTAAATATGATGGGAAAAGTATAAGTCATGAGCACCAGCATGGAATACAAATATCTGACACAAGTGAATATGAAATAGAAGAGGACAATCAAATGTCTGACACGTCTGAACTCTTCACGATAAATGACGACATATTTAATTACAATTGTGCTCTACTCACAGATGGATTATTCTTTATAAATTTAATTGATGTTATCAAGGAAGGTGACAGAGCAAGAGTAATGAGGCAATACAAATATCTCATATTGCAAAGCAGATTCCCACAGTTCCAAATATGCGCTGGAGTGTTTATACCAACTTTTTACAACAATGTCTTTGTTATCTACAAGGGACAGCGGGAGATTAATTTGGAATCGTTTTGTCAACAATGCTAACATGCGAGGTACAAATATCCCACTAGATCTCGATGTAAAACATAGCAATAACGTTGTTAAACAAGGACGCTTGGGTGGTTCTCCTCTAACAGGCAGTAAAAGCAGCAATCCGACCATGTCTAGTATCTTTTCCAATCTTGATAGCACTGGTCACTCTGCTTTTCTTAATGACTTTAAGATTATTTCTTGTTGCTTTTCTCCAGACAAACTCCTCATTCGAGAATGTCTTCTCATTAACAAACTCAAACCCTCTCTCAACTTACAAGGCAGTTTGGTCCCTCTACTTCTACTCTGATTCACTCCTCTTTCTACTTTTGTAATATAATATCTTGTAAATAGTTGTAATTTATTCATATTTCTGTGTTTTCTGCTTTGTATGTATTGCTCTGAAGATGTCTTAAGTTAAAGACGAAACCATTAGCTTTCTAATATTTTAAAACTATATTCTTGTTATGGCTCTTTTACCTATTTTCTGCTGGGCATTAATATTTATCTTAAGATTACGATTTCCACCTGGTTCATCTATCGAAAGTATTTTGAATAAAGCATCTGGGACCAAACCTTACAGAAAAGTCCATTTCCTGAATTTGCAATGCGGAATCACCTACAAGAACCATCATTGAAAGGCTTGCTGGTGTAATAAAGCGGTTGAACAAATCCGGGAAACATGCTGAAATTTCAACAAGTAAGGATGTTGAAGTTTTGATAAAGAGAGCTGTAGAAGTTGACATTTTCTCTCAAGTTGACTGTAGATCTTTACAAGCATTTTAGTAGTTTTTGCAGGAATAAACTGGAACAATTGGATCCATCAGAACTTTTTAAATGGATAAATACTCACAAGAACAATATGTATAGTAATTCAAAGGCCAGATGAATTGTGTCCAAATTATAATAAACTGTGTCTTTGCAAACAAAGTTTCCGAACAGTAAACTTCAAGTTCGCTGGCTTCTCTGAATTTGAATCGAAATGGTTTAACAAAACCTCTCTTGCTATAACTATTTAGCACACAATTTTATATCAGAGTCAACATGATTTAAAAGTATTCCCTTGTACAAAATGTATGCCATACTTGGTGATCCATCTCTGCCAGCCCTACCGGTCTCCTGCATATATGCTTCTATGTTTTTAGGAGGGCCAATATGAATAATATTATGAACGCCTTTACAATCAACACCCATACCAAATGCTCTTGTGGCAATAAGCACTCTAATGGTTCCCCCCCTTTCAAGCTGGAATGATTGCAAGATATTTTCCTTGTTCGTAACAGGAGTGCATGAGTGCAACATTTCGACAAGTACATTCCTAGGATCTTCTTCGTTGCCAACAAATATGTGCTTTCCCAGTAATTCCCTGAAAATAGCATACAACATTGCACATTGCTTTATAGTTTGACAATATATAATTGTTCTGGTAGTTTCGTCTTGTTTCAATTCTAAATCATGCATGAGCCAACCAAAATAGTCTCGTAAGTCAGCATCTTGAGCAAGGTATTCCACAGCATATGCTATGTTCAATTTATTTGGGCTTTCTTTTATTTCCCATGGCTTTTTCATCAGTAACATATCTAAGATAATATCTCGTTCTAAGATTTCTTCTTTCAAAAGTCCTTCGGCTTCATTGATTAACTTTGCAGTAACTCCTCTGTTCCCCCCTCGTACAGCTCGTATTCGCGTTAATTTCTCCTTGATTTCAGTCATTTTTCGATGAAATTCTGCATCACGTTGGGCACCATGTTATATTTATCGTATTTTAATATCATACATCAACAAACAAAACATAAAACCTAAAATATAAACTAAAGTTTGAGTAAAATCGCTTTCGTATAAAAGTTCTTCGTAAACATGTGTTTCTCGGTTGGGCCTGGGCTCTACTTAAGGTAGCTCGCACACTATTCTAAACTAAATTTCTTGACAAATAATGATCTACTGATGCACATAGCTTCATTTTTGCAGACATGAAAGTTACAGCTTGTTTATTACTTCATTTTTCTGAACTTTTGCAAATTAAAATTTTGTGCTCGCTTGAATTAAAATCGTATAAAAAGATTAAAGCCAAAGTTGCAGAAATATATTTTGCTACTAGGGAAATGACATTTTTGCAATGGAAAATGTTTTATGCATGAGTCAATTCCAGGAGTAACCAAATCCCCAGGGTCTCGGCTACTATAACAATACCCGGCCACAGTGCAAGTATATGGCAGGCAAATTCCCGACCCCTGTGAACTGTCTATCAGGTGGAGGGGGGATGGTTAATCCAGTAATTGATTCCCAATGGTGGCTGAAAATGCCATTTCATGGGGTCTAGATTTCAAATATTTTCTTACGGGCCTCCAGAGCTCCCTAGTTGGGCAGTGCCATCGGCACATCTATGACCTTTTTTGAGTTGCTTGCCCCCCCCCCCCAATATTGATCAGCCTCCTACACCCCTGTTTGACAATAAGTCAATTATTTTACAGTATTAATATTATACTCTTCCCATATAATATACGAGTATTTTGCACTTCACACAAATTTAATAACATCTTACCATTGCTTCACAACGTGAGCTTCGTCAATAGCGATAGGGCAAAGTTTTTCCGAGTAAACAGAATTGTGCAACATATCATGCCATCGCTCATTTTTCAGCCAAGCTTCAGGTGTACCGTAAACAATGGAAAACGCTTCGTGTTCCACCATAATGCGCTCTTCTTCATTCTTCATGTTACTCAAATTAACCGCCTGGATGCCCAAACAATTGAGATGATTCACCTGGTCGTTTATTAAATTTAACAGTGGCGATACGACCGCTATAATGTGCCCCGACGTTCATGTTATTGTGTCAAAAATGACTGGTAGTCTCTGGTAAATAAGAGATTTAGCACTACCAGTTGGGAGATTAACAACAACTTCCTTATCTTCCAGAACGAATGTTCGTATCGCTAACTTCTGATATTTATTTAATTCTGTAATATTAAATACCTATGTACAATGGTTATTAAATAATTAATTATTATTTATCTTTTTAAAAGGTTCCAGAATCATCTCTGATTGTTGGCGCTGTTGTTCCATTAAGGTAATTCCGCAGTAATTGTTCCCGAAATCAGAATGTGCTGAAACTACCCAGGCATGGAGTTTATGATATACTTAAAGTAAAATCACACAAAAAAGTAGAGGTCACCGAACTCGTTAAGAAGATATGACAATCACAATATACCACCTTTACCCCAATATGGCGCCATCTTGACACTTATTACGCTTAACAGCAAAATCACAACAGCCCGATATTTATTGACGTTTTTAGCGCAGATTTTTCTTAAGTAAACCTATCTTGTAATTATTTTTGAAAAAATATTGTGTTTTGAGCAAAATTAAACCACTAACGTAACGTGTACAATTCTGATCCAGTAACATGTACAATTCTGATCCACATTTCTTTACATATCTTTCTTTGAGAACATGCATTGATAAAGCATTTTTCTTTTAATTTCGGAAATGAAATGTAAAATGCATTGAAGAAATAAATTATCAGGGGGTCACCGATCTTTTCAGGGAATTGTGGCATTAAAATGTGAAATACAAGTAAATAAATATACTACAGACACAGGGAACCCTAGGTACACTTTTGTATGCCTTTTTTGAAAACATTGATTTTAACGTAATTCTTTGCATTTTTGTAAACTGTACGTATGATGGATGAAATTATAAGTTATGAGATGTGCGCTGTTAAAGTGCGCTATGCAAAACTGCAGAATTACCTTAAAGCCATCATGTTATTTTGCATGGCTAAAAACTGCTGCATTTGTTGCTGTTGTTTTTGTTGTTGTATTGCGATCCTTTGCAACAAATGCTGCTCAGTCATGTTACACTGAGCAGCATGCTGTTGCTGACTGACTTCCAACTGCCTCAAAAATGCAGTTTGTATCTCCTGCTCTTCCTCTCTTTTCCTCCTTTTGCATCATCTGCTTTGTCTCTATTGCCTTCTCCAAAAACACCATTGACTGATTCCCTGATCTTCTCTTTTCTTCACTCTTCTTCCCCAATCTCTCTCTCGTTTCTCCCATACTCTTCATTGCTTTCACATCTCGATTGCCTTTGTCTTGATCTTCAACAATCTGCCTTGCTCTACTTTCTTCATCAGCCTTCTCATTTGTATCTTCTTCAATCGCAATCAATTCTTCTTGTAGGTTTTCTGCCTCAGTCGCCTTTTTCCCCCCTCCCCACCTGTTGCTCTCTTGTTTTCCCATTTTGACTTTATATTTTTTTGTTAGGAGGTTAAATTGATCCCGAACAGACTTCGTATATTCACATTGAAGTTTGGCAGAGCATTGAGTTTTTCGACAACCTTTTGCCATGATACTCCCCTGTTTCTCAATTTGCACTTGTGGTGAAGAACACCTTCAGCTGCCATCTCTTGAAGCATGGTATAATCCATATCCTCTTTCCATACCATAGATAGTCTAGCAAGTTATAATGTATGAATTAAGCGGAAGTGTGTTTCAGTCATTTATACAATTTTGTGTTAATATGGAAGCCGGATTGGCCCACTTAGCGAGACAGCCCGGTAAGCAAGATGAATCTCTTGTGTTTATATGAGAAAATTTCATCCCACTTGCCAGGACAATTTGTTGTTTTGACACTGTTTTGACAGTTGTTAAAAATAGCTTGCAGTGGCATAATATTTACTATAAAAATAACTACACAGCGAGATCTCGCTTACCGGGCTATCTCGCTTAGCAGGCCAAGACCGCTAGTGTATAAACAATAAATTTATACTTCTTTTGTAGCTTTTCTTTAACACTTGAATCTGTTGTAGCGTCCATCTCTTGCCTATAAATGTATATCGTATTATAATAAATCAAAATATACAAATGTTTGGATGTTTGTTATTTTTTATGGATTGATATCATAAGAAGATTTATATATTTTAAAAGTAGAAAATGAATTTGCAAGAGTGCATTATAAACGACAAAGACACTGTAAAATGAGAGGAATTTTGACAAGATTATTTGTTTACTTTCAAAAACTCTTGAGGAAACCCGTCTTGTGTTACATATTTCCTATTTTTATTAAAATTGACCTTTGAAAAGGTCAATTTATTATCAAATGTTATGCAGAAAGCAGATAGACATTTTTGGTTAATATATTCGCTTATAATTTTCTATTTATTTTAAGTTGCCGTCCTTGATGCAATGCCAAACTCCCCCGAACCCCCTTTCCCATGTTGTTCCTAGCGTTGATGAATGAGATTGTGTGATGCTTATTCTGAGCGGAAAATAATCCCAAACAACATTGAATAGGGGGGGGGGGGTTATTATTCAAATTAAAGATAAAAACATGAAATCTCACTTTGCATTCCACAACATTTGGCCATAATTGTAGATTTAACCGGAAGTAAAATCTCATGCACCACACCATTTTCACATCCTCATTGACGTCGTCTTTGCTAAACCTCTCTAGTTTCATGTAGTTGTCCATATCTTTTGACACTCAAGATAATGTGTCGACGTCAACATTTGCTTTCCCAGGTTGATAATGAATGGTGAAGTAAACTCTCCTACCCACCTAAGTCTTGTTGCATTTAATTTGGCTGTAGACAAACATACGTCAATGGATTGTTATCGGTGAACACAACAAAACTTGGCACATAGTAAAGATAGTTTATAGTTGCCCACTTGAGAGCGAGAAATTCTAACTTGTCGGAATGAAGATGTTAGTTTTTCTCAGCTGTCATTAACATGCGGGAACCGTAAGTGATGACACATAGAACATCATTCTGTTGTTGGTACCAAACCGCTTTCACAATGTATCGGTGGGCAACACAAAGGGATTATTAGGTTCAGGGTAAGCCATTACTGGAACGCTCACACGACATTGAATGAGCCTCTCCAAGGCAGATTGATGGGTTGACGTCCAAGGGATTTGGAGGTGGCCAATTGCAATATTCCTACTTGGGGACTTGGGGATAGCATCATTTTTGTAACTGCGAGTTGTGTGTGTTAAACACTCAGGTCGACTAATTAGGGCTGTACACCTGCGAACAGGCTGTAAAACAAAGATGGCGGCTTTCTACATGGTGAAGAGAAACTGTTAGTTTGACTCTGACTGTTGATAAGTCAAAATTGTTCAATCAAAAAACCTTTTGTTATATCTTAGATGATTGCCCAAAGTAACATCATTAAAATTGTTACATGCATGGTACATTTATATTTTATGGTCACAGCATTTAGAATTATGTTACGTTAATTAAAATTTTGTTATATGGTGCATTAGTCAACGGATATCTTAGAATTATAGGATTGCTTCATAGATTGTATGTATTTTTTTCATTTAGCATACATTAACTGTGGGTACAGTACTACCTCAGCAATTTTGTACTCAGTTCGGAAATAACTTTTATTCTGTCGGTTTTATTTAAAAAAAATGGTGGCATTCTGACAGTTGATTGCGGTAGAGAAAAGACTGCAATCTGAACATTCTTTGTGATATCATCAAATATAAACAAAGTGACTACACAGCCGGCAGCCGGATATTTAGTAAACTGCCAGTTATATAGTGAATATACTTAAATCTAAATTATATATTTAAACGATAAAGACGCTGCGTGTGGAAAGTGAAACACAGTCTGGGTCTGTTTGTGTTTTGTCTGACTTCAAACATTTTTTCTCAAAAAATTTTTAAAACTTGCCACATTTTCTAATTCTCAAAAGGTTAGGGTTAGCAGTTAGGGTTAGAGAAGGGTATGTCTGGGGTTGGGATCGGTTTATCTTTTAACAATTCAACTTTAACTATAGTCAATACATAGCCAGCAGTTCATTAAATAGCCGGCTGTATAGTCACATCCAAATATAAAATATAAATGCTTACTCAATAATTCAATGAAATTTTTTCATATGAACCATGCAATTCCTTTGCGCAGATACATGTACGCTTAGTGTACCTATTTTTATTGTGGTGGGCTAGCTTGACAATGTAGTAAATTGGTTTGGCGATTCTTGAAAAGTTCTCAACATACTGATGATAATAATTTAGGAATCCCATTAGTTTACAGACTTTGTTTACAGTCTTTGGTGGGGTTTCTTTCATGCGAAGAATTGGAATAACCATAGATGGGTCCAACTTGTATCCTTCTGACACAATCTTCTGAGAAACAAGACCTCGCGTTTAAATATGGTACATTGCTTCGGGTTTTAGCTTTACACTGTGTGCTTTAAGGCGTTGAAGCACTTTCCAAAGAGTTCAATGTGTTTGTCAAAAGATTTACTGAACATGATGATATCATCTAGGTATGGCACTTTTTTCCTGGATCCTTGGTATTGTGTGATGATCTACTTGGCTTTTCTTGTTCAACTCACGGTAGTCGACACACAGGCGTAGGCTCTGATTCTTCTTTTGTACACAAACCACAGGCAAGCTATAAGATGAAGTCGATCTGTGAGTAAAGTGTTTATTCAACAAGTCTTCGATATATGCTTTCACCTCTGGATATAGTGGTTGGGGCACAGCGACATACTTCTTCTGAACAGGTTGTTGTATCGCTGAGTTTGACATCTATTTGAAGCTTTGTGATGCACCTGACATCATCAATGGCAAATGCATCAGCCTCCTCAATAAGCAGCTGTGTGGCAGCTTTTCTTTCCTCGCTGTTCAAATCTCCCAAATCCACATTGTTCAAGTGTTTTGGCCAGTTTGTTGTTTGGTCATCATTGTTGTTTAGGGTTTTTGGCTTCTTCATTTAATTTGGGAGTTGACCTTCTCAACTTTATCTGTCTTTAATTTTACCTCAACTGGAGTGACTGATTGAGTAAGTTGTAGGCAGCCTAGCACCATTCTGTTCTGTAATACTGTGTCATGCTTGGTTGTATTCTTCACTTCTGCTTCCACTTGGCTAGATTTCCCTGCCACTGCTGCCAATGTGTCTGAACCACTGACCGTTCTCATCAGTTTCGAAAAAAACTTGTGTGGGTTTACCTAGCGGACCAGTCGGGTGGAAAAAATATTTTTCTTTCTGGGACCATAGACCCAAAACCAAAAACATTTCTGTCAGTTCATGTTGTTTTTAGCAATACAAATATACAATTTAGCAAAAAATTAGGACTACCAAACTAGAGTGAGATAAACAGCTCTTTTAACCAATATGAACATGTAATAATATTTTACATGTACGTTGTGGTTACATTAACTCAATTTGGTCTGCCAATATTGATTTCTGACGTATATGACGGGAAGATTAAATATTAAAAACTCCGCAAGTATTTGCAGTAGAAATACGAAAATATCACCAAAAAATTCCACATGACCGGTACTATATATTCTAAAATATTCGTATAATTTTATTGTTTCTTGCTCAATTTAGTGTGAATTTCTTACCATGAAACGATAACTGTGGTGAAATTTACGCAAATGACACATTACCAATTTTGCTGTCGCATTGTGTATTTCAACTGCTCATATCTTTGCTTCTTTTCAACATACAATAAAGACAAATGTACTAAAAGAATTGCCATCTTGCATTCTATAACTCGGAGCAGTCTCGGGAGATTGCAAAATAATCTATGCCCATTATGGCAATTCTCTTGGTCAGAAAGTGTTCGGCCAACTTCGGACGCCAAATTCTTGGTAAAGCATTAGAGTTTCCTGGTAAAAGACTGCAGAAATCACTTCTGGAATATTTTTTTACCCTAGATACAGATTTTGATTGGCTTAGGCAGAAAAACAAACCTCTTGTGGAAATTTTTCTGATTGAAAATATCGCGCACGAGCGTTGTAATGTATTGTCACATTGTAAGAATGGCATTTCTCAATTGTCAAGACATTTCTTGACCTTATAGTGCTAGTAACAATGGAATGTCTTCGGACACAGAAGAGTATCTCAACCTGGCATTGGGAGTTGTGTCTGGAGTTTCAAGGCAAATATTTTGGCATACAAAAATGTTTTGCATTTCAAACAGTTTGGCATTTCAAGGCATACAAAAATGTATGGTATTTTAGGCATAAAAAACCCTGATTCCTAGGCAAAGTAAAATGAGCCTTGAGTACACGTTTGATTGTTTGTTACATAAATAATAGACTGGTGAAGTATTTATATGTCTTACTACACCTTTTCTTGGTCATTTTCAGTGGCTCCGAAACAAATTTCAGAAACTGCAGTTCGAGTTCAGAAATGTTCAAGTGAGGTTCAGATTATGCAAGTCAATTTCAAACTTAGTCACATTCATTTCAAAATTGTTCAAATGAATTTCAGGTTAGTAGTGTAGTGATAAAAGTACTCGATAAAAAAGTGGGGGTGTGGGAATTTTTTTTTTTATTATAAAATAGTATTATGAAAAAATGTCGAGTTGGCAAAATTGGTTGAAAAAGTGTCTTCCCGGACGGGGGGAGTTTTTACCTCCCCATGACGTCCCGTATATATGACGCAATAATGTGTGTGAAGTGAAGTGGACACACACATTACGCATGCGCGGGCGAGCCAATTATCATCTTACCCCAAAGCCTTGCTTGACCGAAGTGATTTGTATTTGAATTTGGCGCTTGTCTTATGCTTGCGTATCACGTGACATTGTGTGACGTCACATCCGGTTGCGTCATTTCCGGTCCGCCTGTTTTTTGGAGGGTGACGCGCGGGCGGGCGGGTGCGAACGGTTAAATATTAATGGTCGGACTGCGACGTAGACATTGGAAAACATTGTTTTTTTCTCAGATGTGTAAAAGCGAATACAAAAAAATGAATTTCGCCTTTACAAATCTGTGAAAATTATATCCGTTTTTAAGGCTGTAAAAAGCAAATTGGCTATAATAAATCAAAATTTGCGTATTACAACTTTGTAAATGGTTTTTTATTTTATTACACATAATTTTCCTGGTTGATATAAAAAATCATTAGGTATTTTGCACAGAGATTATAAAAAATTATCTTCTCCATGCAAAATGCATAATGTTGATTTTATAGTGCGTAGTTTTCGTATATTATATATTCGTTTTGTATTTCTTCTTTAGACCATCTGAATGCGAACTCTTTGTCATCATTATCGCTGTGTGCCAACCAGGAAACATCTCTTTTCAACTCTACTTTTAAGAAAAAAAATGGCAACAGTAAATAAAAAATGCACATGTAAAACGGATTATTGTGAAAAGGATTGTAAATGTCATTGTGAATTATGTCAGACAATTAAGGTTTTAAATACAGAAGGTCCAAAATGTTTATGTACTTGTGAGGAGGAAGATCATGGTCGAGATTGTAAGTGTGCTTGTCCGTGTGGAATGTGTCAGTTTATTCTTAGTATTAACGAGGATATAAATCGTTTGAAACAACAAAATTGTGGGGAGAAATTGCCCGAGAATAGTTGCTACCAGTGTTTGTGCGAAGAACGTCCCGAATGTGTGTGTCGTTATGAATGTTAAAAAAATGGATGATATTGATTGGGAATATTTAGATAGTTGGGAATGGGAAAGGAAGAAAAATTTGGATATTATACGTAAATCAGAAGCTTTTAAATTGTTTAATGAAAGATCATGCGGTGAAATAAATGCATGGAAAAATTGGTGTGAAATGATTGAGCCATTGGATAAGAATAAATTGGATATATCTCATTGGCTATATACTGCAAGATATTGGTGTAGTGATGGTGAAGAACCTTTATTGGATGATTGTATAAATTTTATGTACGTGTCAAATAAATGTCAAGTTACTAATAATATTACACAGGCATGGCAACAAATTGTGTTTATAAACAACTGTTTTAGTAAAATGTATATTCATTATAATAATGAAGGGTGGCACGGTGCATTCAGTACCGCGGATAAAACGTACAATTAAGCGTAAGCGAAAAAAACAAGTTGGAGGTGGTAAAAAGAAAATAAGAAAATGGAGTATTAAAAAACAGATTGACCATGGTTGTTGTGTAATGTAAAATGATATAAAAATTGTAATACTATTAAACATTTATTTCATAAACGATGGGTCGTGTTGCGGGTAGTGTTGCGCATGCACAGTCAAGGGTACCGTGGATAAAAAGAGCGGGAACAAATAATGCTATTCAACAAGTGGGTGGTGGCGGCGGTGTTGTGAAATTAAAAAAGGGACGGAGAGTTAAACAAAAAGGACCCCGCGCGATTTTACAAAGAGGTGGTGGTGGAGAGGCAAGAGCAAGAAGAACTGGAAAGAGAATGAAAAAATGTTGTATAATGTAAATGTAGATAATAAATAAGAAGATAATAATGAAGATTGACCTTGTAGTATTTTTGTAAATAGACGTAGGACTTCAATAAATCTTTATGAAATTTATTTTTGTATTTTTGTATTTATCCGGTCCGCTAAAAAGCAGGACCGATTTAAAAAATTCAGCAGATTATTTTCACAGCAAGAAATTCAGCACAGAAGATTTTCCCCCACGTTGATTCGTCTTTGCTTTAGCTACCCTTTCAAGTATACTTACAATTAGTTTACACACGACTTATATAGACGAGACTTACGGAAGCGTGGGTTATTAAATTACAACATCTGTATAATTTTAATTTTTTTCACAGTATTTTACAAACTACACGGTAATAACCCAATAAGGTGATGGAATGTAAACAATTTATGATAGGAAATCATTTGCCTTGTGATAAAACGCAAAGCAGAAGATTGCCTAGTATAAAGAGTATTTTTAACAATGGCACAATATGTAGAAGACGAAACGAAATTCTGGATTGAAATGAGCAATAAACTAATGTGTGTCTCGACTCAAGTGTTTGCTTTGGAGGAAATTAAACATTTTGAATTGATAAAACCTGAACATTGGATCGGTACTCGCGAGCAACAACAATATTTGTTTGAACAGATCGTTGCGCGGTATCTATGGAAGCATGTCTACGAATGTATGCCAAAGGAATATACTGGATGTCCCAGTCCACGTTTGTTGATGGTGTGGGAGAATAATTTTACAAATGATATAGCCACGGGATGGGGTTCAATGGTAAAAACATTTTTAAAATGTATCAGCGTATTTGGTGTTAAGCATCCCGAAGGAATTTTTTGTCAAAAAACTATTCCAGAATTGTTAAAGATGAAGTATCATTTACACGGTATAAATGCAGGGTCAAAGAGAAAGATCGTAGATGAACGTTATAGACAAGTTTATGAACTAGTAGATTTAGTTTATTTTAAAAGTGCTGAATGTATGACTAAGAATTATTTTAATGAGAAATGTGAGATGAATAATTTCAAAAAATTACAATTAAATTTTTAAAATTGCACCGTAATAATTGTGTGTGATGAGTAAAAGGTAGTTAAAAGCTAAACGCGTGTATCATAGATTGTCTGACTTCTTAGCAAATCTGCTAATGGCAGGGTTAGTGATTTCTGTAAACCCTCTAGTAAGAGGTGAGTAACTAGACTGTTGATTAGGGGTTATGTTTAAGGGTCAGACATATATATATATTTTAGCGATTGTAACAAGGCACATGATTGTAAAGATCAACTGCCCTTGTTACAAACACCATAATACAATTAATTTTCCTTTTTAGCACACTAAGTATTTCAACAGTTTACAACAATGACACATAACTGCAAAGGTTATGTGTCTTTGTTACAAGACGTTTTATACTTTTTTTGATTTTTTATTTTGCCGCCCGCTAAAAAGCAGGGCGATTAAAAAATTCGGTAGTATTAACTATAATCTTTGATATTTTGCCCAGAACGAAGCGATCAGACCATCATACAGTCAGACTATCATCAGTCTCTTACACCTTGACTTATATAGACAAAGATTTGAAAACGGAAGTACGTCAAAAAAATGTATTGTATTACAGGTTTACAAGTTTTTAGCGTCAATGGTAATTTTTAGAATATTTTTCAATAGATCGATTTCTTTATCCAGATCATCTCGGGTTACTTCTTTTTGACAATCTTCTTCTAGTAATTCTGCTTTTTTGCGTAGAACACCGATTTCGTTTTGTATACTATTTATTTTGTGTATTTTTTCATCACATTTTTCAATACCATAGGGTTGAGCACCACAGATATCGCAAAAACCATAGAACATTCTGGTTTCTTCAGAGCCATAGACGGAAATAATTTTTACCAGCTGCCCGTTGACCCACGCAAGAACCGGGTCAATTCCAATTCTTTTTTCACCCGATGCAAACGTTAATACAGGGATGTCTGTAATATTTCAAATATGGTATTGGAATGTTTACTAAAGATTCTGAAGAGATATTTCATGAAAATATCAAATATATCTTCAGAATCTCGAGTAAACATACTCCAAATATGGTCATGGAATGTTCAAGTTTATTTAACCGCCTCAAGATATTACCAAATAAATCGAGAATATCTTAAGACGCTAAAATAAATTGACATGGTGTGAAGAAATGCAGGGATGTCTGTAATATTTCATATATGGTAATGGAATGTTTACGTGAGATGAAGAAGATATATTTGATGTAAATATCAAATATATCTTCAAAATCTCAAGTAAAACATACTTAATAAACTCCAGACATGGTTATGAAATGTAAAAAAGGTAACTTTTTTGATAACCCCTAAAAAATGCAGGGGATCTCGAAAAAGTTGAATTTCATAGATTTCACGTTATTAAAAGAAAGCAGCGCTTTGACGGTTCTGTTGTAAAATAAGCAAAACCCCCGAAATGCTGCTTTCTTGTTTCCTCTTGAAATAAAAAATGCACATGTACTGCTTTCTTGTTTCCTCTTGAAATATTAAAATCAAAAAAAGTCAGCTTTAGTATTCCTGTGAAGAAACTCGCAAGAATGCGTAAAGCCAATTTTTCGTGGTTTTAATTTTGATAAAAAGTAAAGGTTTATAAATCCAAAACGACGATTGCAGTAAAAAATAACTGCGTTTCAAAGTTTTGGGGATACAACAATTTACTAACAACATGAATATCCATCATAGTACGCTTCTATTCTAGGATCCAGATAGGTTTTGTGACATAACATATAAATTGCTATTTTAAAGATAGATTTATCCAGTAGACAACCTTTTGAAGCAAAATGTTTATAGATATTTTGTTTTACATCCACAAATCGAGATCCTTTTAATGATTTCATGTAGAAATAAAAATGTTGGAGGAAAGCTTTCATTGCCGTTTCGTAATGGTATGATGTGCAGTATAGCCAATGACCAAAATAACTTGTAGACCATTGTATGCGTATATAGTGTGTGCGTATTTTTTTTTCTCCACGGTGTATAACATCGATTGATATTGTAAAATCTTTGTCATTTTCGGTTAATTTTGCTATTTTATGACATGAAAATATTGTATCATCACATAAGATATATCCATCCATGATTATTACAACAGAACTAAACTTCATCCGCAGCAACAAGTATACAAATATATTTGTCCTGGAGACGAAGTGTTAGTTTTGAAGTGTTAGTTCTTGGGCAAGATGAGTGAAAATTATAAGCGTGTTGAGAAACACATAAAGGATACAAAGTATAATTATCTTGAGGGGTGGGAAGGAATTGAGTATGATTCAGAGGTTCAGGAAGAAATGTTGGATTATATATTAATGTATATAATACAAAAACAAATACATGAAAATATTCCTTATTTACCCCAAGATATATGGGTTGAAAAGAGTAAACCCATAATAAATGATCATGCATTTTTTTATGCTATCGATGTAATTGATGATTTGAGTATTTTGTATGAATTTGAAATTCTAATGGATGCGGAAGATTCCTATCTAGTTGAAAAAGTGAAATATATGCAGGCAGAAAAGTTAAATACAATGTATGAATTGTATGTTGATTATATAAGAAATGGCGCGGCAGGAAATGAAAGAATTTATAAATTTACAGAGGAAATGTTAAAAGATCAATGGGTAAATGAATGAGGTAATTATTTTTTATTTAGTTTTATGTTGATGTTTGCCCGTGTAAGAGATGGCTAGAGTATATGAGAAAATTGTAAAAGATTGGTTATTTACACAATTTGTATGTGACGGTGGAAAATGGGAATTACAAACACTTATTAAAAAATTAGTGGAGCGTGGTGTAATTCCCTCTCATATTGAGAAAGATTTAAGTTTGTACAAATTATTGCTTTTACAACTTCAACGCTGTACTACGGGTTTAATAGCGGTACCCAGTGAGGGGTTTGCAATGCCTCAAATGATAAATTGTTCTACGGCGCCGGCAACAATGTTGCTAGAGACGAATCTAGCAGAACAAATTGAAAATTTACGACATAAATTAGAAGAGGATACAGGTGTAAATATTTATTATTATCACCGTATTAGAAGTGTTGCTGATAAACGACCTAAAAGATTACGTACAAAACGACGTTCTGAAAGTTCTACAAGTTCTACAAGTTCTAATTAAAAAAATCAGTAAGTTTTGTTTGATATTGTTTTTCTTTTGGTTTTGTTTCTTGTTGTTTTAACCAGCGTTCTCCTACAAAAGCTATAATTTCTTCTGTAAGTGGTTCTTCGGGAGCATCAAATAATGTACGAGAATTAACATGTTCGTATTGCCAATTTTTACCCAATGTATACCCGGTAGCAATAAAATAATCTTTACCTTCGTTCTTGACCTTTTCAACTTTTTCCAACCGCGTCTCTTCGGTTTTATGCCGTAAATACCAGAATATTTTCATACGGCATTCGCCACAAACTCTGGCATGAAAATGATCTTCGTCTCCCCCTAATTCGCAGACGGTTGTATGGCAACAATGTTGTTGTAAACATTTGGACCCGTCTTCTAATATTTCTTCACATGATTTATCAAATATTGTATCGGCAGCCTCTTCATGAAATTTAAAAGCCATTTTTGCATTTCTCTCTGTTAGTTTGTGTTTGTCTTTCGCGCGCACAATTTATAAAAAATTTAGTAAAATTCCATTTCCAAATATGGATAGTATGTTTCATGTTGTTTCATTTTATAGTTTTAAAATATTGGTGCGACAATTTGAAATAACATTCGAGGAGTGGGAAATTGCGTGTATGTGTGTATTTGGTTCTCAAGATTATTCTGTTTGTTTTTTAGCTAATTATTGTCATCAAGATTATGTTATGAAATTTTGGAAATATTTTATGGTTTCAAATACAGTGGATATCACAAATTTCGAGGGTATATTTATAACGGGTATGCATTTTAATGGGCCATTGGATTTTAAACTAACACCGCAAAGACAATGTTTAACTGGGAACAAACGAAAGTTGTGAGTGTAAATAAACCTAAAAAATGGTCAAGTACGGGGACTATAGAAGAGCAGGAAATGGTTTACAATATTGTGCGTGGATATTTTTGCCGTTTGTATATCTTAAATGGTTTTGAAGATTGCGATACGTGTACGTATGATCGATGGTTGTCAAGTGTGGACAGGGTTTTTGAAGCAAAACGCTCGATAATAAATGGTGCCTATGAGGAACTTTTAAAACGCTACGGGTATGAAATGATTTTTATACCCGATGACAATTCAAGTAAAGATCCTATGTTATATTATGAATTAGGATTAAGTAAAGAAACTTTTAAATATACAAACGTTTATGATATTTACACTTTTTTGGATTTTGTGTATGCGTTATGTGATACATATAAAGTGTATAATTTTGACAAATAGTTTATCCATATATAGAGATATGTAATATAATATAGACGTGGTAGTTATGAAAATGTTCACAAAGTAATTGATAGTCATGGCTAGTAGTTCAAAACGTGCGAGATTAGATGAAAAAATAGATTTAGTATTAATGAAAGAGGAAGCGGACAAAATGTTGTTGGGGGTATATCAAGAACTAGGTGCGGGTATATTGGAGCAAAATAAAATGGACACGGCATGGAAGTCTGAACTAGCTGCAGGTGTATTTGACCCAAATAAAATGGACACGGAATGGAAGTATGAAGTACAATATAAAGATGGTTATACCCAAAAAGTTGCTGTTGGTCATGAATTTCAACTAGCAAAACCCAAGATTAAAGAACCCGAAGCACAAATGAAGGGGACAAGGTTTTCAATGAACATTTATGACGATCTATGTACAATCATATAATTTTTATTGAACTAGTAAAAAACATTGATCACAACAGTAAACACCATATTTCATATTTTTAAAACAATAAAATGATTTAGTTTTTGGTAGTAATTGTTTGTCCTTGAATCTTTTTACTCTTGCAAGACTTTTTGCGGTATGAACTTCCCATGTTCCTGAGGTATTAATTAGGGTACTTGATCTTGTAGAATGTTCTTGCATGTTTGCATCATGTTTACATTCGCGACAATCTGCTAGGTGGTTATGAGTTTTAAGTAGGTATTTTTTCTTGTCTCGACACCATACTGTAGGTAAGGGGGGTACCATACTCTCCACTGTTCCCAAACTCATTCCGTCATTTGAACCATTTTTTTTGTAAGTAGGTGCTGGTGATGCGGGTACTTTAAAATCGTAGGGTTTGTCTTTAACCATGCGCGATATGGGACTTTCGGTGCTGCTGGGTTTGTCTTTGACCATACGCGATACGGTTTTTTCACTTTTGGTACTTCTGAGAACTTGACAATTTATCCCCAGATTATTTGATTGTTTTTCATTTTGTGGTCCACACCATGTAAATCTTAGGTTTGGAGATTCATCATCATGTAATGTTTCAATAGTATTGCGGTAAATTTTGCCCGCCTGATAGCATTTTTTACAACCATTTGGACATGGACACATAAATTTTGCAGGACAATATTTGCACTTATCACTGTCCATTTCTATGTAAATGTGTATAAATGTTTGCGTTTATTTATAATATTTAGGGTACGCTGTGCTTTCCCCATATATGGTGATGGTATGTAAGCATGGGCGAATAAAATAGGTTGTAATAATAATAATATATAAAAATGAATTTTAATTTGCATCTAGCACTTCCCGCAGATATAAAAATTCTTGTTCATTTTGAGGCTGAAGAGGTTGCCATGCTAATCGATTGGTGTGTTATAAATTTTGTGTATATTGTAATTTGTGAATTTTTTTAGGATGGCACAGTGTAGTTATATACCCGTGTCATATTATGAGGCCAAAAAAAGGAATGTACCCAAAGTATATGCTCAAAGAATGTGGTGGTGTTTTTGTACATCATCAATTCAAATGGTCGATGAAACATTGGCGCTTGTAGAAAATGATGTTTTCAATAATGCTTCAACAGTGAGAGCTTATAAACTAAAATATACTGATTCTGTTTATGCCGATACGACGTATGTTACAGCATTATTACGTTTTAGAAGAGCTGTTTCTGCTTTACAAGTATATAATGACTTTATATGTAAGCATTATTCGGGTCGAAGAAAGAATATTGATCTTTTTAGTATTTGGCATCCAACACAATCTGAAATTCGTGCTAGAGAAATAAGTGATGATATAGGTGAGGATGATCATTTTATGGGTGACATTGTGACGCGTGACATGCTTTGGTATTTAAAGGACGGTGAATACACAATATACTAATGGAACCGCAATTTACAAGTGTTTTTAGTGGTTTATTACCGTGCAAATGTAAAAATTGTCAAAATTGGGACGGTGTTTCAACTATTGAATGTGAATATATTCATTGTGTTTGTGATGTGAGTTGTCTTGTACAGTGTGGAGTTTTTTCGATACCTTGTTACATTTGTCCTTTTTCACATTGTCAATTTATGATTTTTGCTAATGAGGATAATTTTGAAAAATATGTTCGTGTGATGGAGGATTGTGAACCTTACTTAAAACTTAAAGATAAAAAATTAACGTGTTTATGTGGAATCCGATTAAAAGCAAGATTGGATTTTGTACCTGTTCTTAATGAATTACAGTTATTTTTTGTGTGTCGAACGGGTCAATGTAATTTCAAACAGTCTATACCGCAATTAAAGATGTCCAGAATTCGTTGCATCTGTGAGAAATTTTGTGAAAAAGATGGCGAGATGTACAAATGCCCTCGAGGTGAAAAAGGCTGTGGAACATATTTTCATGAACTTGATTCATTTACTTTTATACACACAATAATAGAAAAAATAGAGTTAGAGGATAATGCGTGGGCGTATCTACCCATGAATGTTAAAACTTTAGAATGTGGTAATTATGATATTATTAAGTATAATAATGAACAGAAACGATTAACTTTAGTATGTCGAGATTTATTTTGTGATTGTAGTACAGATGCTGTAATAGCACCAGAATTTAAAATAGAAGAATAAAAAATTATCTTTTTTTTTTCATAAAAACTGCTTGTGTTATTGCGTCTCTTGCAGCTTGACGTGCTAATTCATGTTCGCCAGCTACAATTCCACCCCATTGTTTTCCCCCACCATAGTTATAGTTACGTCTTGGAGCGCCCCAATTTCCTTGATTTTGGAACACACCATAGCCTCGTCTTTGATTTTGCGGTGGTCCATAGTTATGTCTTGAACCGCCCCCACGATTTCTTCTTAGTTGTTCTAGTTCTCTTTCTTGCCTCATCATTTGTAAATTCATATTTTCTATTTTTCGTCTATATCTATTATTGCTACTCTCCCCCCCACCACCTCTTCTTCTTTTTTTCTTTTTACCGCCAAACATACTTGAAAGCATGGAAATACCTGAAAAGGGTAAAAAAAAACCCATCTGTTTCGGTTGTCCACGTTGATGTCGACGTCCAACAAACGTCCCCCCTGATTGCTTTACCATTTTAGAATGACTGTCTTACTTTTACGCGATGTTCTTTATAATCATAAAGGCCCATTTTGGAATATAACTGATGTTACTGAAGTGGGGAGTATTGGTGTGAATTTTTGTATTGGTACAACGGGTGATGATTATAGATTTCATTTAACAGCATTTTGTACAACTGTACCTACGGTAATACCGTATAATATTGGATATCAATTTTTTCATTTTTTTTCGGATATATTAGGACGAATACATACTTCAGCATATGCTAAAACAGAAGATTTACAAGTATTACTGTGTTTGAAAGGGGTTTACTGTGATTTAACAAAACTGGAAACTCTACAGAAATGGCGAAGGCGAATTATAGAAACGGTCCTGAAATAGGAACGGTTTGTTTTTACAAGGATACATGTGGTACGGCTGTAAAACATTTGGTTGTTTCAAGTGAAGACAAAATGAATAGGAAAGTTTATACACTTAAGAATTTATATACTCTAGGAAGGTATAGTAACGAGTGTGGTCATATTATCGTGGATCGGACGTGTCAGGTAATTGTGATTCATTTTTGGTCAGATCATGAGCTAGATTTTGATAGTTTACAATGTTTCGCGGAGACGTGTCAAGTAGAAAAGGATCCACGGGTTATAACTATAAAAATGATTGCTTTATTTGGCGTTATCTATTCAAAATATTTGATTAAAGAAATATCAGGATTGGTCTATGGTCAACGCTATAAAGTGAAAATATGCAAAGCTGGAACCATGTCATTGTCTCGTCTAGACACGCACTCTTACACAAGATACCAATGAATATTTTACACAATGATACGTTATATACTTGTCGTAAATTTCTCAATGTAATGCGGCAGGACAACAAGTGGACATTTTTTTTACGAACTTTGAATAATAATGTAAGATTTATACACATTTTGATGAATAAAGGATTGCCGAAAAAAACCATGATAATAAGGATTACTAAATTTACACCTGGTGATTTTGAAATGCGAAGATTATTAGGACAAATAGTGGTGTATTGTCGAGAACATCATTGTATCAAGGATATTATAGAAATATTTTTAAAACAAGGTTATTATTTAGATAAAAGTGTATATAAGTTTTTAAAAAAGTGTTTTAGATTTAAAACGCACGTATGTGGCGTGTTAGAAGGATATGTATAGAATATGGAAAATTATCTTAAAATGGAGAATTTTTTTCGTACAATACAATATGAAAAAGAATTATTACGATTAAAAAAAAGAGCAGATGTATTTTTATGTTATTATTGGTATGGGGATCAAGTATGTTTTGAAAACCCTTTAATTAAGGAACAGCTTGAAGGACTTTTGGATCTTATGGACAAAAAATACATTCCAGAAATAAATAAGGTGGTATCTGATACAACACCTTGTTTAGATTTAATGTTGGCTGTACTTGAGAATAATTATGCGGATAAAAGTTTTTGTCATAAATTGTATATATTATCAATAGCGCGCACGTTATTTCGACGAAAGCGGTTGTATTTTTCAACTCCCGAACGTAAAAGGACATATATGGTCAAGGTATCTAAAATTACGAACAGTGTTATTTTTGAATTGGACAAACGAAATAAACATGATGACCTAATTACAATCGGATGTTGTGCAATCACGTGTGCGCTAGCCTTTATATTGGTTTGATTTTTATATTTTTTCATTCCTCTTCAAACACACAACAACAACACAACATGGCTGATGAACAGAAAATAAAAATTTATAAACGTGAACAAACCCTGCTTGAAAAAGTTTTGGGGACTTATGAAAATGGTAAAACCAAACTGGTTTTAATGAAAAAATGGTCTAAAAAATGTGCTTTGGCCGTCGGTCATTTGTCGCAAGATGGTGTCAAGTATATTTATGACACCGGTATTGAATTATCCTATGATGAAATGGAACAGCTGGCCGATCATTTACCGATGATGACAAAATCGGATAAGGATAAAAATTATGCTGAATTGGGTACTAGTCAAGATTCCTATGGGAACGAATATCGCACAATCATCACGCGTAGTGAATATGCAGGTTTAAAAATCTGTAAATTAAAGAAAACACAGAAACCTGTTGATTTTGGCACCACCACTACTACTGTTGATAGTCCTGATCCTGCACCCGCCAGTCTAACGACATCACCACCTGTGGAAAGTGTCTGGCAAGAGTGTTTTGATAAATTCTATATCAATAAGAATGATGATTGGAAGAAACTTGCCGACATTATTTGTGATTTCTGTTATGAGGCCTATGGTATCCTTAACCCCTCCAGTGGTCTTGATGTAGTACCCCCAACACCTCCAACCGTTGAACAAAAGCAAGTGGATGGTCCAAAAAAACGAAAGAGAGATCCAACTACTAAAGGCGGGGTGAAGAAAACCAAAAAAGTGGTTGTTGAAGAGGATTCTGATAAGTCTGAGGTAAGAAAATTCACATCGAAAATTGTGGCTACTATAAATACCGTAAGTTTTAATCATAGTTTTCCTTTTTCTAGATGAAACGAGTAATTGCAGCGATTGTTTCTCATATGCCGGGAAAAAATACAGCTGTAGATACTGTTTTAAAACATCATGAAAAAATAAAACAAACTTATGATTATGATGATTATCTTAACTTTGCACGGGCAAATGAACCATTAATTAATTACTATTGGCATTGTGTACAAATACGTTTTAAAAATGAATAATATAGAGATATATAATATTTTTTCTTTATAGTAATGGACGATGCAGAACTTATAAAAAAAGCCGCAAGATTATTAAAAGGAGAAACATTAACAAAGGAACAAAAAAACTTGTATACCTTGCATGCGAAAAAAAAGCATAGATATAAACGTTTAAAAATTCATGTATATGAAAAAAATGAACAATGGAGTATTGATTTAGCAGATTTAAATTCATTGTCTGGGTATAATAATCAATATCGTTATTTGCTTGTGTGTATTGATGTGGGAACTCGTTTTGGTTTTGTGAAATTACTAAAAACAAAAACGGCTAAAAATGTTGCTGCTAAATTTGAAGAACTTATTCTTGAGAATGGTGCACCTAAAAAAATTCAAGCTGATGAGGGAACAGAATTTAATAATATAAAAAAAATTCTTGCTCCCAAATATAAGTTTACATTATTTCATACGCAAAATCGTGATATTAAAGCTGCTCATGCAGAAAGATTTATTGAAACTCTCAAGAATATGATTCAAAGTACGTTGACAATGTTTTCAAGCCGTCGATTTATTAAATATCTTCCGCTTATTCTTGAAAGATATAATGAGGCCCCCCATCGTGGTATTCACAATTTAAAACCTGTGGATTTATATAAAAATGGAAAAATGCCATCCTTTTTAAAGTATAAAAATATTAAAAATTACCTATCAGGTTCACAACCTACTACAAGTCTATTACGTAAAGGTCAAACTGTACGTATTGCAAGACTTAAAAATAATATTTTTGAAAAATCAAGTTTAAGACGTTGGGGACGTGAAATTTTTATAATTGATAAAGTTTTTATTACCGATCCTGTGACGTATAAATTAAAGGATAAACAAAACGAAGAAATCACAGGTATATTTTATCGTGAAGAACTACAACCAATATGAATCTACAAATTTTTAGTAATACACAAAACCAATTGGGAGAGGAGAATTATATTAATAAATTTACAATGGCTTTACCGCAACAAATTGATGGTGAAAATAAAAAACGATTTATACGTGCTTTAAATGTAACGTATCCTGTAATGATTGATAATGTGGAACCTGACAAATGTGGTATACGTATTAAACATAAACTTCATTGGAAGTCAAATGCGGATAATTATATAGAATTTGAAACAGATTGGTTATATTTACCCCGCGGACGTTATACACTACCCAAAATGGTTAAAGATTTAAATCGATTAGTATGTGAATATGGAATGTGTTTTACAATACTTCCGGGGGGTCATGTGAGTGTTTCTATGGATTTTACACCAAAATATATATATCGTTATCAAGATGATGATAATGTTACACAAGATGACTATGATATACATAGTGTTGATGATTTTTCGTTCGATTTAACCAAAGATTTAAAATATATGCTTGGTTTTGATGAGTTTGTATTACACCCCGATGTGCAAAAAACCTGGAAATACACCACAAGGATGATACTAAAACTACTTTAACAAATATACAAGCCATTTGTCAAACTATTTTAGATACTAAAAAACATTTTGGAACATTAAATTTTTTATGGGGTTTTTTTTATGGTAAATATGCCCCGGATATAACGAACGGAAAAACACGTATGTTTATCTATTGTGACGAAGTTGTACCCTCTATTGTGGGGGATGTTCGTGGACCATTATTAGCACAATTACAAATTGTTCCTACAGAGACTATGGATGACGGGGGATTATACACACATACTTTAGCACCGATTACACGAGAATTAATTAACGCCCAAATCACACATTTGCATATAAGAATTTGTGATCTTGAAAATAATTTAATTCAATTTAACGGCGGTAGTGTAGGGATCGAATGTATCATTGAATAATGGGGACAATGAGAATAGAGTTAAAAGTTAAAAGACAGCAATTTATAGCCATTACATATGCACTACGTGGTTTTGCTAAAACTGCAACAGAGGATGTATTTTTCAATCTTGCTGCACAAAGGTCGAATATAGGTAATTTTGATATGGGTACTTTATGGTGTTGCCGTGCAATAATGTTTCATGGAATGGCTGATTTGGAAGAAAAAGATATGGTTGAACGTTGGTCAAAAGGAAAAATAATCAATCACAAAAATAATACAATTTCAATGAGTGCAAATGCGTTACAGTGTATGGGTTTTGATCATCAGCTATTGGTTCATTTTGTTGGGAATGCACATGCAGATGGAAAAATTATGAATATGAACGGTCCCCGACAAAAATTGCCTCAGTATCTCCTTGTCAACAGTCTAGAACAGTTGAAAGAAAACGTTTACTTTTATTTTCTTTGGGGTGACAGTTTAAACGCGTATACAGCGTCTTTAGAAGGGAAACAAATTAATATTGACCTAAATCTTTTTGATCATGAATGAAAAACAGTATTACAATTTAATGCATGGACGTGGTGTAAAACATCCTAGTTGTAATAATTTATTGTATATTCCAAATATACCCAAAACAATTGAAGAACGGAGTCAAGGTGATATTTGTCCACCGCCACAATTAAATCCTGATTATATGCCCGATCCTAAAGTAAAACGTACTGGAAAATTACCACAACGCTCAAAAGGACCAGCACCACCCACAGCAATTGATCCAAATGTTTTAAGACATATTTTTGGACGATAAATAGTCACATTTTAAAATAAAATAATTATTTGATGTGTGACAACGATGACGAAACATCGTGGACAATACGGCGGCAACTTTAAAGGAAAAAAACATCAACGTAGTAAAAAGCAAGATGGTGGTTTTGGCGGAATTATACTGGATCATTACTTATCAAAAAAGACAAAAAGAAAAAGTAAAAATCCTTATGCAAGAAAACAACGTGGAGGCGGTGCAGGATTAGCTATGGCTGCAGGTTTAGCAATACCTGCTATTTTAGGTGCTGCTACAAAAATATTACCAGGTATCTTTGGTAAAGCGAAAAAAGCACCGGTAACTAATAATAATTACGGTCGAGGACAACAACGTGCACCTCCACCACAATATTATCCCCCACCACAATATTATCGTCCACCACCACAGTATTATTCAAGACCCCCCCAACAACAACGTTATCAACCAAGACCCCCACCACCTAGACCTAAACAAAAAGGTGGACGTGTTAATAAAAAACGTAGACGTAAAACAATTTGGTAGAATAAAAAAATGTAATAGATATAAGTGTAATAAAAATTATAAAATTGTATCATTTGTGGTTTATCCTTCATATCATACACACACACACACGGAAGCATGAAGCGAACACGAGAACAAGTTGATGATGAACCCGTTGAGGTTCACGATAGTGGATTTATGGGGCCTATGGTAATGTTTCCTACATTTCCACACAATGATACATTTGTGGATAGTCGAAAATTTAAATTAATGGCGGGACCCATTGCAAATCCAGATGCTGAAGAATTTACATTTAAACATGCTCCTAATGATTTTGGCGTTATGGATCTTAAAAGTGCAAGAATCACGGCAAATATCACCATTACGACTGCTACAAATGTTTTCTTAGCATTAACCCAAGATGTGGCACTTAATCAATCACCACTAAGATTAGGATGGAAATCACGTGAAGTATTAGTTAATAATCAACGCATTAATTCATTATCATCCCAGGAAAATGAAATTGAATTGATAAATCATTTAACACGTGAAACGCCGCTTTTTTATAAAGCCGATGAAGATATAACAGGTTGTATTCACAACACCCCTGGTGCGGCTAATGTTAGCGATAGTATTGCGGAAATGCGTGATCCCACTAACGCCGCTCATGTTAATAAAGGTCTTGGCAAACGTTATCAATTGTGTAAGAGAGCTGTCCCTTTTAGATGTTATGATTTTATCAATGTAATGGGGGATAATAAACGTTATGTTGTTTCATCATTTGAAATGACAATAAGATTAACACGTTTAGAAAAAACAAAAACCTTAATGGGTAATGCAGCACATTGTGCCCTAGCAAAAATTCGTTATAATGATATGCAAATTCATATTCAAGCTTTTAAACCCAAAGCACAATTAATGGCTGCCATTAATACTGCTATGGTTCAAAAAGGTGAAGAAGCCAAATATTATGTACGTCATTTTCGTTATGTCCCCATAGCTGTTGCTAATGGTACTCAAAAAATTTATAAAAATGATCTTTTTACTGGTGCCCGACCAACACGTATGTTTATCTATATACGTACACAAGATCGTTATAATGGTGCTCATACGCTCAATCCCAATCGGATAATTTTTCCAGATATAGAATTTGTAGGTGTGAAAATTAATGAAGCGTTTATTGAACCCACCATTGAAAATTCAAAAGAGGCCTATATTAATTTACGAAAAATTTTGAATCGTACATATGATGACATGCCATTCAATTATAAAGATTATTTAACTGATTATGGTTTTATTGCATTTGATCTATCTGAAAATAAAGATAGTTACAATCAAATTTTACCTAATGCAACCAGCGGTGTTGTGAGTCTTGAAATACGTCTTAATAATGGACTTGCCGTAGCAAGTCAATTAATTGTTGTGGGCGAATTTCGAAATCAATTGTCCTGTTCATATCAAACGGAAGCGCGTTTAAAATTCGCATTTTAAATGATTTATCATTCATATGAACAATGTCTGTCAAACGAAGACGACCGAAGAGAAAAACAATTCGAAATATTTTACATATACCTGGTGCAAGACAAAATTATGGCATTGGCTGGGGTGGCAGTGCGATACGAACAGTTCACGTAAAACCGGTAATATCAAAATATGGCTGAAATAAATGAATATCAAAGTGAGGAAGAAGAATTAGAACCTGAAATTGAAAATAACGAAGAAAACGATAAAACTAACCCTAAAAATAAAAATGATAAAAATCCTGAAACTACATTAAGTGATGATGATGATGATGGGGAAGAGAAGGTAGAAGGGGAAAATTCCGATGAAGAACTAGCTTATTATGCTGATGAGGATGATAATGATGATGATGATGATGAAGAAATAAATAATGAAGCATCGGCTTTATTTTTAAAACAAATTTGGGATGCTCATTGTATGACAATTCAAAAACAGAAACAATCTAAATTTCTACCTGCTACCAAAAAATTCTTAGCTGCTGGTTTTACTCAAAAAGAAAAAATGCTTAATAATAACAAGCAATTAATTTCACATTTGGTATTTTTATGTAAAAATATAGCCACGGGTAAAATACCTTTAAATATATCACCGTGTGAAAAAGCTTTATTTATGCACATTTCTGATAAGTCCACACACAAGGCAGACGTGCGTTTACGTTTGTTGGAGGAATTTTCAGTACAATATTATTGCAAACTTGCTATTAAACAAATAGAAAAATCTCGCGATGGGGGACGATGTGAAACGTTTGATGTTGATAGACACCGAAAAATACAACACGATGATCAAAAACCTAGATCGACTGGTCGCAAACCGACAAATTCTAGACGAGGCAAAACAAACAACCGCGGAAGGGGAACTCATTGAAGGACATGCTAATATGACAGCCAGTGTTGCAAAAAAACAACCCCATGCTACAGATGACATTATTAATTATTCAAAAAAAAGACACAATTATCGAAAAGAACTTGCTGAGAAAGCCGCCGCGACAGCTCCCGCAGCTGCAACAGCTGGTGGTGGGCCATTACCGAAAGCAGGCTCATTAGCAAGTTCCGAAAGATTAATAAAGGCATTTCTTAAAAATAATAATGTTAAAGATACACCTAAGGGTGTAAAATTTCAAAGTAAAACACTTAATTTTAGTTTTGATGATATGATTGCAGATCTTACAAAAAATGTAACCAAAAAAAAAACAAATTTAAATACAGGTCAACATCAAAAATTATTAAGAGAATTAAAGAAATTAAATATGCCTGTTTCTTATATACGCAGTGAAAATCTTAAAGGTCAATATCGTAGTTTAAGTGAGACCGGTGGTGGCGCATCAACATCACAAGGAACACCACCACCAGCCTATGAAACACCACCACCGCCAGGTACACCACAACCCCTATTTCAAAACTTCCCAACAACGCCGTTAAGTAAGAAAGGACAAAAACGACCCTATATGTAAAAATGGCGTCATTAACATGCTTTATTAGTAAATTTCTGGATACGGACAATTTAGATCAACAAGCACAAAGTGATCCGGATATATCACCACATTATTTGGGTTGTTATCCTGCTGATGTAACACCAAAGGGTACCGCTAGAGTCAGATGTTGTTGGATATGGAATGTAGATCCCAAGAACAAACCTGGTACACATTGGGTTGCAGTTATACGCGAAAAGGAACTCATTTATTTTTTTGATAGTTATGGAAAAACACCGTTTTTCTTTAAACGACCTTACTGGGAAAATTACTTTGAAAAATTAAAATGTAAAATGCAATTGTATAATACATCACATCTTCAAGCCCATGTTAGTAGAACATGTGGTAGTTGGTGTTTGTTATTTTTAAAATCTTATTATACGGGAACACATATTATACGTAGTGATCTATTTACGTCTCAAATTGACAATCTAATGCAAAATGAACGAATATTGCAACAAACTTGTTACTCCTTATTTCCAACTTTAAAAAAATTATATAGTAATAAATGTCTTACTAGTAAAGGACAAATATGTAAATCATATAGTGAAATGTATCAAATACAAAGTTAAAAAAATTTTTTATTGGTTTATACATCATATACAATAGTTTCATCTTTAGGAAATATTCCAGTTCTTACGCGTGTATTGGCGCATCCTTTAGGACACCCATCAAATACAATATAACCATATTCTTTTTTACCTACATCATTAATTACTTGATGTATTTTATTTTTACATATTTTTTTATTTGCCGCCACCGTTTCTACATCTCTATAACAACTCAAACTTTTACACATGATATGATATTGACTGTTCACTTTAATTGTTCGTAATTTTCCTGAACCATAATTTAAACTTTGACATACAAAGATGACAGAGGCATTGGAATGATGACTGTCGCGTGAGGCAATATTATTTAAATTGGTCAAATTTACACTATCGTTACCCGCAATAATCATCAAATCATCTAGAATTATCAAAGTACTCTTGCCCAATTTCTCTTTAAGGGTATCCATTGACGGGATGCCTGCATTACAATCGATAAACTCAAACGATTTTAATGTCGAAGTCTGTTGATTGTCACGAATGTTCTGTTTAATGTCGTCATAGTCGTACACCGAGTAAAGGTATAGTAGTTTGTCGATAGGTGGTTGAATTAAAGTTTGATGGTGTTCTATTATGTTCTTAATCAGATAGGATTTGCCGCTTTGAGAGGGTCCGCATAATGTAGCCATAAAAGGATGTTGAAAAGGTATAGCGCAATCCGTCAAATTACGACCCTATGAAAAAAGAATAATTTCATTTAATATACCCGTATGGTACGGTTGTAAAATCATCACGAATAATACGTTTATCAAATGTGAATTTAAATTTTTTCTCTACTTTTTGAACATTGATGGTTTGATTATTGGAGCGTGTAAATTCCGTATAAAAAGTTGTAATTTTTTTACTTCGATCCTCGACACATTGTTCAATGCTATCAAATGTAATTTTCTTTTTAGTATCCCCTTTTAATGAGAAACCTTTCACATGAACAATTTCATCACGTTTTTTTTCATCATCTTTATTAATATATTCATTAGTACGATACGAATAGGATTTTGGGCCTGTTGCACAAAACATTTCTATCCATTTTTCACTTTTTGCTTTTTTATCATATAATTCATCAGTCAATTGTCCTAAATAATCCCCAGTTTTTAAAACATGTCCCTTTTCAATATTCTCCACATAGATGACCGAATCCGTATCGTAATATAAAACATCCGAACCTAATTTATGTAACACTTTAAATAATTCTAAACGTGCATACGCTGTGACAAAGGCCGCAATAACAACATTTCTATTCGGTAAAGTTACTAAAGACGAAAGTTTTCGATGAGTTGTACGTGCTACATCGTCGCTTATAAAATCTAATGAGGTTACTTCAATACTGGAATCATTAACTAATTCTAATAAATCATGAAAACGATCAATAAACGACACTACGGGAACATTTTCATTTTGTGCTAATTTACCCCATAAAGAATTTAATAACGCTTTCATAACCGTTCTTTGACCGGGATTATAACAAATTTTACTAGCGTCCAATTGCACACCTTCATGTTTCAAATATTCCTTTACATAATCATCGACTTTTTTTTTATCTACATTTCCTTGAACATCATAGCAATTTTTAGGTAACCCACTGCTTTCCTGTTTTAATTTCATAAAAGTGTTGACATATGTGTCAAAAATTTTCTCACGCTCATTATAATGATAAACTTCGTAAACTTCTATGACCTTATAATTATGTTTCAAGGCTTCTTGTATTTCAAGACTTGTCCATGTACCGTATAATACACGTTCCTCTTCGTTATGTGTGCACACATTACACAACTTATCCGCACAAGTACGACATAATGGAAATGTTAATTTAGTCGTTCGATAGGGTATAACAGGAAATAGTAAATTTGTAGGTGGTAATATTTTACATTTAATCAAACCAAATATAAACCCCAAATTTAGTTTACTACATTTTTCAATACCACGCGTAATTACAGGATGTTTTACTGGAAATACATTAATTTTTTGAACAAAGGGATAGAGGGAAGTAAAATCATAATACCGTATTTTATTTTCACATTCCCCCACATACATTACTGCCGGTGAAACTCGACCCCCAAATAAAGCATCTCGTGGATTAAGATTAATATTCCTAAAAAAATCTTTCTCTCTTAATTGGGCAATAGTATTTTTAGTAAAATTATTTGCTGTTAAAAAATTACACTCCCACATTTCAATTACTTTATACCCTTGACTTTCAAATTTCTCGGTAATACGTCGTGTTCGTTCTCGTAATGTATAGAATTTTTCATTAACAACCTCATTAAATAATTCCCCATTATAGCATTCCTCACACCCGTGAAAAAAACATCCATGAAATTGATAGATGGTTTTTGTTACAGGACAATATCCATCAACATAATGACCGGCAATACTTTGTTCTCCCTCTGGATGTAATTTACTATACAATGTTAATCCTAAATCGCTTTCAACACCTCGTAGCCAATAGAGGGCAATTACGCTTTGATTAATATTCCCCCCATATCCTTGTGCGGGTATTTGACCTATAGTTTCTTCATTTAAAAAATTAGTACGATATACTTTCAATGCAAGGCCTGCAATTGTATGGCAGGTTTTATCGTAAAATGGAAATACATTCGTTATATTTTTAATTAATCGTGCAAATATAATACAACCCTGTCGAAGTATATCCACATCCAGACGGCAATAATAATACATGGCCTCTTTAAAAACATAAGGTTTTTTTTTTTGTTCTTCATACCACGCGTCAAAATTATCACGTTCATCAGTTCCCTCAGACGGTGGGTCAAAATATTCCAAACCCACCATGGGCCCCACATAATTTAAATCATAGAAAAGATACGGATGAAACCCTTTACAAATATCAGGAATACCTAATGCTTCGGGAAATTTTTTTAACCCCATATTTAAAAATAAAAAACTATCTAATACTTTTAAATTTCGATCTTCTAATTCCATACACATAATTTTATTCCCATTCATAATACATTGGGGTACAATATTTCTTTCCACTAATAATTCTCGAAGTAAAAAACCCGTATCAAAACGACCCCCATTATGAGCAATCCATACACTGTTTTTAGGTTGAGCATACATAAAATCAATAAATTGTTTCGTAATGCAATCATTTTGTTTTTCTAAAATATATTGTCTATAACCGCAACAGGGTACACAGTCTACGGAAATATCACACGTTACATCTTCAGCATGCGGTACAAACTGTTCACTATTTCGCACAAAAGGTATTTCATCACAAGATTCACACACTTTTTGAATTACAGCATAAAAAGGAATCATATAGCCCTCATCATCTCGACGTGTTTCAAAATCAAAAAAATAAAGTGTGGGTAAATCCGGTTTTTTAGGTGGCGTAATCACTTTCATAAAACATTTGTGTGTTTTTTTTTTAACCGCATTACAATGTTTGCAATAGACCATATCACAATTATGAGCTGTTGTTTTTTTCCCCCCCATGACAGTCATACGCGGTACTTTTTTATAACACGTTGAACAAAAAAACATATGCTGACACGGTGTTACACTATAGCCTTTTTCCCGACCCTTTTTAAAAATTCTTTTTGTAAGATGTGTGGCATAACAATCACGATTTTTAAAATTTACAAAACATTGTGGACATTGAATAAAAAATCCTTCCTCGTCCGGACATTTTTCACCCCCGCCATAACACTTTAAACATGAAAAAGATGTACGGCAAACATGCGTCTGGGAGTGTTCCCAATGTTTTAAGTAGGTCATGCATTTAAAACAAAATCTTCCTGCAGACATATGTAAAAAAGTATTCGGCGATAACACTAAATCATAATGTTTATCATTAAGCCATAAAAATATAATTTTAGTATTCATAACACAAATTTTGTCTGTACCCCGCATACGCGAATCGTATACAATATCATCATTATTATTCTTGGAAAAAACAACTAAATCAATATCATGCTGTGCTAAATATCGTTCGTAAACAACAGGCAATTCATTAATACAGACACCCCCCACGGCTAATCCACATTGTTCGTAAACGTCAGTAATTTCGTCGTCTGTATAAAGTGAGTCAAGCGGTGTATTACGATTAAGATTTAATTTATCATGTCGTTCATCTTTATCGATGAATGAGCGTCCCGTCAATAGTGCCAAGGCAAAACAACAATCGGATTTAGAAACCACTTGAAAAACACCGCTACGAATTTCACGACCATGTTTTTGTACTAATTTTTTTTTTCGACCGCGACCTACATCCGTACCATTTTTACCCAATGATCTATAAATTTTTTTCTTTTTGACTGTTTCTCTGGTCGCTCGCGGTACATAACTATTGGGAAAAATATACAATGAAACGGTTGTACTCCAACCACCATCAATTACCTCTTGTGCATTACTTTGCATATGCTTTTCAAAAATATCAAAAAACATTTCCGTATTAAAATCAGAAACATTTAAAATAGCCGTAGAAAAAGGAGTACGAGGTGCTTTTGAGATGTAAAAACGTGCTTTATCCGTAGGTGAACTAGCTATAAAATTCATTGTATTAATTAAATAACTAAATATATCTGTAAGAGAATTATAAAATTCAGGAAGTGTCGTTATATTTCCTGCACCTATTCTAACACTATAAACATATTCATTATAACCCAAGCGACGATGTGTCCGTAATAAATCAACACGAAAAGCATTTTTCGGAACTTGTTGTTGTTTTTTATTTCTTTCTACAAGATTGGCAATTTCTTGAATATCTCTATTTTCTATATTATAGTTTCGTTTTCCACGCGATGTTTTTGTAGTTTGTTTTTGAACACGATTTTCGCGAACCATTTTGGCAATATCTACAATATTTTGCGGTGTAATTTCAACTCGGGTATTATTAAATCTTACCATGTTCACAATATCCTGCAAGTCTTTATCATCTAACTTATGGCGTTTTCGATCACTGTGTGATTTTTCGGAATTCTTTCTCTTCGCCATTGAAAACAACAACACGTAGTGTACTCGGGTTGTTCGTAAATAGTATCAATAGTTTCGTCGGTGCGACCGTCTACACCTTCCTCCCCAACGACCACGTCATTACTCCTATTTATAAAAACACATCGTACTTTAATAAGCGGGCTATCACTACCCGTAAAAAACTTTCGCATGGCAGAACCCATTTCAACCTTCAGCTATACAACACAGCAATAATGGAAGGGGACGCTTTAACACACATTACTATATACATGAAAAATGAATTTAGTACAAATGACACCGATAAATACATACCTTCATATGAAATTACAGAGAATTCCAATGATCAGGTCTTAGTTTCAGACCGTATTTTTCCCGAAGCATTTCAAGATTGGTGTCGAGATGGTGGTCATATAGTACAAATACAGCCGTGGGATATACGGGCACGCATAAAGACCCTTCACAACGAACTATGTATAACACCGTACGTTGAGTCTAAAATGATAAAAATAGCAGAACATATTGAGAAAAATATTGAGAAATACATTGGTATCAGTATTGTTTTTTAATATGCCACGTCAAAAAACTACACAAAAACGTCAAAGATTTATTTTAAACTTTATAGATAAAATTTACGAAGCACCACGCAAACAGAGAGGCAGTCAAAGTATTCGTAGATCACAACGTTGCATTGCAGATACTTTAAAAAAACAACAATGCAAAAAACGTACGGCGCATACTAAAAAATGTTGGATTCATTTGGCCAAACAAGATAATCTACGTATTAAGCCGTCCAATATTATTAGCGGTGGAAAAGGACTCTACTCGTGGAAAAAACAAATTCCACGCGGCAAGAATATTAGCAAATTTACAGGGCGTATAACAACAAAAGAGGAATTAGATCAACTTTACGGAGACGTCACAGCCAAATACGCTGTTTGCAATCGTCGAGGAAAATGTATCAATTCAAATTATACTACAGACGGTGCTGCAAGATTTGCTAACGACGCGCGTAAAACACCGTTTAAAAATAACGCACAAATAAGAGGGAGACAAATACTTCGTTTAAAAGCAAGTAAAAAAATTCCGCCACATCAAGAAATTTTCACATCCTACGGGCGAGAATACTGGAAATAAATACATCCTAATACTAAAATAACACTATCAGTTTCAACATGACGCGAACAAAGCTACCCGATCTCAATGCTACACCACATCTTAAAAAAAAAACAGCCGCCGTACGTCAAAAACAATTACAAATGCGACAAATGTTATCAAATCCTAAAGCTTTTCTACGACAATTTGGAAAACGTTTCATAAATGATAAGAAGAAAGCCGTGAAAAGAAAAGTAACCAAACGTGTACAAGATGCCGATCGTGTTTTATTTGGAACACAAAGTGGGGGAAAAATTCAACAAACAATTAGAAAACCACATAATAAAATACAGATCCAATATCAATATCATGAATAATGTAAAAAAATATTAATAAAAATTACCTTTACACACAATTGTGTCTTGATGTCTTTTTTTGTCTGCACACGATAATTTTTCAAACGACGTTTTTCTTAAACCGAAGCGTTTATATGAAAAAATCTTACAAACAATCCCTATATATATACAAGTTTAAAAAAGGAAATCCGCCCACACACCATAATTTTTGAAATCTGTCCGTTATTATTTCAATAAGATCTTAAATTTTGGCCGTTTATATATATAAAATAATAACGCGTACATTTTTTAAATTTTTGGTGGTTTAATTTTGATTTTAATTACTACATTTTTCTTTCTTAAATTTAGTTCTAAGCCATAAGAGAAAAGTTGCTTCGTTCAACATCACGGTCAAGGACCAACTAAAAGTCATACACACCGTCCTTTAAATTTTATCATAAGGTAATCTACTCAACGCATCAGCATATTCACATATTTTTTGACCCTCTTTATAGGGTGCACATAAAGCATAATTTTTATTTTTCATAAAATCCTCAATTAAATATTTATACGGAACCAGATCATCCTCTAAATGACGATTTCGTCCGCCCAACGCAAAAACTCCCTGCTCCCTTATATTTGATTCTGAAAGTTCATGATGGCGGCAAAGTAACCATATTTGCACATGAGGTAGAACCATGGGTAATTTCACATCCCTCAACCAATTTATATTAAAACCTGCCGAGGAAAGCTTCGATTGTAATCTTGCCTTTGCTACACGATCTGAAAATTGGACTATTCCTACAATCTTCGTCAACAATTCAATGTTATACTGCAAATATTTCCAATAAGTCATCCCCATTTCCAACAATACATTATTCACATCAACCCAATTCATAACATTCGACAACGGTGCTAAGGACTCGAAATAATACGTACGAGACATGATTTTAAAAAAATTTATTTTTTCCTTTTACTTTTATTTCCATGTACTACATACCATTACCATATATAGTCAATGATATTTTTCAAAAAATGGATCAATAATTTCTACACAAATACTATCACATACTTCAGCCATCTTTAACGGGGCTCTATAAGCATCCCGACGCATAATTTCAAAATCACCGTCCATAATATATGTAAAACAGGGTATAGACCCTCCTAAAAGCTTATCACCACCAGCGCTATTCATAATTGAATTTAAACTATCATTCTCAACTAAACACATACAAAGCATTTCTACTAATTTATCAACAAATACATTACAACGACGACACACTAAAAGATGTCGCATAATTAATTTAAAAGTTTTTCCTTTCAGTTTTTATTACCAAACGGAAATATAGCCTCATGGACCCCCAACGCATAAATCACCTCTCTTTCTTTACCATAGGGTTCAGCCTGTCGAATAACCGCATCGTATAATTGTTTTGCATTCACAAATATACCCACATCGGAAAGTACATCGTGAATTTGTTCATTACACGCGCCGACCCCGATATGAAAGTAGTCTTGCGAAACTACATACTCTTGTTTAATATTGATAGAATCACGACGTACAACCATAACATCACCGCGCTTCAAAATCTGGCGACAACAAAACTTTGATTTCGCCAAATACATACTCCATACATTGTCTACCACGCGTACGTATACATAGGGCAGCCATTCTGCAGGAATAATGTAAAATGATTTTTCAGGACGACCATCACGAGCATCATCATCACTTTCATATTCATCAGAGCCGATCGAACTGACACGTTTATTGTTCTCAAGCACGACCACTGCATAGTGATTTTTATCGGGATCAACTAAAATCAAATCATGAACACCACCCAAAATACCCTTTAACCACACAAGTGATTTTTTTTTAACTGACAATTGATCCGTTTCAGGATTCTTTACTAGCGTATACGTCTCGGCAGCAGAATACCGTTTAATACGAATTTCCTTTACGCCTAGACCATTTTTCACTTCCTCAAACTTTTTGGCATACAAGTACTGACATGTTGCATACAAAGACCATAGCACAGGATCATAAGAATAATTTTCAAGTAACACACCTAATGCACTAAGATTTAGTGGTACGTTATAACAATTCATAGTGTCTCTAAAAACTGTCCAAATAATTTCACTTCGTGTCGCGAACAATGATATTCACCTGTTATATGATAGGGGCAACATTCATGTTTCACCTTGAACCTTGTCAATAGACACTCATATTTGGGACATCCTAAAATTTCCATATTAATACACGGTATATTCAATCTATTTAATAAATCACGTTCAATATTTCCACCTTTGTACGCTACGAGATCGGCTTTTTCAAATATTTTACACAACATATCCTGTATTTCCTGATAGTGATAAAAATTAGCATCAATACGATGTCTTTGAATAGGTAGACCATGTATTACCCTTATTTGGTAAAGGATTGCGCGATCATTTTCATCAAACAGCTTGACGTTTGGAATGTATATCTGATACGTTGTAATAATATTTGTATTTCGACATAATACCGAAACTTCACGTAAAAAATGCTTCTTACGCCATGTATACGCTTCACAATCTATAATATGTGTGATACGTTGTTTTAAAACAGCCGATTGAACATTTTTTAAAACATTTTCATTTATTTCACAATGCGGCAATTGAAAATACACGTCCATTTCTGTACACACATATACACACAATAAAACATTTATTCCCAAACTTCTAGCTTCTCTAAATTAGTACATAAACATACATTTAAATCACTACATTCACATTTCATTATCATATTGTCCTTAATACGTTTTAACCTTCTAAAACAATACAATATTTTACTAACTAAAGCGTTTGAAATTAATAGACTATAACGATCTTCAAACAACTCTAATATATACTCGACATCAATCGCTCGATGTGTATAAACATTATTATACATATCCTCAATACATCTACGTACTTTCGATTCATAAACGACCACATCAAAATTCACATGCTTATGTTCACAATGTTCATAATGTATAGTATAACCTACAGTTCGTTTATAAACACCATTAGCTGCATGTATACCCGTATACATACATGGTGTATACCCATATTTTATAATAAGATTGGCAAAGATATGTGTATAGATATCCTTATTTAATTGTTTAAAAGTCAAATGAATTGTTAATATACGGTTCGGTTCATCTATTGAACTAAATGTTTCGAACATCCAATTGTTTACGCCACAATAAAATCGATCATAAATCATAATCGGTTGTCCATATAGCATCCATCGCAAATATCGTAATAGTTCATAAAGTTTCTTCTCCTGGGGGGCTGCTGGCTCTAAAAAGCACCGCATTATCATGTAGTTGTTTCGCGTCCACGAACACTTCGCTACATAGGTACGGTATAGGGCATTCACATTCGTCGTTGAATCCACCACAAGTACAATTACTTTGACAATAATTTTTCACAGTATTTTGAAGCTTGAGAGCATAGCAAATCAATTGTATTAATCTTAGAGAAACGTGTGCGCCAAGGTTGTTCGATACTCGTTTCTGTATATGCACTTCGTGATAACAATTATAAGATAAACAATATTGTACAATTTCATCCAAACATGCTTGTACACGTGGATTTATGAACTGAGAATCCCATAAACCCGACCATGTAGTACATCCTTCTATTGACACCACCGTACGTTGGCCGCTGGTCACAATATAATTTAATTTCTTACTCTCAATAGTATATTGTACGGGATAAATACCCACAGCTATTCTTGCGGTTAAATAAGCGAAATACCGCAAATCGATTATAGCAATCTTTATTATACGTTGATTACAAAATCCAATATCATAACTATAACAATAAATGTAATATTGATCCAAAGGTACCAACCGATTACCACATAACAAACGTGTATCACTTAATATACAAGGTCTTTCTCCTGCTCTTTCATGGTCACTCTTCATTTTATCATCAAGAATTTTCATATACACATAGTACAATTTTGTACTCGTAGCAATATACTGATGATTTACTAATTTTTCAGTTTCATGTATATTCAAATAGGGTTTATGCTTTAACAAAGGACAATTTTGAATCTCTTTCCACGCACAACAATTACAATTAATTCTCATTTTTTTTTATACTGTGTTTACCCCGAGAATCATACAACTCTTGAAAACCCTCAAATAGTTTTGAAGAATATAATATTTTTCTACACGTATCGTATTCCATAATATCCTGATTCATTTCGCATAACTCAATATTTAAATACTCTTGTATATATTGGGCTAACATATGATAATAATAACCATTACCCCCTTCAGACAACGAATACTCCTTAGTGCACCCTTTAACTCTGATCTCAAATCCAAGACTTGTACTCCTAATAAACACCCGATACACAGCGCGATCACCACGATCAACAGCCCCCAATATCAAACTATCACGCCGTGCTGCCCATCCCAAAATATACACATAACACCGTAAGCGATATAGACGTTCTTTAAACATTAAAACCAAATACTGTTTATGAAATAAAATTGAAGTTATCCCCATCATATGATTATGAGGATTAAAAAAAGATAAAACCATTTTATTCACAATCTCTGCATCTTCTTCAAAACAAGGCGGTGGTACTCTAGAAAATATTTAATTTATATTAATCTATACAATTTACACAATTCACGAATTACAGTATTCTTTACTAATAAACCCGTATCATATATAATAAACTGTATTACTTTATTTACATTTTCAACCGAATACTCATTTTTAGTAAAAAATCCAATATTATGAATTATTTTCTCCATATCATCTATATCCTGTCTAGAACCATTACATTTAAAATTTCCCTCAAAATCCTTATTATAACGATTTTTAACTATATATTTAACTAATACATCGTGAACAAGTACTACCTTTCCTATACTAATATATTCACCACAGTATATATGAGGGTTCATGTAAACATAACCCTTGATACCGCAATATAGAATCTCTTCATTTAAAATATTCACACGCCATGAAATGTACTCTTCTCCATGCATAGGTAGACGTATTTCCCTTCTTTCAGTTCGCAACTCTATTAGTCTTTCGTGTAAATTTGCAAACATCTTATACACTTTATCATTCCAAACAATACGTATCCACTACAAGAAAAAAAATACTCACGGATCAGTATAATGTTTCCCCAATTCAGGATCAATATTCAACGTTGGCCATAAACTAACCTCTTCATCAGTACTCTTCGTATTCATTTTCACAATAATACAATTCTTGAATATTACTTTTTTCAAACCACAATAACAATTCCAAAGCTTTTTTTGGTCCAAACAAAATATAACAAAAAAGAAGTAAAACCACAGCAACAACCACCCGTTGCCAAACACAATCCATCTAGAAAAATTAATAAACATTCCATTACCAAATTTGGCTATTACCCTGCAATTGGGAAAAAATACCCTACAAACATTGACCTTGAACAATTTTAATGCCAAATTTAGATAATAACGCAGTAAAAACATAAAATACATCTTAAACATTCCATACCCCTATATGGAATATTACGTCGCCAGCTGTCGAAAATATCATATTATATTAAAGATTTACAACGCACTAGACACTATTTACGCTACTACCGTCAAGATGACCACAACAGCGTCGCCAGAGTTCTTACAATTCGTAAACTACATGCAATGTACATTATGTGAAGGAAATTCTCAAATTCTCACAAATTTATACGTGAATTACAACACCTATCAACCACCAATTCCTTGCGGTAGTTCAGCAGAAAAATTTATCTTCTGGAAACAACTCTACGATCAATACGCGCTAGAACAAGAAAAAATTGCAAACGCTAACCTTTTCAACAACCCAAATAAACCCTCTGACCCACGTCTGAAAGTCGTCAAAACCGAACTGCCTGATGATTTAACCACCCTATGCGTTAAAAGCGAAGACACACAGCTATTTCAAACCTTCAACCTTCAAAATGAAATACATACATCACCACCGCCACCTTACAACGCACATCACATCCAAACCGAATCTGCTACACCACACAATTCACCCGTGAAAGAAGAAAACATGTCAAACGAAATCACGACTACAAACAACATTCAAGATGTCGAAACGGTGGTCGAAGTACTAAATGAATCCCCAATACAAACCTCAGACGAAGAACAAGAAAAAACACCTACCTTGCCAAACTACAAACGCAGTCCAAGTCGTGGTAAAAATATCGAACAACTCAAAGCAATTCACGCTGAAAATGAAAACAAAGTGAAAGAGAAACCAACTGCACCACCTCGAAAACGAAAGAGACCTGCCGCCGCATCTACTCGTGAAACTTCCGGCCCCGGAAGACCAACGAAGGACATCGCCATCATACGAGACGCGAAAATTGCCGACAGTGATTCCGACGACGGACTTGCATTTCGTGAAGTAGCCCTGTTCTCTGGAACCGGTCAAATCCGAAAAAAGACAAGACTACTAACAAAACACGGCAAAGACATTAAATGTTTTGCAATTAAACACTATCTACCCTTAGAACATCTTGCTGAACAAAAAACAAAAGCCTTCGCGAAGATAAAACAACAAAGACAAAAACTAAAAATATATAATTACATAGAACAGAACCTACTAGAAAGTCTTAATGAAATTCAAAATTTGTAAAATGATACCCTATTAATAATTAAAAAATGTAAATTTAATAAATATTTTTTGACTTAATAAATGAAAAAAATCAATTATTAACAGTTTCTATTAATATTTAACCGTTCGCACCCGCCCGCCCGCGCGTCACCCTCCAAAAAACAGGCGGACCGGAAATGACGCAACCGGATGTGACGTCACACAATGTCACGTGATACGCAAGCATAAGACAAGCGCCAAATTCAAATACAAATCACTTCGGTCAAGCAAGGCTTTGGGGTAAGATGATAATTGGCTCGCCCGCGCATGCGTAATGTGTGTGTCCACTTCACTTCACACACATTATTGCGTCATATATACGGGACGTCATGGGGAGGTAAAAACTCCCCCCGTCCGGGAAGACACTTTTTCAACCAATTTTGCCAACTCGACATTTTTTCATAATACTATTTTATAATAAAAAAAAAAATTCCCACACCCCCACTTTTTTATCGAGTACTTTTATCACTACACTACTCAGGTTAGTTGAAATTTCAGGTTGAAATGCAAGTGAATTTGAGAAATGTACACATAAAATCAGATAATGTAATATAACTTCAGACGATTTATTGTGGATTCCAGACTCTTTCATTTTGAATTCAACAACATTACAGCATTTGGTTCATTCGTAATTATTTTGTTACACAATTATTACACACAGAAAATGTTTGCTTCACTACAAGAAATTAAATAGAATGATATTCTTAAGGAGAAGCATTACACAACAGCACACAATTCTATGCTCCCACATTCATGTCTTCCGGGTTAAGCACACGCTGGAAAAACCACTGCTTTCATTTTACTCCATACGGTCTCGACAGGATTCGACATTGAGGAATACGGCCCCAGACGACAGATAGTTAAGTCAGGCTGCTCAATCGCACATTCTTCAAACTTACTATGACAAGGGGCATTGTCACAAACCACGACAACCGAGTCAACTGTAATTCCAAGAGGGAGATTTTCCAGCATTTCTAGCAACCAAGCCTTGGCAGTATCGGATTTAAATGCTCCACGACGTCTGGTCATGTATATCATCTGATAGGCTGACAATGCACAGATAACATGAATGTTTGGTCTCTTTGATGTCAGGAGCGCCATAACTGCTCGCTCACCAACACATGCTCTCCCTTGACTACTACGGCAAAACAGGTTAAGAAGGTTTGTCTCATCCATCCAAATAATGGTCTTTCCATCTCTCATGTACTGACTGACCTGTTGAACATACTGTCTTCGCAGTTCTTTGTTGGCGTGCTTTTTTTAGTGTTATGAGTTTCCCCTGCAAATAATTGTGGATAGTTGATGGGCTGACATGGTAGGGTTCTGTCTGACAATTGCCTCAACATCAACGTAGGATCGCTTTCAATTATATGGCAACAAGAACATCGATTTGTTTATTAGTACACTTTCCACGTCTCCCCCCTTTCTGCTTTGCTTTGTTGCAACCTTCACGAATCCATGTATAAGCCGTTTTGTGATTTACTCCGAGTTGTTCTGCAAGTTGTCGCCAATTAGCACTGTCGCTGTTAGCACAATTCTTCTATCCATGGGTGATATACGATTATAACGTGCACAAGGTATTGTAGTGTAGAGTAGAGTAACAACAACAAGCAAGGTTACAAATAGACGATTTTATAGTCCAACATTGTATGGTCGTCTGCTTGCCACCCAGCACTACAGCTCCTTTTAAACCTAATGTTGTTGTATTTGCATGTGATTTTCTGTATATTGTCTTCCTTGTCTACACACAGGAATTTATCCCTGTAATTGTACAGGACTTGTTTGATTGAGTTTGTCTGAATTTCTATGGGTATTCCCTGAAGTGTACTTTTTAATGTTTGAATTTCAATTCCAAATATCTGATGTTATGGAGGATCTGAATATCGTTTGAACTCATCTGAAATTTACCTGACATATTTGCAATCATTTGGAAATATATGAATTTCATTGGGCAATCTCAATATCAAATACAAAGGTCTGAAATTCATTTGTCCAAACTGAATATTATCTAAAAATATTTGAATTTCATCTCAAAATGTCTGAAAACGACCAGGAAAAGGTGTAGTTTGGCTCTTGAGTGTATTTTTATTATGATTACAAGTGGCATCATGTAAATTATGTCTATAGAAATGTTTTTATTTGTAGTGACGAATATATTTTATTTGTAGTAATCTTCATTAATACGGATGAATTGGTGTTTGTATATTTTAACACCATTGACTCCAAGATGGACTCACATGATTGCATCTGCAGCAATAGCTTGTATTACCATTTCAATCTCTTCAAAAGTTTGTCTGCTGGATCAAAGAACTTCTTTATAAGTTCTTTTGGATCAAGACTTTCCAGTTCCTCTGGTTTATACTTGACAGTTAACTTTTCCAATCTTCTCAGGAATTCGGTGCACTGTTTCTTTAGAGCACTCTCAGGCAAGTCTAACAATGACCTTATCGGAATCTCTTTGATGGCATTTATAAAGTTTGGGTATTTCATTAATGCAATCTTTATGTAACCTCCATCCACTTGGTGCAGTTTCACAGACAACTTTGACAAATCAAGAATTGTCTTTGTTAGTGTAATGATTCTTACAGATTGTTCATCATAAACTTCAGTTTTGAGGTCATCATGAAGTTCGTTTATAAGCATCTGTAGTTGTTTATCTGATGTTTTCTCAGCATCAATTCCTTGATTGATTTTGTTTTGTTGATTTTTTCATGTTGTCTGAGTCTGGAGACCAGCTGCTTGGGATTTGATAATTTGAAATTATAGGGGTACCTCGAATTTCATTCTTTTCTTCAAACTAAAGAATCACATTTGGTGTGGTCTGACAAAGATTTGGCCATTTTATCAAGCTCATCCACATAAACCTGCATCATTTGAATACAAATCATTAAAAACTTTCCCATCATGACTTGTTGCTATGGCTAGCTTTTCCACAGACAGTACTATAATTATACATACAAAAGCAATAAATAATCATAAGAATTGATGGTATTTGTATAAAACCGCCCATGTCCAAAAAGTGCAGGAATTAGAATATTTGGCTGTTTGTCAACTTTCTGCAAGGTGTTTCATATTCAAATTGCACTTTTCCTGCCTCCTGAAAAGGCATCTTAGGGGCTGTTTACATGTTGGAAGGCAGTTGAAATAAGTCGCTATAAGTGTTGTAGAGAAGATCTTGTAGTTAAAGAAGATTATTATTGCTGCTTGAACAGCCTTTTGTTTGCAGTTAAGTATAAAGATAAGAAAATAGTGTAGTTTTTTTCAGAATCGTGCACTGTGACTTATTTCAACACATCAAAATAATCCTGTCTTAAATCTCGTCCTGGCAAAACGGGATCAAATAACTGCTCTTTATTCAGCAAACTGTGGATACTGCCTCTGATCCCTTTGGGAGTGAGGCAGCACTTTCCTTGCGATAGTAACTTCTAGTATTAGCCATATATGGCAGTGAGAGAACGGACCGACATGTTCTTCCCTTAATTTATACCCCAACCTGGGTACCCCAGTGCATGGCCATTGTCTGATGGCAAGTAATTTTTATTCAGGGCAACTAATTTTCATGTCCACCTTGCTCTGATGGCAAGTGGTCAAAAAAGGAAAGTTACACCAGTGTGGCAATGTGCCCAGATGCGCTCTACTTTATTTTACTCCATCTAACGCCAGATGATTTAACTTGTCGGGGGTGTAGCATTGCCACTCAATGGGCCCTACTTTGGTATTTTATTCTGTCTAACCCCAGCCGATTTTACTCATTACGTCGAGAGTGCTGCTACTTAATGGGTCAGTATCCAACTGGGATACCAGGATTCAAAGTTTAGTATCCCTCCTGAGAATCCAGTATCCCACTTCTGGACACAGGTTAGCAGTACCATAAGTATACCCTGTCCCATCCAAATAAGTTTCCATTACTCTCACTGTTACAAATTACAATAACAACTGAGGAGACTCAGCAGTCAACAACAAATAAACAATTATTAAATACAGTATTAAAAATCCACATAATCCTTCAACAAACTTCTATATTCTAGTGCTCAGTGAGGAAAAACTGGTGGTAAACTGATAATATTCCAAAACTTTCAGGAGCCTGTCAAAGGTGTAACATTTTTTTAATGTTTGAAATTTTCTTAGTATCCAGTCTGGATAGTATCATTCATAGTTTGGTATCCAAAACCAAATTTTTGGTATCCTGTGTATATCGGGAAACTGCAAATTTCAGACCCCGAGTCTAAGGCCACTCTGACAGGCTGTATGCTCAATTTACTACTACTATAATTTGATGTTTGTAGTTGAAGATATCCAGTTGATGCTCCACTTGACTAATTGTTTGTTTCCTACCTTTAGGTGACCGATCTAAATGTCCAAGAAGGGGTGATTTTTACAACCTCTACACAGAGTTTTGTAAATTACATTTTGGAGCAAAAAATGGAGAAGCTATGCTGGCTGCTCTAGATGAAAGGCTTTCAAAGCTAATGGAGTCATACCCAGAAATGTCAATGAAAAAGCAAGACTATGATGAAGAAAAAAATGCTCCATTCATTCTTGCCATTGTTACTCCTTTAATGAAAAGGGTACACTTAATGGTAAGCCTCATTCAGATGGAGTAAAATTGTAACAAAATGCACAAGTAGTGTACCAGTTTGTACTGTTACAGCAATGAAACTCATGTAATTTGTGATTCCCCCAGCAGAAACGTTTGTTCAGATAATATTTGTTTTTGATAGGAATCGCTACCAAGCCAGTTGATGTAACACTGATGAAGTCCATCATTTACGCAGAGAACATCATTTTTTTCAGAACGCGTACGAGGCATGTCTGACCAACGTCTGGCCAGTGCTCTTCATTGCTTCAATAGTGATAGCACCAGGTCTGAACTGAAAGTATTAAAAGCAACCAAACAGGCTAAGCTAAACAAAACCAAAGTCCAGCCTGAGGCAGTTAGGAGAAGGAAGATGAAAAATGGATCTAGGCAAAGTAAAGGCAATTCCCAAGAATTTAGAAATGTAATTCCAAGCTAAACGCAAGTGAGAGGTAAAAGGTTGTACAGTTTTGCTCATAATGTAGCTAACAATGAACCTGTTGCAAAGAAAGCAGGTCGATCTATGATGTCAATCACAAAAACTGGATGTAAAAGGGTACAATAAACAATGTATCAGTGATATTCATGCAGTTTGTACAGCTGTTGACAAATGGATTAATAAAAGTGCTCAACACACCCATGGTATTTAGCACCATTATTAATTAAGGAAGGTGTCATCAGAGGCTGTGGAAGCACCCCAAATGTGGGGGTGGGCAATTGAGTCTGCAAACATTCTAGCACCCCATCACAGCCTGTGATGTTATATGTATTCTCTAATAGCTCTGACCAAAGTGAACATGAACACATTATTAACCACAAATTAATTAATGCAATTACATTCAAAATTGCCAAAAAAAATTTCTAACATTTTTGATAAGAAAGTCTTTAGCAAATAGCAATCAAACTTAAGTCCAGTTCATCAGTTCTGCCCTTGTTTTCCAGCATGACAATAAGACAAGGTATTGTCTTATTGTCATGCTGGAAAAGGGGGACATTTATAATTTTCCCTTAATTGCTGGAAAAGAGCACTTTTATTCCACAAAAAGGGTACACTTTCTCCTTGCACAAAAAGTGGGAGAGGGCACCTGCCCCCAATGCCCCATGCTTCCGAGGCCTCTGGGTGTCATCACAGAGCATAAGATTACAACATGTAGATAATATGGTGAGATCAAAACAGTTCGTAAATTTTAATGTTCACTTTAGCACATAATTGTAATATACTATATATTAAATATAAACTTGGGTGGTTTAAAACCGATGAAGACGACAACGCCAAACCGAGGTACAAGCTTTGCCTCAAAAAGGTTTCTGCTGCTGGAGGAAATACTTCCAACCTTCAACGCCATCTCCGCGATCATCATCCTGCGAAGGCACAAGAGCCAAGGTTGATAAAATTACAATTATCGAACCTTACCGCTAAAGACTCATGTAATTTGTGCAATTGTTGAGCGTTGAAATTATGTTTTCATTTGTACCTATTTCCCAGTGTGCACACATTAAATTGACGTTGTTTCAAGGTTTCAGGCATCGAAATGACGTTTTCAAACCATTTAACGTTGATTTCACGTTGTTTGCCTGCTAGGATAGCGGTTATTGTGTGTTATTCAATATTGGAATCACGTTAATTTTTTAAATTAAAAAAAAGGTTTTTCGGTTTAAGTGTTTTTTAGCGTATGGTTTACCGGTTTTAATTTTAACCAAAACCGCCCAAGCTTAATGAGATATATGTTTCCTATGTAAGAGTACATGTCAGGTAATGTTTATTATTGATGATGGTATTTCTTCATGTGCCTTGTGAGGTTTGTTTTGATTGTAAAAAGTTGGTTACATTTGTTACATTGGAATGACTTTACTGAGCTATGTGTTGCTTTGTGTCTGTCCAAGGCTTGTTTTGTACCAAAACATTTGCTGCAACTTTGGCATTTATGTAATTCTTCATGTTGCTTTAATTTTTGTTTGGTACTGAATACTGCACCACATGACACACATTTTGATTCGCCACAATTTCTTTGATGGTACCTTTTGTCTGCAAGCCGACTGAAAACTGTGTGGCACTTGCCACATTTTGGTGTACTTGTGGTCAATAAACTACAGTCAGCATCTTCATGTTGCCTCTGTGCTAATTCATTCCAGTCCTTCAAATTAAAAAAATGCAAATTAATAATTGTTTACCATTAATGTATAAAAAAAACACCTGAAGATAACCAGAAGACCTTTTGCAGCTTAAATTAATGGGTTAACAAAACTATTTGCCAATTTCTCTAGTTAATTAACCCAGTAAGCAGCAATGCACCTCTGTGTGCCCTGTCTTTTTACTTTATTATTCCCTGTCTAATATAATGCCAGGCAATTTTACTCTTGCAGCTTAATGGGTTAACCCATTAATTAAGCTGCAGAGCTTCCCCATTGACGAGTAAAATCGTTTGGCATTAGGCAAGTAAAAAATAAATGGGGTGCATTGCAGTTCAATGGGTTAACTAGAGACACTGTCAGATTTTTTGGGTAATCCATTCAGCTGCAGAGCTTTCCCACTGACAAGTAAAATCGTCTGGCATTAGTCGACAAGTAAAAAATTGAGTAGGGTGCACTGGGGCACATTGCAGCTCAACGGGTTAAATTAAACACTGTTCAATAATGAGCCATTGTAAAGGTCTTATGCAACAAATTTATAGAGTTCTTCGGGTAAATGTTTGTACGGCGTTTACGGAGAAAATAACTTGCGAGACTAAAAAAATCAGTTGCGTCAGAGCTCCTTATTTAAATGAGAAAGACGAGGAGATAGCCAGTGTGTTATCGCCAACATGTTATCGCCAATCGCTTGGCTCGCCAACAAGCTTTATGCAATAGAAGAAAAAAGCAAGGAGGTACATGTAGCCAACGTGTACCGTCACGGACCTTGTCTTTGTTTACTGTCTAGCACAATGCCGTTGTCAATGGTGCAAATTCGTGTTCAGTTCAACGATAACTCTACCAGATCATACGAGAATCAATCTGTAGTATTCTGTACACAGAACTGTATCAAAGCTTGTCAAAACTGCTTTAAACACTGCTTAACTGTGAAACTATT